TCGCCAGGGAAATTCCTTTAGCTACTGCCCAAAGAGTCTTGGGGTTCCGGACGTATTGCATATTTCATCTGTTCACTAGATGATTAACGGATTGATTTATACGACTGCTGCAAGCTGCTGGTCTTGGCGGGCCTCATTTCGTCTGATTGTGACGTACCACAGTTGCTTACAATATCAGACAGACCATTATTACCAGAGGACAGATGAACACTCAGCAACTTGAGATGAGAGAGGCTTGGCATTCTTCACTTGGCAGGCAACAACTTCACTTTTTTTTGGGCAATTTGAAAAGCAGTGCAAATTTCCATTCTTCGTTTAAAGATAATATTCTAGGTTTTGTTCTAGTGGGTGTGTCTGTGGGGGGGATGTGTCGTAGGAACTCCGTTTCGTTTTCGTCATTTGGGAATTACATTGTGTGTTCTCATTTCTTCATGCTCGTTGCTCATCGCTCATTGTCCGTCGTCATTTAATTCAATCCACGCGCAAAAAGAGAAACAAGAATCAAAACGTGAATTCGAATGGTGCCGCCCTTCTCATCTTTCACATGTCCGTTTCGTCCACCAGTCGTAGGGGTGTTGAATTAGGACTGGTGGTTTCCGCGCAGGTTTGTTGGATAACGTGTTAAACGTTGCCCATCACTTTTTGAGGTCCGGTGTCAGCATCTTGTCTCTGTCTTTGGACAGATTTGGGTTTGATGGGAAAAAAAACTTACAAGCTGCATACGTCAGGTACCACGTCAAACTCGCGCCTCCGTCGATCCAGCTAGGATCAAAGTTTGAGCTGTTGAAAAAGTCCCACGCCGTCTTACCGTCGATAGTCGCCAGGTTCCCGTAAATGATGCCCCGCCAGCCGCCCGCGATCGTGTCGGCGCGTCCGTTGCTAAAGTACACGTCCCACTCCTCCTGTACAAAGGCCGGGGTCCGGACGAAGGGCGACGGCGCGAGCAGGGGAATCATGTGGATGCCCTGGATGAACTCGATGTTAGCGCCGAAGTAGGTCGTGTGGTCGATCTTATTCTCAAAGAGGATGCCGGCCACCTTGTTTCCGATAAACTGGGGTGGCTGCACGGCGTTGTCGCTCTTGTAGAGATAGTAGTCCTGGAGGGCGCGGGCGATGATGGAGAGCTGCAGGTTGCTCCGAGACGAGAGCATGCTGTCGCCGGAGGCTTCACCCCACATCTTGAGGGCGTAGGCGTGCATCATGTCTTCGGAGCTTGATTCTTGGTCCTGGTCCATGATGTTAGTTTGTGTGCTTCAGGAAACAGAGCAAAATTCAAAATCACCTTTCCATCGTACGAGGCGTACAGACCATGGGCCCAGCTGTGGCCATGGTACCAGTCGAAAGCACGCCACGTAGGGAAGTAGGTATCTTGGGTGCTGGGGTTGGCCACGTCTCGCACCAGGGAATTCACATAGTCCTTGTTTGCACTCAGCCAGCTCGGGTCCAAATGAGCAATGGCTGCGGCTGCAAGGATGTGATAGCCATAGTGGAAATGATGGTCATTGTACAGCGTGTTGCCAAAGTCGGCGCCGTCGTCGCCTGTGATGTATGTTGCCGAAGAGACGACACCTCCCCAGGCGCCTGAGTCTGGTTAGTGGGATATAAAATCTCAACTCAAGAAATCACAACTCACTCTCATACACCAATGGGTACTTTTGCTTGTTGGAAGCAAACACGGCAAAAGCTGCCTTGAGCCTGTTCAGACCTGACTGCGCCAATGCTGGGTCTTGCAGTATGTCATTGATCACAATAATCAACAGCGCAAACTTTGCCAGGGCCTGAGTACGAGTTAGTTGAAATGTTTCGTAGATGACTGAAGCAGGCCTACCTTTCCGCTAAAGTACATGGAGTCTAGGTCAGACTGAGCCATCATGTCCTGGGACACCTCCTGGGCTGCTATACCACGGATCACGATTTTGGCATCGTCAGACAGAGTGGTTAGACTACCTCTGTCGGGGCTCCAAGGAGCAAATCCCATACTGACCGGCAAGTTCGCTTCCGTCATTGTCCACTGGTCAGCCAAGACCGCAGTCGCAATACCCTTGGTAGGGGTCATGAGCTGGACTGGCTGAACGCCGTTTCTCGTCGTAGAATCAAATGAGGCGACATGATGCGGCAGTGCGTACATGACCAGTTGCCCGTCAGGGTGACCGTCCTTTGCAAACTTGAGGGTGTATGAGCCCGTTGTGCCGCTCACAGAGCCAGACAGCGCGACTGTCGTGGGATAGACACCGGCTGCCTGGTCAAGCAATGCCTCTCCGTTTCCAGGATCCTTGGCAACTTGAATGGTTCCGTAGAACGGCTGCGTTGATTGGGCGAGACCGTTGTTGACCACCTGCAGGTTGAGCTGAGATCCGGTGGTTGCATATGCGTACAGCCGCCAGATCTTGCCGTCTTCGAGTTGGAAAGTGTACTTGGCAACACCGGCCTTGGGGTCCTGTGTCACCCGCGTAACCGTCCTGAAGAAGACTCCAGTGCGGATCACAGGGGTTGCGCCGGCATACTGGGCCGTGATGAAGGGCATTCCTTGGACGAGTGGAAAAGAAACCGCTGGCACAGCTTGAGCATTCGGCTTCAGGTGAATCGTCGCAGAGAAGGCCGTGATGCTGTCGATTCCCACCGCGGTGTCCGACCCGAGCTCCTGGGCGCTGATTACCATTGATTGAATACCTACCGGGTTGATGAAATAAGACGCAGCCCCAGAATCCGCATTGGTCGGGCCGAAGACACGCTGGTTCGCTTCGATGTGGGAAATAGTCATGCCATAGCTAGCAGCGGCCCCTTGTCCTGCCCCCCATGCTATGCCGTAAGGGTAGGTGTACGTCGGCGCTGTCTGGTCTCCCAGGAAGAAGTTGGAGTAAAACTTGTTTGTCTCAATCGGCGAGCTCGAGGTGATGCCCTTTCTCGGAACTGGATGGTCACTGCGGGCAGAGATGGTGCCTGGAGGTGCCCCTGTCCCAATGGGCTCAGAAAAGATGTCTCCGGAGGGCATTGGTGCGGATGGGAGCGGTGCAATTGAGGTAGCAGGCGCCGCTGGGTCGATTAGAGATGAAGGCGTTGGGATAGGGTTTGACATAAGAGGGCAGGATGTAACCTTGCCCGATGCCTCAAGTCCAGTTGCAACGTATCCAGATGTTTGAGGAACCGTGTTTGTTAAGGATGGCAATATCACTACTGTTCCGCTGGCTTCGGCGCTGGTGACGACGTTTGCAACCTGGGAGCTATCAAATACGGGTGCCGATGATTGCTGTGCTCCTTTCGTAGCCCTGACTGTTACGGTGACGTTCGCCGTCTCTGTTAGGCAAGCTAGATCACGACTGTCGAGTAGTAAAGACCGGACGTTCAACTGGCCAAGCGTTACCGGGTCTTGGGGAGTAACGTGAAGGCGGACGTGTTGCTGGTGAAATAGAGCGAGTGCGCTCTCGCAGAGGAGGACCTGTATCAAAGTTAGCCCGAGGATCCCCATTTTTATACGAAGGCCCGCCATGGCGGGGGGAGCAATGATCTTCTCGTGTCGGTAAGAGGGTATTGGGGATGTGTAAGCCTAATTGAGGCTCTTGGGTTGTATGAGGGAGCACGTAGCAGGGAGAAAAGTTCTTCGAATCGCCAGAAGCAGCATTTGAGCGGTGTTCCAACTTCATATAAGCAGATGCATGTGGAAAGCCGCTACACATCAACAATGGAGACCCGCCGGTGAACCGATAGCAGTAAGCCCATGAATGGGATTACCGTAGTCCAGAACGTTAAGATTTGTAGCGTTGCCGCGCAACGTATTGGCGAAGAATGTGATGGGAATGTCCAGGTTCCAGAAACAATGGAGAGGTCTCACCTGTTAGGAATGCAAAACGGCTTGCCGGGGAACTCGGTCAATGTACAAAGCGATGAGAGCCGCGTGATGAGATAGGATAAGGTACTAGGTTCTGAGGGATCGTGATCGGTCAAGACAGATAGGCGTCGGTGGTGACCGTGTCTCGATGGTATCGGAGGCTTCTGTCCCTTTGGCCAAGAGTTGAGGAAGAGACGATGATGTTGTGGCTGGCAACAGCGGCACTCGCAACTCTGAAGGTCTGAGGACTATATGAGCTTGGTGACAAGACCCGATGCAGCTGCAAAAGGTAAGGTAAGGTAAGCAAGTAAAGGATGTGTGCTGGATTCACTACTAGGAAATCTTGGATCTTTTCTGGCAAGCGCAACTAGCGAGATGTTGCGATGGGAAGTTTCGACTCATGTGCACGATTAATGCAGCACCCGACGACCCTCTTTGGCTGACGCGTGTTTGCCCTTGGCGTGGAGACTCTTCGGCATCCAAGCTGCCGCTCGACAGACCGAGGAGAGGGGGCAAATCAGCCAACATTGGCAAAATGACCGATGCCATTGACAGAGCAACAGGTCACTTGGTCCCGAATTCGATGGCATGCAAGTAGGATTGAGACCCGTTGGGAGGAAGAATGTCTTCTCTTTCAGGGATCAAAGTCACGGAGGGGCATCTTGTCGGTTTCCGTTTAGCGAGGCACTCGGGCCAGTGACGTAAGGGCAGCGGCAACGCTGACTTTGACCAGCTGGATCGGGGTGGTAATTGCAACTACAGGCCATTATCGCGAGCGCCGAGTTGAGGTTGATGACAGTGGTCAGGAGATGCCGTATGCTGACACCTTGGAGATGGGAGGTCGTCTCTTTTCTGTGTAACCAGCTCCTTCATTCTGTCACAGGCATTCGGACCTTGGGGAAATTCTTGGCGTCATCTTGGCGAATGTCAGTGACAGGACTTGGCTCACTACTGGGAATTAGGTTATGTCGATGAGCTGTATGATCAGGACAAGAGTGGCATCAGTCGAAAAATAGCATTGGCGGTTATTATGCCTTGTCCTCGGGTCAACAGCTAAATGAATCGATTGAAATCTCAAGACTATCCTAGGGTATCGAAAGCGAACACCATTCCCAAGCGCCTTTACCGAGCCATATGTTATAAACCAAGGGCATTTTACTTTCCTTTGACACTCTCATCGAGCACTTGGCCGCAATGGCCCACCGGATGCGCCGCTTGTCTTCTCCAAGCTATGAGCCCCAGCACTGCCCACCTTGTGTACGCGGTACCGATCTTCTACAACCGCGGCGGCAGTTTTGTTTGTAGCATCAGACCTGATAATCGGCCGACTGTCTCCTCCTTTCTTCAGCTTGTAAGCTGTATAATGGTCTTCCGCGGACGAAGTCGCGGCTGGCATGGTTATCAGCCGTGGCTGCGGTTCCCTCGTCGAATGCCCCTTTCTCAGACTGTAGGCGCGATACCGATCTTCCACGGCTCGCGCAGCCCCAGCAATGACTTGGCCGGCCTGTGCAATCGGACGCGATCCGTCTCCTTTCTTCAATTTGTAGGCGCAGTATCTGTTCTCCTGCGCAGCAGCAGCCTCGGCAGCCTCGGTCTTCCGCCGCATCTCCTCTTCCTCCTCCTTTCTCTTCGCGCGTCTCCTCTCCTTAATTCGCCTCCTCTCCTCGCTCTCGGCGTCCTTGGTCTCCTCCTTCTTACACCTCCGAATCTGCCTCTCGCTGAGTACCCACGGCTGTTGAAGTACGTCGTTCCGGAACCGCGTGCGCTTCTCCCACAACACCACCTCTTGTTCTGTGGACCTGATAATTTTGACTTTTTCGATCTTGATCTGCATCTCCTCGCGGAAAGTGGCTAGTCCTCCTTTGATGTCGACCACCGTGCCGACCTCTACGTCGACGCAGTCTGCAGGAGGCTGGGGCTCCGGCCGTTTGGTAAACCATCCGTTGGCCTCGACATTGGGAGCGCTTGTGTCGGATGGCGGTGTATTCGTCGCGACTGTGCATTCGATGCAGGCCCCACTACTGTCGTCAACCGTGTAGATGAGGCGGCCCGGGAATTTGTCCACGGCAACGACGATGCCGACGATGCGTGCCCATTTGATAGGCAGGTTTTTGTGGAAGAAGAAGTTTTGGACTGCAGGATACATCTCTCGTTAGCCGATGGTCCTGGATCTTATGCATGATCGCTGCAAGTCACCTTTATATTCGGGTACGGATTTGAGGGCGTGGACGTCGGATGCTTGCATGAGACACCATGTGTTGAAGGTTGGAGAGAGGTGCAGGCAGTATTGCGGATAGAGGCCGCCTATAGATACATCGCTCGTCATGGCATTGTCGTTATGGATCAGGTGGGTATCCTCTACCAGACTTGACCGTTTAATGCCGTGATAATCAGTTGCAGGCCACCTCAGATGGGAGGACTTGGTTGCTCAGAGGCTCCGAAAAGCGCGTCGCGTGAGGACATGTATGTGACACTAGGAAGTTCCATGCCCGGGGAGAAGTAAACTTGGTTGAGCTGGGGATGTTTTGGCGGCTGGAGTGCTGAATGCCCCGCCCCGCATTGTGGCGTCGGTCTTTAAGGACTCCTTCAGCACCCTGACAACAGCGCTAACGCAAAATCTGTGCAATCTTCACTGCAAGGAAGTCATCACCATCTGCGAGCCTGCGAATGATCGAATCTGATTGCAAACCACAGAAAGCAGTCTTGTATCGTCATTACCATGTGCCACCTTCATTTACCCGCTTGAAGCCCGTACCAACATGTCCCTTTCCTTGCCGATTTATTCCCAAACCTTTGACGCCGATCCAGAAATGCCATTTTTAACGCTTCGACTTTCGTCCTGCCTTGCTAGGTTTGCTCTCGTCCGCCTTGGCCTTCTTCAATCGTGCAGCTGCAGCCTGGAACGCCTCTTCTGACGGCTCCTCCTCATCTACGACCCTCTTCTTGCCCCTTTTAGGCTGGCTGGTGGCTCCGTACTTGGCGGCGAGATCATCCAGGAACCCGGCGCGTTTCTGCTGGTTGCCCTTGATGAGCGCGGCCAGGTCATCTTCCCCACTGTCCTTGCCCCTCTTTTTCCCCTTGCCCTTCTTATCGCCAAAGAGTTTGTCGTGGACTCCCAGCTCTTTGGCGTACTCCTCGGCCTCGTTCGCCTCACCCTTTGCTGCCTTCACGCGAGCCGCCTTTGACAGCTTGCTCTCCTTGGTGTATCGTTTGTATGCCAGTACATCTTCGCTGGCAATAGCTTCGTCAATAATGTTGCGGAAACGTTCGTCGTCCTCGAGGACATCGCTCAGCATGACCGATTCGTAGATCCCGTCCATGTCGCCCTTGGCCTTTTCATATGCGATCAAGATGTCATCCTTCTCCTCTTCAGAACCCTTGTATTTCTTGGCAAACTTCTCGATGGCGTCTGCAGAAATCGCATCTTGGAATTGCTCGCGGTAGTAATCGGACCAGTTGAATCCCTCCGAGTCGACAATGGACTCGGACGTGGAACCGGTCGCATCGTACCGCTTGCGTCGTGCCGGATCGGAGAGGATAGCGTACGCGAAAGCGATGGACTGGAACTTTTCCTTGGCATCATCTCTTTGGTCGTCGGAGACCTTGTCTGCGCGAGATGCAGTGTTAGTTATGACCCAAGATGACGATTGGCCGCTTCCTCGTACCCGGGTGGTTCTTGAGTGCCGCTTTTCGATACGCTGATTTGACCTGATCCGGTGTAGCTTGGCGTTCGAGCCCCAGGATATCATAGGGATCAATTTCCGGGGGGCTGTCGTCAATGAGATCGTCAGAAGAGGACATTTTGAAGGCTGTGGTGATGTGAATGCCGATCTGATGAGAGACAGAGAGCTGCCTTGGATGTAGCTCTGCGACGCGCTCGAGCTGGGAGAGACGCGCCTGCTAAAGTGGTGGGGCACACAAATCTAAGGTCGCATGGTGAGCCGTGCGTAAGGGACCAACCTTAGCAAGCCGGCGGACCGGGTCGTGCGGTACCGATGCACTGAAGCAGGAGCTTCACTCCCTGTGCCCCTCTGCCCCTCCTGTGGTAACTGGCTCATGGGAGAGCGCTACTTTTTGTGTCTATTCAATCTCAGATTGGTTCCAGTCAAGCTCATTGCATCCTGCAATAGCAAAACATCTCAAACCTCCCGGGTGTTCCGCAACTTGTAGCTCTTACACAGTACTCGAAGCATATCGGGCAACTTTGTGCATTCTCGAATATATTCAAAATGACATCAGCGACCGAGGATATTCAACCAGCGCCGATAGCACCAGGCGATCACGCGGGGTACCTCCAATATGCGCTTTCTCTGGCAAAGCAGTCGCCGCCAAAGCCTACAAATTACAGAGTCGGGGCGGCGCTTGTCAATCCCGCCAGCAACACGGTTGTCTCAACGGGTTACACGCTGGAGCTGCCCGGTAACACGCATGCCGAGCAATGTTGCTTCATAAAGCTAGCCGAACAGCACGACGTTACCGAGGACGAGCTCGGCTCCGTCATCAAGACGCCTCTGGTGCTCTACACGACCATGGAACCGTGTTCGACGAGGCTCAGCGGGAACTTGCCCTGCACCAAGAGGATTCTTCAGCTGCGATCTTTTATCAAGACCGTGTACGTCGGTGTTCAGGAACCCGAAAAGTTCGTCCAGGACAATACCGGGCGGGGCGCGCTCGAGAGGGCGGGTGTCGATTTTGTCCACATCAAAGGGCTTGAAGGCGAGATTCTCAAGGTGGCTACAGCTGGCCACGTCAAAAACACAGAATAGGTCGTTCAGTGATGATATCGTTGCTTCCATATCGTCCGCCGGTAAATGGTGGCGTATGCGGCGGACCGCTGTCATGCAAGGGTGTCCAATGTCGGATGATGACAAACTGCCCGACGGTCAGGCTGCCTTTCACAGGTTGCTACTAGTCGCGTTTCCAATGAAGGCACCTATGGCAGTGACCGGAAAATAGGGAGACTAGAGAATTATGGGGGGAAATAAAAGGCTTTGACGTGGTCGTTCAAGCTGCATACTCTACTTTTGTACCTCACCGTCTTGAGATTGTGTAAGGGTTCACAATGTCTCTCCCTGCGCTCGATATCTTGAGCTGCCAATGGTTGCGGTTATTGGATAGCTTCAATGGCCAATTCTTGTATACGGTCAGGCAATATGCCAGACCGCAGTGACGTCGTCATTCAGCTTGTGATTGGGATTACATGTCGATGGCTTGGCAGCTTGCTATCGCGAGTTTGACATGATAATTCCCAGGAAGAAGGCGGTTTCTCGCTTTGAAAATTCAAGACATTGGGAAGCGCAACGAGTGGCATACAGAGCAGAAAACGCCATGAAACAATCAGCAGCCACATCCCCGCGGTTTCCGGTGCTTCTTTTCCGGCGGCGGCCAGTCACCCATTGCAACCCAATGAAGTTGTACCGCTTGCTCCGTTTGCTTTTGCCTCCCTGCTGTATGCATACCGCTCCTTCATTTCCCTTTTGTGTTTTTTTGGGCTTGCCCTCGCCTACTGTTATGGGCTTCACTGCATCAGCAAAGCGCCAAAAGCCTCTAGGAAAGCTGATTCTCTACAGTCCTAGCAAGGAACAGAAATAGTGAGAAAGGAAAGCTCAAGTCTATTCCATAATTGCTGTTTCTTCTAAAGGTAGTCACGGTGGTAAAACGAGGCAAGGTTGGCCGGGGTCGGGTCGGCTTAAGGTAGTCGTAAATCATACTACGGGCGGTCCAGTTGGTGTGAGACACCGTGGGTGTGCTCTTGCAACCATCCCGTGAGCCTGATCAAACACCATCGGCCAATCGGGAGTGTCCCAGGATTGCCAGGGCGTGACGCCGTTGGCTAGGCCACATGGGAAGGCCTTTCCCCCCACTATTTTTAAACTTTGATAATGCGTCGCACAGAGTAGGTAGGTACCTACCTACCTACCTCCAGTCTTTTGATAACTAGATAGACATCGAGAACAAGTCCCATTATATTGCATTGCTTCCCTTCGCAAACCCCCAATTCGGGCGGCGCCATTTGGACCAGGACAAATCACTTTTACTTACTCTCCTCTTGGTGAGTAACCGGCACACCGCCTGCCAGCCCAACTGTTTTCCCCCATTCACAGTGGCCTCCACGTTTGGCACTAGCACCTCGAAGCTAGGTACCCCGGACTCCCCAGTACCCCTTGTGAAGGGTCCCGTTTTTGACTTTCTCTGGTGTCGTGCCACACTTCATACGCAAGGCAATGGAAGGATAACCACCTCACCTCGAGGTAGCCGGGACCAAGATCCACTGCTTCCCGTCCCGTCTCTCATATCTCACTCTCAACTTCTGCCATACCTCCGGATTCTTCGACATCATCAGCAAACTTCGGATCCGCTGAGATCGTCTCGACGGCCTCCCGCGTTAGTTGCCCTCGGTGTTTTTTTACCGCTTGTTGCACACATTTCTCCATCTCCAACCAGTATTCCCGCTTTCCGTTTGGCATGCCACCCGTTGGTCGACAAATGTGCCTTTTCCCCTCAAGGCACACATGAGCTGGGCCTTTCGCCTACAGATGCCAACGACGCTGGTACTTAAGTAGTACAGAAAATATCTGAACACAGCATTCTGCAGTAAGTGGCGCTTCACAATTCATCTTGTTGAGCACTTGAACCTCAATTGAATCTGCAGCTTACATTCAACCTGCTTCAGCTTTACCGAATATTCACTTACTCAATGGCGGACTCTGGACGTGGTGGCCGAGGCGGCGGCCGTGGCGGCTTTAGAGGAGACCGCGGCGGCCGTGGCGGCGGTTCCGGAGGAGATCGTGGTGGACGTGGCCGAGGTGGACGTGGCCGAGGTGGACGTGGAGGCGGCGACTTCCAACCCCGAGGAGGTGGCGATGGCGGCGGCGGCTTCCGTGGTGACCGAGGCGGCGGCCGTGGCGGCGGTCCTGGAGGAGATCGTGGTGGCCGTGGCGGTGGTTACAGAGGTGATCGGGGAGGACGAGGTGGTTTCGAACGCGGTGGACGAGGCGGCGGCGGCTTCAGGGGCGGACGAGGCGGTTCCGTCCCATTTGAGAACGAAGGTCGCTTCTTCGGGTACGTGAAAGATCACCACTCTGTCGCTTCAGCTCAACTAATCTCTAGCAGTGAGAATAAGCCGATTCCCCAACCCGATAGCAGCACAGCAGAGCTCGAGAATCGCATCGTCAAATCTCACCAGGCTAAGGACACCGACCTCGTGAAGAAGATGAGCTCGATGAAAATCATTGACGCAACATCGGCTGCGCTCATGCCCCGTCGCCCTGCCTACGGCACCAAAGGCAAGAAGGTCCTTCTCTGGGCCAACTACTTTCGCCTCACCGTCAACCCTGACATCGTCTGGCGATACAATCTCGAGGTCCGCAAGGGCGAATCCAAAGACAAAGAGCCTTCGAAGGAGAAGGAGCCTTCGCCCAAAGGCAAGGGCAAGGAGAAAGCCCAACCTAGCGGCGGTGGCAGCGGCGGCGGTGGCGCTCCAGCTTCCATCCCTGCTCGCAAGCTGAAGATCATTCTACAGCATGCTCTCGAAGAGCTGAGGAACCTCGAGCCAGGTGCTATTCTCGCGACCGAGTTCAAAAGCCAGCTCGTCTCGCTCAAGAAGCTCAAGTTGGCTGTCAACCCTATCCAGGTCATCTTCACGCAGGAGAACTCTGGCAGATCGGAGAGCTACTTGGTCAAGATCGTTGGCGAGACAGAAGCTCCATTGGGGGAGATGAAGGAGTATCTCAGGACCATGATCGACAAGAGCGACCCGGATGAAACCAACTTTCCTAGGTTTGCAACCTCTGTTGATGCCCTTGGCATTATTCTTGGCTACACTCCTCGAAGGAATGACCAGGTCACTGCTATTGGAAATGGCCGGTTCTTTCCTTGGGGTCCAGGATCTGAAAGCCAACAACTTGGTTGGCAGGATCCACTCACGGCTATCCGGGGTTACTTTCAGAGTGTAAGACTTGGAACCGGCGCTTTACTTCTGAACATCAACGTAACCCATGGTGTCTTTAAGACTCCTGTCAATTTGAAGGACCTTTGTGGTGGGTTCGGGGTCAATGTCTTTGACAGGAGTCCTGCGGAAGCCCAAAGAGTGGTCAGCAGACTGCGAACCCTCTCCAAGTTCTTGGCTCGCACTCGTGTAGAGGTTAGGTTCAAGGATGCCACAGGAAAAGAAATCACGAGCAAGAAAACGATCCTTGGCCTCGCATACGTGGGAGACATCAGAGACAAGCAGGATGTCAAGTTTGCGAAGGATTTCCACTACGGTGGTCCTCGCCAGGTCTCCTTCAGGATGGCGGCAGCAGAAGGACAAAAGACTGTGATGAACAACAAGCCGCCCGGCATGTACACTGTCGAGCAATATTGGACATGGAAGTACGGCAAAGCTCCCGACCTGACCATGCCTCTTGTCAACCTTGGAACACGAGACAAGCCTACGTTCTTCCCCGCTGAGCAGTGTACCATCATTGCGGGCCAAGCCGTGCGTTCGAAGCTCAACGGCGAGGAGACGACGGCAATGCTCAATTTTGCTTGTCGATCTCCCTTTCGCAACGCTATTTCCCTCACAGTTGACAGTTGCCAAGCTTTAGGCCTCGACAGCGAGCTTGTCAAGGACTTTGGTCTCAAAGTCGACAAGAATCTCTTAACGGTCAATGGTCGCGAGCTGATGGCGCCTTCCATAGCTTACAAGAACAAGAACATCACCACTCAGGCAGGCTCATGGAATATGGTTGACGTCAAGTTTGCCAAGGTTGGACCCAAAATCGAGAAGTGGACCTGGGTTCGCATCATGGACCGCTATTCCAAGACCCCGACGGGCGATGTAGCCCAAATCGTCGGCAACTTTGCTCAATTTCTCGGTACTAGCGGCATTGGAATGAATCCGACACCTCTTCCGCTTCCATTGGAAGAACGCGAAATCAACGACAACTACGCTGCAATCGAGTATCGTTTTAATTATATCAGCGAACGTCTCAAGGGTAACACCAAGAACGTCTTCTTGCTTGTCGTCCTTCCTAAGCAAGATACCGGGATATATAGCGCCGTCAAGAAACTTGCAGACACGGTGTATGGCTTCCACACTGTATGCGTTGTGGAGAAAACCTTCATGAGGGACAACAAGCAGACCTACGCCAACGTTGGACTGAAGTGGAACTTAAAGAATGGCGGTGTCAACCATATCGTCAGGGACCCTATTGATATTATCAACCTGGGAAAGACCATGATCGTTGGCTACGATGTCACCCATCCGACAAATATGCCAAACGACAAGAACGCTGCACCGAGTCTGGTCGGGTTGGTTGCCAGCGTTGACAAGGACATGGGTCAGTGGCCGGGTGTTGCTTGGGAACAGACCAGTCGCCAGGAGATGCTTGGTGACGAGTTGATCACGCATTTCAAGCGTCGCCTCGAGCTTTGGAGATCACGTAACACTGGTAACCTCCCGGATTACATCGTCATCTACCGTGATGGTGTATCCGAGGGTCAGTTTACGCAAGTTCTCGATGTTGAGCTGCCTATGATTCGCCAGGCATGCGCTGCGATGTACTCGGGTAACCGCAGGCCTAAGATATCAATCATCGTCTCTGTCAAGCGCCACCAGACTCGCTTCTACCCGACCTCAGAAGCTACCATGGATGAGAGGTCGCGCAATATTCGGAACGGCACGGTCGTTGATCGTGGAGTCACCCAAGCGCGTTACTGGGACTTCTTCCTAACGGCCCATACCGCCCTGAAGGGAACCGCCCGTCCGGCGCATTACACGGTGCTCTTGGATGAGATTTTCCGCGACAAGTATGGTGTCGGTGACAGGGCGGCGGACAACCTGGAGAAGCTCACCCATGACCTCTGCTACTCGTTCGGCCGAGCGACGAAGGCTGTCAGCATCTGCCCGCCAGCATACTACGCCGACATTCTGTGCGAGCGAGCCCGTGTCCACCGCCCCGAGCACTTTGATGCGCCGGACTCATCGGATACTGGCAGCGTTGCTGCTGGCCCTTCAACTACAGGCCTTAGCGTGCATGAGAACCTAAGGGACACAATGTACTACATCTAAGGTTGAGATATTTTGGCATTTGGAAGCGACTGGATCAGACTGCGGACCAAAATCGACAGCAGGGGTTTGGTGGCAGAAGGGGAGACAGATATTCAGCGACATGAATGCATGGTAGACTGGATTACATTGTAGAGATCTATTGCCGCTAGAATCCACAATATAGCCGGAATTTCCTGTGGAAGCAGGCAGTCTTGCGTGGCAAAGGTTTTAGGGCATGATTAAGCCGAGATAATGTTGCCCCAATGAATCGCCCGATGGTGCCTGGGTCCGGACCGGCTTTGCGTACTTGAGGCAAGGTATCGGTAGTTGACAATTGATCGGTCTGCTTTGCTATTGGCTTCATGTTGACGTCAGTGGGGATCTGGTGAGGGGCAGCTTTCTCGTGGCGGGGTAAGCTGTTTGCTCGGACAAGGAGCTGCGACGAGGCAGCCGGAGCTCGACAGTGACAAATCGTCATGCACTTTTTGGTTACCTGTTATATCCGAAAAGGCTCCATTTCATCCAGCTTCGATCTCCGAAATACCAAGCCCCCGCTCCAACTTCCTGAAAGCAGCTGTTGCATGAACCAACCTTACTGCTTCTATGAACTCCCTCCGAGCTTTGCAGAGAATCAAGCTTATCCAGAATACACTGACTAAGAAGCCTACCGGTGAGTTTCGTGCAATGTCTTGGCACTCTCAAGCTTCCATTGCCTAGTCCTGCCTTGACAAAATGCATTGCACGGATAGCTGATTGCAGGTTGTGTTTCCAGGACGAGCCAGTCAATTTGCGACCATGGCTGCCACGACAGATGTGAAGAACTACAAGTTCAACCACTCGAGTAAGTTCGATTTTCCGCAATCGGTGACTCGTTACTAAGTAAATAATAGTGATCCGAGTGAAGGACCCCAAGGCTTCGGGTACGCATCAAAAGTCGCCGACCCACACACTTCACCATCTCTACTGACACCCGGCTTCGCAGTCAAGTTCTACGAGACCCTCGGCATGAAGGTCATCAAGCAGATTCAACAACCCGAGGCCAAGTTCGACCTTTACTTTCTGGCGTACGACTCGCCCAATTCCAGGTCCGCCGGCAGCGGCACCTTTGACCGCGAGGGCATCATCGAACTGACGCACAACTACGGCACCGAGAACGACCCGGAGTACAAGATCAACAACGGCAACACGGAGCCGCACCGCGGGTTCGGTCACACGTGCATCAGCGTCGACAACATCCAGGCAGCATGCCAGCGCCTCGAGGACGCCGGGTACGCGTTCAAGAAGAAGCTGACGGACGGCAAGATGCGGCATATTGCTTTCGTGTTGGATCCCGATCAGTACTGGGTTGAGATTATCGGCCAGAAGCCGATTGAGCAGACGGAGGACGTCAAGGAGACAGACGTGGCTACGTATAGAATGGTAAGACTGCTCCTCATTAGAGGCTCCGCAAGGAAGTTGGACAAAGAACCGCTGACGAAATAACGCGGAATTCAGAACCACACCATGCTCCGCGTCAAGGACTACGAGAAGTCTCTCAAGTTCTACCAGGACGTCTTGGGTATGACGCTGATTCGCAAGAACGAGGCCAGCGATTTCACGCTATTTTTCCTGGCGTACGGCGACCTCAAGGAGGGCGAAAGCCAGGCGCAGCGCGAGGGCATCCTCGAGCTGACCTGGAACCACGGTACCGAGAAGGACGAGAGCTTCAGCTACCACAACGGCAATGACCAACCCCAGGGCTTTGGACACATTTGTAAGCTTTTCATATTTTTGGTTGCAAAGTCGCGTTTTGGACCAGTCGCGGTTCAAGGGAGTGAAGAGAGAAACAAAGGACTAATGAAAGGGCAGGTGTTACGGTCGATAACATCGACGCCGCTTGCGCGCGGTTTGAGGAGTTGAAGTGCAACTGGAAGAAGCGCCTCACCGATGGGCGCATGAAGAACGTTGCCTTTTTGTTGGACCCCGACAACTACTGGGTTGAGGTTGTCCAGAATGAGAAGTTTGCCGGCAAGGCCAACTTCTAAGCGCTCGGTTTATGAAATCGCTTTTTTTATATTAAAAAAGGAAAGGCATGGCATGCATGAGATGAGATGGAGTTGCGAGTGAATGGCGTCCGGTGAGAGAAAAAGAGCGGGCGGGATGAGCGGATTGAGTGGGAACTGAGGCGTCTGAAAAGTAGGCGGAGTTGATTCGCAGTCTCCGGGCTCATCTCGAGCGGTGTTTGGTGAGGCGCCCAAAGCAGCCATGAGTATTGGCATATGAGGGCTTCGTCAGTGTAGAAAACCAATCCGTTAATTACAACATTTCAAATCTCGAATCCTTCGTGACAAGATTCCAAACGGCTTGCGGCTGATGCTGACGTGAGGATTCCAAAGTGCGCGGTGGATCCTCGGCTAACCGAGCAACGTGGAATCCAAGCAGTGATTCCATCTTGATTCCACGCTGTGGCGCTTGCATTGCTGCTGTGGCGGGACCTTCTCCAAGAGCTCCAGCCAGGGGCACTCGGACCCCCGGGGATTTCGCACTGCAGAAGCGTCCGTCAAACAGCCCCGCCAAAAGTCGTTGACGCACTCGCTGGGCACAGCTGGACTCCTAGTACAAATCATCATTGGCCAAGAGCCCGCTCCGATTTGTCACTGCCCTGCCTCTCTTTCACACCCCTCCTCCCCCGACGTTCTGTAACATCTTCAGACGACATTCTGATATAAACCTCCCAGCAACCCAAAAACAATCCCAAGATCACTCAACAAGTAGCAGAGCAACTCACACAAAACCACCAACTCATAAGCTGGTAAAGAAGACGTTCTCAACTAGCCGAACCTGGGTAAAGAGAGTTGCCGCCAAATGCGATTCTCACCCTTCATCTCCACACTCGTCTATACCTTTTCCAACTTTTCCCGCGTCCGCGCTGCGCAGTCCCTAGGATCCCAGGCGCCCCTCGCAGCAAACCGTCAGCTCCGCGCTTCCATGCCATCGATCCCGTTCCTGGGCGCTCTTTTCGGCTCTTCCGCTTCGCAGCAGGACAAGATGTCGTACCCTGATAAGAAGTCTGATGATGAGTGGCGGGCCGTTTTGAACAAGGGTACGCTCTCATTCCCGTTATCTCATTCTACCTCATTTCATTTCATGAGCGGCCTCTCAGTTGAGAAACCGGTTATATATGGGATGAATGGTGTTCATGGACCGTGAGAAAGCGTGAGACAAGTAAAACTAACACGTCACCAGAGCAATTCCGCATCCTCCGTGAAAAGGGTACTGAGCCCCCCGGCTCGGGCAAGTTCGACAAGCACTACCCGTCCGAGGGCGTCTACGCCTGCGCGGGCTGCTCGACGCCGCTGTATAAGGCCACACACAAGTTCAAGTCGGGCTGCGGCTGGCCCGCCTACTTTGACTCGCTCCCCGGCGCCGTTGTGCGCCACGAGGACCGCATGTTCGGCATGACGCGCACCGAGATCGTGTGCGCCAACTGCGGCGGCCACCTAGGCCATGTCTTCAAGGGCGAGGGATTCGACACGCCGACGGATGAGAGGCACTGCGTCAATAGTGTGAGTTTGACTTTTGCGCCGGATGAGAAGACTGCTGGTGAGAGTGGGAGTGCCGAGGCCGGGAAGGGCGAGAGCAAGGTTTGAATGGGTTGTGATGTTGATGGGGCGTGGGCGTTGTGGCGAGGTGGAGATGGGTGTCGATTACGAGATTTGAGGATTAACTAGGAGTGGAGAGGCGGTTAAGGAATGGCGTTGTTCATCGACTGAATGATCCTGGGTGTATCATCGGGAATGAAATTTGAAATTTGGTGACTTAGAGTGAGATACTTCGATATCTCCCACAGCCTCAACTGTCACTTATGAGCCATGTTTCTTATGTGACATGCACTTTGAATAGCTGTTACACATGGCATAAACACGTTGAATTGTTAGCCACCAACCATTTAATTATAAACGCCCTCCACCTCCCGAAAGTAGGATAACTAATACACCATTATATTTTTCTCGCGGGCCAAGGTAGTCGGGGCAAAGGATTTCAAGCGCGTATCTTACATGTTAGCAATAGGTACATTCAGAACAGTCAGGATAGAACGTAATCTGAAGGGATGAGAGGGAGGCAGGAAGAGCGGTTTGAGAGGAGCTTCAAGAGCTGCTTCGCTAACTCGGAGCCATGGAAATATGGCTTTAAGAACCATTGTGTATGGCGGACGCCTCTATCCTCATTTGGTTTTGCTACATCTGAGATGGCCTCCGACTTTAATAGCACGTCTGAGATATTTGAGCTCCTCTGAAATTACACATTCCGGGTACTTTCACGCTGATCATCAGTATGTGACGGGAATGGCATCAAATAAAAGCTTAAGAACACACCCTTTGTCCACACAAAGTACACGAGTCGGGGTCAGATCTACGCCCATGCAAGGAACGGAAGTACCTGAGATTTCCAATTGCATTTCGCCGGTCTACTACAATTACGTCTTGTGTTCAGCACGACGCACAAGGCATCACGCAGCGGCGGACCAGTGCTGCCTGAAATGGTTGGAAGTGACTGCGGGCCACTTGATGATAGAGTAAGGCGCGGAAAGGCTTCCATGTCTGCCTTACCTTTCCTTACCCCGGCAGTGCCTGGCCAATTATTGTGGAAACCTTCTGATGATGACTGGCGGAAAGGTCTAGCCGCACTTAAATGTCACCTCATGTAAGTCCGGTGCTCAGCGTAAGCCGAGTGGTAATTTGACAACTGGGGTTCATAGCGGCTGGGTTGCATCTCACGCTGGAATTGCCTCACTCATCTCCTTCCTTATTTGGCGTCTCCAAATCCGCCTTGCTCGCGCCTGACCTGATGCCTTGGTGCAGGCTTTTACGCGGCTTTGAGGGGAATATGCGCAGCGTCTGCGCCATGATCTGAATATAGCCTGTCCAACCAGTAAGATTTGCAGCTGCATGTATCTATGATGCATTTGGTATGCAACAGAGATGCAGTTATCGATTTGAGACTTTCGATTGAATTATCGGGCATCGATCAGGCCGTCAAATATTTAGCCGTCTCCTTCTTCCTCTGTTGAACAATTTTTCTACCATCCCTCATCCTCATGACTTCTGAAAGACGGCCTCTGCCTTCCGACTCCACCCCGCCAAACCGACGATAGTTACACGAGAAGAAGCCACGGTAATGTTTAATTGGCACCACAGCTCCTGCTACTCTAGGAGTATCGGATTCTCAGAGGAAAGGGGAGTACCGATTTGTTCCGGCGAAAAATGTGTTGCTCCTCGCAAAGGCATCTCGAAGACGGATTCCGAAACAGTGATACCCGTGCCGCCTTCGAAGACTACATTCGAGCTTACATGGCCATCTTCACTGCCTTTTGTGGACGATGATTCGAAAGAAATTCCTTCACTCACAAGAAAAGAGTCTTCTTCCAATGAGTCAGAATCGAATAGATCCCCCGACTCTAGTCTGCCGAAAACAACGGCAACAAAACGGAGAGCTTCTTCACCACAGCGTGTCAACGGAGGTGTTGCGTCACATATTGGACAACGTGCTCCAACCAACCAAGAACCTTCAATCGGTTCGCCTACCCCATGCAAGGCGGCATACGAGCCTCTTGTCGCCCGGAAGATTAGGCTCCTCGAGCTACTCGAAGGCAATTACCATGACCCAGTTCGAGTTGAGCTTCAAGTCACAGACTTGGCTGGCATGCCGGAGTACGAGGCCCTGTCATATACCTGGGCGGATAGCAATGGGGACTCTTCCAAATGCGAGAGGGCCTACGTTGGAGAGCGCTGGGATATTCTCCCAATCACCAAAAACTGCTTCAACGCCCTTCGCCGCTTGCGATATTCAGGCCGGCGTAGGACATTGTGGGTTGACGCCATCTGCATTAACCAGAATGATGTGGGTGAGAGGTCCCATCAAGTTGGGATCATGCAAAGCATCTACGCAACTGCCTCGAGGGTTCTGATCTACCTAGGAGAGAACGTGGAAGACTCGAATGCCACAAACTCCGTCCCATGGAATTTCTACGACCACAACCCAAGATCTTTGCCTTCAGACCAAGATCTCACACGACAGCCATACTTCAAGAGAGTATGGGTGGTCCAAGAGATAGCTGCAGCAAAAAAAGCTTGGGTTCTCTTTGGGACGAAGGGAGATCGATGGGAAGACTTTCTCCTTAAGGTCGAGGCTCAGACCAACACGCAGCCCACAGATGCACAGTACACATGGGCGAGAACTGCCACTCATGGCCGCAATAAGCCTCACTCGAAGCAAGAGTGGGTGCGTATGCTCCGGCAAAGGAAGGTCATGGACTCAGAAGAGCTTCCAATATTTCTTCACGCCACTGCCCGGTGTGAGGCTACAGACCGCCGGGACAAGATTTATGCCTTACTGGGGCTCTTCCAAGACGCCAACCAAGCTCAATTGATTGCGGACTACTCGCTCAGTGTGGATCAGGTGTTCAGTGGCTTGACTGCTTATCTGCTCTCCAAAAGCCCTGCATTCATATTGCCAATCTTTGCAGCACTTCAGCCAAAATCATCAGATACCTTCCCCTCGTGGGCTGTCGACTGGTCGTCGGCGACAAACTTGGGTTGCATGGTGCCATACCTAGCTAAGGAAGCTTCTCAAATCCCAGCTGAAATCAACTCTCAAAATGTCTCGTATATGCCTCGTTTTCATCGCAACGGTTCTTTGGTCCTCCAAGGACGCCTACTCGCACATCTCTCAAGTTGTGTTTTCAATTCGAAGTGTCAAGAAGGGCCACCCGGTGTCCTGAAAGGGGTCTTTTACGGCGGGGTCCTGCGTGACGGAACAGGAACCCAAGTTCCGAATGCCCTACCGGACTGGACCGAGTCGACCGATGAAATTTTACAGATCCAGGGCCTCGACAACTATTCGCTAGTGCTTCGACCCGTCGCAAAGGCTCCCAAGACATATCGTTTTGTAGCTATTATCGAACAGCCCGAGTTCGACCGTATATTAGGGTCTGTCAACTTGATAGATCGCGCGACGATCCTGCTTTTCTCAGCATGGCAATACATACTCAACGTACCGCGCGGCACAGACCTCTGGTGTCTTGCTGGGACATGGTACACGATCAAAGCTATATGCTGGGAAATAAAAAGTTATTGGAACATGGAAGAGACCATTTCTAGCCTCTTTGACTCATCCACAGATTTGAAATACGAAGAACAGCCATCCAGTAGTGGCGAAAATCAGGCAACACTAGACATGTTCCGAGATCTAGTGCCTGCTACGAGACAACTTCAGGACAGGCATTCGCCCAATGGATCCGAGCGTTCATTTGTCGCGGATCGAAAGTCTTTACAAGACAGCATTCATAATCTAAGAGAATTTGGGACTTGCCTTGAAAAAGTACGTGGAACAAAAGAGTTTGGGGAGATGGAAGTCGGCGGCATCGGCCCATCCGGTCTACTTCGGCAACATCTAAAGACGATATTCAGGGCATACGAAGAATATCTGGAGGTTCCAGAGATACTGGAGCAGGAATTGAACCGATGGAAAACACTCCGTGACCTGCGATGGGAAGCACATCACGCCGCCCCGCCCCACGTTGGTTCCCAAATTTCTGTCCAGCATTCCCGGAATTTGGCCATAGATCTTCAAAAGCGAGAAGCAATGGAAGATATGATCAATGTTTCGGATTGTGGTTGGGACTGGGAATCAACCGGAGGCTCCCTACCCAGAACGGAACCAGCAGAAGTGGGGAGGCGCGTTGAATTTGGCAGCTCTTCTTTCATGTTGCCACATAATGTCACTCAGATCGATTTGAAAGATCTCGCGGAGAGACACCGTAAAGTCTCCAAAGAAAATTTCGTGGATGCAGATACAGAGTTTTTTAAGTTGCTTCTGTGTCGAGGTGTGGATCGCAGAAACATCTCCAACCGCTATAGGACACAGCAGTCCAAGAATGAGCAGAGCTTTGAGAACTTACGCGACGATATGATAGTGCGATGGTTTCAAGATCATCTCACTGATGAAAGGAGAAGTCTCTCTTGGAAAGCAAGGTACTTTGAGAAACATCACCTGAAGCCTTGGGCAGCCAACTTCATCCGCACGTGGACCCTCCTCACAAAGCGCAGTCGCTACGGTCCTGATGCTCCTAAGCCTGTGGACATTCCTCATGAAAAGATGGATGATTGGCGTGAAGAGTACATGTATAAACGGCTAAAAGAGTATGAACGGCACCAAGAGTATGAACGGCACCAAGAGGATGAAAGCTATCTGGCTGCAGCGAAAGCAAAGTGGGCACCGTTGCTCGACCTCGTAAGAGAAACCGAGAAGCGCCTGCTCCCTCTGGAGACGGTATTCCTCGACACATATGACACGCGTGATGAGCAGATGGATGGCGTCCACTGGGAGGATGTCGTTATCATTTGACTGGATGCGCTGTTTCAAGCCTGCCTTGTCGCAGCATGGCAGACACACGACATAGGTGCTCGTGGGGAAAAAAGAGACTTTATACGGTCCGACGAACCAGGAACTGGGTGGACGAATTTGCGATTCAAAGTCAAGGTGTCATTTGAAATTGGCATTATGCATTACTCTCGTATCTCATATACGTATCGAGACCACAATGCAAGTCATGTACAAGAATAAACATCCCCAAGCAGAGACTACACCTCCTAACACCCACAAACATTGAACAGCGCAACAGAAGGGTCGTGGTCGCTGACGAGGTCGTCGTACAGCTCCCATGAGTTGACGTGGATGTGCTCGTACGCGGTGCCGTTCTTGGTGGCGAGCGCGGGGCTGACAAACATGTGGTCGAGCTCCTGCGCGTTCATGTCGTAGACGTAGGTGTAGCGCTCCTCGACGGGGATTCCGACAGCCTCGTCGAGGTCAATGAGCCCAGAGGTGGACGCAAAGACCTTGAGGGGTTCGACAAAGGTGAACTCGTTGAAGTCGCCGGCCGTGATGATGCGCGCATTGGCGTCCAGGGCGAGGATCTCGGCGATGAAGGACTAGGTTGGGGTTAGCTTGACGATTCCAAAGTTCGAATGATTCGGGTGGAGCCAGGGAGTGGGAAAACGTACGCCGGTAACCTTAGCCTGCTCGATGCGCGGGTTCACCACGCCGTTGACGGGAGGACGGGGGTCGCCGTGCAGGGACGAGGAGCTTCCCTTGGACGCGAAGTGCACGTTGACGGTGAAGAAGGTCTTGTTCTGCGGGCCGTTGACGGCGTGCCACTGCGCGACGAGGGGCTTGCGGCTGGCGTCCCATGCGGTGTTGGTGGGGTCGATGCGGCCCGGGTTGTACTTGAGCGCGGGGCCGGCGAGGACCTCATTGGCGTCGAGGCTGCCGCCCGGGTTGGGCTTGTAGAGCTCGACGACATCGGGCTTGTAGAGGTAGGCGACGCGGATGTTGCCGCCGGGCTGGCCGCCGTCTTTGCCGTCGACGGGGTCGATGACGACCCAGTCATAGACGACGCCGGACTTGGTCTCGATGGCGGCGGTCAGGGTGGAGAGGGTGAGGTTGGAGGAGACGACGCCGTTGTTAGTCGCGCCATTGTCGTCCTGAATCTCCTGGACGAAGACGAGGTCGGGCGTCTTCATGTAGTCGACGATGTGGGCGGCAACGGAGGGGAGGTGGGCGACGGTCGGGGAGAGGTTCTCGACGTTATAGTCACCGACGGTGATGCCCCTGCAGTCGCCGCGGCTGACGAGGGTGGTGGCGGGCGCGTCGTTTGTAGCGTTCTTTGTAATTGTGATTGCGGTCAGGGGGAGGATGCGGTAAAAGCCGAAAGCGTTGGTGACGATGCCGGTGATCTCGGTGAGCTCGTCGCCCATCTTGGACTCGGGGTTCTTTGTGCCGTCCAAGGGGGAGCCGATGATGATGACCTCGGGGTTTGAGTCTTTTGCCATGTCAGTGACTTTGTGGCTGAGGATATGGGATACAAGGGGAACAGGTCCTTACCCTTGTCAGACATGGTGATGCCGCCGTGCGCATTGCGGCCGGTGACGGACCAGTCACCAATGACCCAGGTGTCACCGTACTGGTTGGGGCGAGAGACGCCGACGGGGCTCTTGACGGTGACGAGCTCGCCGCTCAAAGACTCCCAGAAGTCGAGCCCGTAGAGCGTGGGGTTGAGGACGGGGTTCTTGGTGGAGATGTTCGCGACGGCGTTGGGGACGGCGTAGACGTCGCCGCCGTCGAGGCCGCTGTACTGCTCCGTCGGCGGGGGCAGTGTGTCGACGCCGATGACGAGGGGGGTGACCTCATTACCCTTTGAGACGACGACGACGTTCTTAGGGGAGCTGAGCTCTGTGAGGTAGATGTAGTTCGTTGCGGACCTTATCTCCTTTTGTTAGAGGAGCGGGCTCTGCATGTCACTGGGGGTTCAAGACTTGTCTCACCTGTACTCCTGGATCTTCCCATCCACAGTGATGAGGTCGCCCACAGCCAAGTTCGCGCCAACGGTGCTGCCGTAGACGTAGAGCGCCTCGGAGGTGGCATCGTCGTCGTCAGGCGTGGTCGAGCGGATCCAGATTCCGCTAGGTCCCTTGGCGAGAACCAGACCGGTGACGTTGGTCACGGACTGGTCCTTGTACGGAGAGAGGAACTTGTTGCCGTTGATCTCGGCAATGGTCAAGGCCGAGGCGGCGCCGGCGGCGGAGAGGAAGAGGGAAGTGACCTTCATCTTGACAGGTACGCGGTCGCGAGAATGAAGGTAGCGAAGCTCTATTCTCTCTGGAATCGCACGTCCTGAGCAAAAAGAGAAGACGAGGCTCGCCCGTTTTTATTCTCGCCGCGGGGGACTCGCCACTATGGATAGGATGGAGCTGAGCTCTCAGCTTGTAGTCCCGTTCCCCTGGTCAGGGTCGTATCGTGCCGAGAAGTCTGAATGCCAAGAAAGCTGCATCATATGGACCCAGCGATCCTTTCCGCCCTTGCATCTCGGGAGCTGCCTCTTCGCATGTGAGCAACTGCGTCGGACGCGCTCCATGGATGCGATAGGATTGGGCGAGGACGAGAGGAGGCGCGGCCAGCTCCGATATTACGCACCTCATATCGTAGGGCTGCTGGACTTCCTCACTGGAGGGAATTAACAAGACATGAGTCTGTCATCTATCATCGGAGCAGGGGTCCGGTCGTATTAATTGGCCTCTTAGAGCCATCCGTGCCTTGCACGTTCTTGTCATTGAAATACGAACTAACAGTACCGGCAAAGACATGGCCCCGAATTAACCTTGAACCCCGTCGCGGCGCTGTATTGGCTGGCCATGGCTCAATCGGGAAGGTGATGGTTCCTGCGAGGGCGGGAGAGTGGCCTAGCTGGTGTCTAGTTCAGTGGGGAAAAGAAAACCAGTCTGCGGATATCCAAAAGGTTGAACTCAGAACGGGTGTGGGGGGGAAAGGCGAGAGGGAACGCAAGAAGTGACACTGAGCAACTTTGCTTTTGACGTGGGCAATAGATGGAGAGAGACAAGGGAGAGAGAGAGAGAGAGACCGGGTTCACAATCAGCGAGTCATTCCCAATACTCCAACGAGGACGAAAGGTTATACCAACCATCCTGATGGGCCGAATATCCCGCAAGGCAAATCGGACCAACTCCCTTCCTAGGACAAGTTTGCTCTCGGTGCCAAGACCTGGTGGACGCGTGGTGTCTTTGCTGTTGTTGGTCGAGAGCGGTTGCTGCAAAGGCGGAGGAGGTGCGGAAGACAAAAGTCAATTACCTACTAAGTACGGTACTCTTAAACACGGGCAGGGGTCGTTTAGGGGCCGCTAATCTACGCCTTATCACCCGCCAATCATCTGCCTCACGTGTCGATGACAGAGCGTCGTCGGCCCCAGAGCTCCAACCTCCGTTCCATGTTCTTGAAAGTGCCCCTGTCTATCACCGGCGTCCCCAGCCTACCAAGATTCTCGACATCCCCCATTTCATGACACCCCTCACAGCTTACTCTCAACGTTTGCGTAGTTGCATAGCAACATGGCCCGCTCTCACTCATGTATAGCCAGCTTCACTTCCACCGATACCTCATCACTCAAAACATCTCATTTGAAGAATCTTTGGTCGAATTCTTACTATCATAATACCACGACTAATCTTTTCGAAAGATGGGGTTTGGCCTAGAAACTGCGGTGCACACCTTCTCTCAATTTCCCACATATGAAAACTGTCCCAGGAGGTTACAAAGACTTGTACAAATCCCAAGGACCTCCTGTCCATTGAGTGAAGTTCCCCATAGAGGCCTCAGAATACCCTTGGCAACGATGGGAAAAGCTGCCTACTGAAATCTCAAGTGAGACCAGGCTAGCGAGCGCACCACCAAAAATAATCATTTCTTTTCCGTCCTCGAGACAAACACACTCGGAAACAGCTCTACCAGCGTAACTGCCTTTGCGCCAGCCTCGCCACAAGTCGAGCCCGCGGAGACTGCTCCGGGGATCGCTGGGATCGCCCGGAACCGTCCCTGACCGCGACCCGGTTTGTTGCTCTGGGGGTTCCGGTATCTGAAGCCGCTTCACATTCGAGCGCCCAATCCCGCTTACTCCAGATCGACTTCCTCCTCGTCGCGCTGGGCAAGCTCATGGTCGTCGCGCTCAGCCAATTCATGATCATCGCGCTGAACCAGGTCGGCTGACTCCTCGTCACGTCCGAGAAGACCGCTGAGCAGGGCAAGAGGGTCATTCTGAGCCTTGTTGGCACCGCCAGCGTTGGCAGTGTTACCACCAGCACCGCCTCCAGTAAGCTGCGGATACAAATTAGCTCATGATCATCAAAAGGGCTTCTTTAGAGCTGCTTACACTATCAAGGATGGAAGCGAGGATGTTGTTGCCATCGGCCGCCTGGTTGTTCTTCCCCGCGGCGCCTCCAGCAGCTCCGTTGTTCTTCTTGCCGTCCTTGCCATTCTTGCCGTTCTTCTTGCCACCAGCGTTTGCAGTTCCGTTCTTGGCAGCACCACCGACTGCATTGTCGGCACCGTTGACCTTCTTCGCGGCAGCGTTCTTCGCGGCGGCATTTTTCTCAGCCTTGGCCTTCTTTCCGCCAGCCTTTGCGTCGTCGGCGGCGTTAGCGGTTCCATTCTTGGCAGCGCCACCTGCGTTGTTCTTCTTGCCCTTCTTCTTCTTTTCCGCGGCCTTGGCCTCTGCGGTCTTCTTGCCCTTCTTCTTCTTCTTGCCTCCGGCGTTGGCGGTTCCGTTTTTGGCGGCACCGCCGGTTGTGGCACCACCTGCAGCGGCACCGACTCCTCCAGCTGCAGCGGCGTCCTTGGCGGCCTTGTTGTTGGCAACTCCGTTCTCGCCTTCATTCTCGGCTTCCTGCTGCACGTCGACGTCGTCGCCAGCTGGTATCAAAAGTCAGATGAGTTTCGGATCTTTCTTTGTAAGAATCTTCAACATACCTTGCTCGCCTTGCTGGCCCTTGCCACGGCGCAGAACGGGTCTGACATCGGCTTGAGAAGGAAAGTTCAACTCTCTAATAGGGAGAGCCACGGATCGGTCCTCCATGGTGGGGAGGGCGATGACCTGGGCGGCGATGGCCGCAATAGAAAGGAGGATAGAGCTCTTCATTTTGAAGGACTGCTGAATGTGTCTCGTCAAAGAGATGAAAAAAAAAGTTGATGGTATAAGTTACAACTGAAAAGGGTTCACAGAACCGGGAGAGAATGGAATGTGAGAATGGAAGAAATGAGAAAGACACTCAAGGAAAGACTGGACCAGCCAAAGTGAGGGAACTGAACCAGAAATGTTATTGTGACGAAGACTTGAAAGTGTTGAGAGGAAAGGGACTGAGTGAAAGGCGAGATCGGGCTGGGTTGATATAGAGTATAAGCTTCCTTGTGAATCTCACTCGGGTCCAGATCCCTCGGAATATCATGCAGCAGGTACGTAAAGCAGGTACAGATGCAACCATGAGGTCACAGTGCCAAGGAATTGAGACGTCTTGTCAAACAAATCAGGTGAACGCTATCTTTGCTCAATGTCACCATGCCAGCCATGTCACAGACTGTGATCCATCGCGAGGGCAGTGCAGGTTTGGTGGAGCAGGGGAGTCGGGGAGTCGGGGCCTCGGGGCCTCAGTTTGAGAAAGAGACGTGATGGTGCATGGGGAGAGGTGTGTGCCAAGCATCACGACGGCGCCATGTCGCGCCAACCCCGGAGCAGCCGTGAGCCGGGGAAAGCGGAGACGAAGTCCCAAAATAAAAAAAGAGAGCAGAATAGGTGTCTGTAGCCGGTTGATGATGGGCATCGCTACCATGGGTTTCCGGTTGAGGGTGCCGGTGGTGACCATGGAGGGCGAATGTTGATCAGACGGTTGATGATTCAGAACGGCCCCGCCGCGGCGGATTTCTGCTTCTCTCTAGAACTGAGGCTTGCGGAGGTGGAACGGGGGCCCAGAAGGTCGTGGCTGTTGACGGTGGCCAGGCTTGCTTGAAGTCATGATCCGTACAGTTACACACAGAACGTGGGAACTAGCGTCCGTCCAACCCTGGTAGGCATGTGTTGGTACTTGTGCGGTGGTGGTATTCCCACGGTCGCGTACCTTGTGGTTAGTGGAACGGCCAAGGGGACGGTTTGATCGGAGGACAGGATGTCAAACCTGGGATGAAACACCGCCAAAAAGGGTGCTTGGCTAAAGTCGCGAACCCTTCTCGCTCCCCAAGTTGACTCTTCCCTCCCTCTGTATGACCGCCTCTATCCCAAGACACTGGTGTCGAGTGGGATGACGGCCATTTGGGAAGTGAGTTGCCAGGATGGCGTTTAAAGGATGAGCATACTTTAGTACGCGAAGCAGCGAAGTCTAACTTTCAGAATTGCACCGATGCACCCTGGGCTGTTTCTTGACAGGCAGGGGAGTCTCTCGTGAATCAGAACTGGCGCCCTAGGCGTTGCAAAAACAGAAAGTTTTCTGCATGGCAGTGTTTGCCGAAGAAGAAAAAAGTGTTGAATCTTTGCTAGGGTACCGGCTACGATGGCCGTGATAGGTTGTAGCAACTTGCAACTAAGACATTCATCGAGTCCCTATGAGCTTGATTTGTGAGCCGCAATCAAGTGTTGAAGGGTTAAAGGGTCGAAGCTTAGCCCTATTAGTCGATACGGTTACATCGCTCTCCTTCTTCCGTCTTTCGCCGCACTAATGCTCCTAGAGGCTGTCTGGCTGGGCACTTACTATGTAGAAATTGGGGGATCTCGGCTAGAGAGATGCTTGTTTGGAAGCGGTGCCGTGGGTCGTGGTTGCTGCGCCATTCCGTCCGTTCTCATCCCTTCACACAATAAATGCCGAGGGCTAGAACAGAAGGCAACGTTAGGAGTCGCCGCACCCTGGCGACATGGCTCGAGGGTCGAAGATCGAAGTCGAGAGAAGGGACGGTGTTTCAACTGGTGCATCAAATCGCCAAGGACTGCTGTCTCGAGAAGATTGGCAAAGTCGGGTGATGATCGTCGCGCAACACTGGCCAAGACGACGGCGGCCTGGCGTTGTTGGTGAGGTGGGCGTGTGAAGCGGGGGTACGCTTAGTAGACTAAGTTGGGTTCGATTCCTATCGGCGTCAACTGGTGTTTTGGCCGAACGGCATACTTTGTGGGAATGGCAGACCAGAATTAAGAAATACCAAGAGACGTGCTAGTTGTTGGCAATGCTTCTAACCTTGGATGCGAGTATCAGACATCTCTTGGGGGGTTTTTTTTTTAGTCTTTCTGGCCTGGCTTATCTTTCTGGCGAGTCTCGTGGTGGTCTTGGCTGGGTCAGAGTCAGACCTCAGGCGACTTCTGGAGATGACCAGGGCGGCTCCGTTATTCCAGAATTATAGTAGAGGCCAAGCATTTTGGCGAGGGGAATCAGGGGATGAACATATGTGTCGCGATCCTGTCTGGGAAATCATGGAGAAAGGGGCCGGGAGAGCAGAGCGATGATCGGCGAGCGAGGAAAATCAGACATACCTACCCAGGACCCAGGAGAGAGGAGGCTGGCGATGCATTGCTTTCCCCACGAGAATGAAGAGGAGACAGACGGACGGTTCGCATCACTTTGACTGAAGGGGTGGCCCCTTTCTCCCCAATGACCCATCTTCGCCCCAAGTCGTGACTGCCCTGCCATGCGATGTGTTCGGCACATCACAGACTTGACCCGAGCAGAAGGAAGGCCCCATTGGGCTCCCGTCTTGGCAACGCCCATCCAAATCACTCGCCTGTCATTCGATCTTCCGTCACTTCCTCGCTCTTGCTCTTTCCCCCCCCCCTCCGTGTCTCTTCCTTCATGCCTTCCAGCTAGCATCAACAGAAACTGGAGCACAGTTCAAATCCCGTGGAAGATGACGAGTCCCCATTTCAGGTGTGGCTTGGTCTTTCCTTCCACCACTGCTCTTTCCACGTGGGACATGGTATGGCATGGCTGGTACCATTACGTTCCTTGCTGTCCAGAGTTGGGATTCCAAATGACTCTATCCTCCGCACGCACACGCCTGTTTTGCTTCGAATCGCACAGTTCTGTATTTAGCAAAGACGAACACGGCCGACTTCAGACGACGTGATGGAGGTGGGCAGATGTCGTTATCACTCCCGGATGAGTCAATTACCTAGTGTAAGGCACGTCACCTCACCCTCCTTTTTCGTTCTCCATCTAGGTTGTCCAAAGACACAACAGGTTTCCAACGTTCCACACACCTTGCCGTACATGACACCCGCCACATCAGTCATCTCAAGTCTGTAGAAAGTCATTTCATCAATATGAACTCTCCGACTTGGACGGTTCCACGGTCAGACTGGATGCGCCCGTCGGCCCCCGACTCCAGGTTTCCTGTCTTTTCCTGTCAGTGCTGCTGGATCCATCTCACATACATGACCTGGCCAGGCCAATACGCGGTGTCGTGTCGCAGCGCAAGGCCCGAGTCGTCCGATGCAACTTCCTTGACTGACACCACACTGTACTGCACAGCACTGCTGCTTCGAGCCGGTCGCTTTTCGTCCCTTGCTTACATCGGACATTCATTCCCCCATTGTGGTTGACCTGGACTGTCATCTGGTTCATCAGTCAAAGATGAGACTGAGTCCGCTTTGGGCAATTCACGGGGTGGCTGTGTCTAGCTCCCGCTGTGCCGCTCACTGAGACAGGCACGCCTTCGATTTGATTGGCACCACCACGTCACCACCAGGAAACTTGGCTGCTCTGCCTAAAGCTGTTGCCTCCATAGGTATTTACTAAGGATGGCGGCGTGCGATGCGGCGATTGCAGGCCGGTCGCTTCCATTCTATTCTGTCTACTACCCCGCTGGCCTCGTTGGGTTTTCTTTCATTTCTTTCCCTCTTGAAGTGCCATAAGTTTGGGCGTACCGCAACTCTGTTTTGAATCTCTCTCCTCAGTCTGGCACCTTGTTTTTACGCTATCGCTATTAAACGAAGTAACAAAGCGTTACATTCGGCCCATGTTTTGTTTGAAATTCCTCTTTGATTAAAATTGCCTCACTCCCTTGGCCTTGAAACACCAATAGCTACACGAGCGTGCCCGGTACCTACCCGCTCGCACCATGTGGGTCCCGCAGCCGGCTTGTTCTTCCGGCCACGACGACTCTCTCGGTCCGTGGGCCGGAGAATTGTGCCGTGGCGGGTTCGACTTTACGCTTTTGTTCGAGGAGGCCGTACTAGCCGTTCCCCTGCAATCCCTTCTCCTGCTGTTGCTTCCCACCTGCGCCTTACGCCTCGCAAGGTCCGATGTCAAAGTCGTGCCCAGCAGCCTGCGCTGGTTCAAAGCTGTTAGTCCTGGCAAATTGCCTCTTACCACACTGGCTGATCACTGAAAGTGTGCATTCATTTCCCTTGTTGCTCTCAATCTCGCGCTTCTGATCCTCTGGACTACTACACCGTCAACCACAATCACCCATACGCGTGCAACCATTCCCACCGCCATCCTCAGTCTGATTGCCTCGATAGGATTGAGTTTGCTGTCATGGCTCGCCCATCAACGGTCCATAAGGCCGTCATTTGTCCTGTCGACCTATCTGTTTCTGTCAATTCTGTTTGACACCGCCCGTGCCCGAACCCTGTGGTTGCTGGGATCCCATCGGACCATACCCGCCGTCTTCACCTGCACTCTGGTCGTGAGAACGGTCATGATCATTCTAGAATCAACAGAAAAGCGGCAGATCCTAGTTCCGCAACATAAAGGGTATTCCAAGGAGGTCACCAGCGGCACCTTCAATAGATCGGTCTTCTTCTGGCTGACGTCACTCTTCATCAACGGGTACAGAAACATCCTTCGACTAGATGACCTCTACCCACTGGATCCGAAGTTGGCCTCGGAGCCTCTTTTCAGAAAACTCACCGACGCGTGGGACCAAGGTACTCTATTTTCAGCTCCCAACTATAACTTAAATGTCCCGCGGACTAAAATATTTGACTTGAACCCCCAAAAAAGTTCCCGACAAGACGGTACCCGGCGCTCTGTGCAGCACTTGGCTCCGCGCCTTTGCCGGCCCCATTTCCGTGGCCATCGTCCCGAAACTCTTCCAGATCGCCTTCAATTACGCCCAACCTTTTCTGATTGACGAGGCAATCCGCCTTGCCAGCCAGCCGCAGCAGCAGCTCTACAACAATCGCGGTTTTGGTCTGATAGGGGCGTACGTGCTCGTTTATACCGGCATTGCTGTGGGTTATGTTCCTTCTTCTCGCTCTTGGCCAAGCACCGTCCTAGAAATTCTCGAGTTCGGGCGCTGAACAATGTGCGTAGGTTTCGACGGGTCAGTACGACTGGCGCAATCAACGTGTGGCCTCGATGACGAGGGGCAGCACTACGGCACTTATCTATCGGAAAGCGCTGAGGCTAGATTTGACGTCGCCTAACGTCAGTCCTTCGGCAGCTCTGACTTTGGTGGGAACCGATAGCGAGACAATCAGCCAGGGCATCACTCAGCTTCATGAGGTTTGGAGTGGGCTCCTGGAGATTGGCATCGGAATCTACCTAATTTACAGACAGCTCGGGGTTGCCTGTGCTATGCCCATTGTCCTCGTTTTCGGTATGATGTTGCATTAGGGTGGTCGACTCAGGGAGTTCCAAAAGGCTGATGCGCATCGGTAGTTGTCTTGATTACCACAGCTTTTCTTGCCGTCCCGACTGGCAAAGCATCGGCGGCATGGATCAAAGCCTCGCAAGACCGTGTTTCGACGACTTCCAAGACGCTGGGAAACATCAAATGGCTCAAAACATCTGGCCTCAATGATGTTGCCTTTTCAGTGATCCAGAAGCTTCGGACCGTGGAGCTCGAGGTTTCAAGGAGATTTAGGATACTATTGGGCATTAGCATGATGTTTTGTAAGCTTCTTTTTGCCTTTTGGTGGCACGTACACTGAGACTACTCGTACAGTAATTTGCACGCCTATCTGGTCCCCGATTCTCACGTTCAGCACGTTTGTCGGAACGGCAGCTCGGACTGGCGACACTCTGACGATCCAAAAGGCGTTCACTGCGTACTCTGTTTTGATACTCGTGAATCAACCATTAGTTGGTATCGTTATGGGACTTCCACTACTAGCTGCTGCCGTGACATCTTTCCAGAGAATCCAAGATTTCTTGAACGGCAAGGAAAAAGTCGATGTCAGACTAATCAGCGATGGTAGCAATAGGGCTGGGGCTGAGAGGTCTGCAGCGGATTCTCCCAAACCAGCTGGTCCAACCCCTGATCTCGAGCTATCTGACATGCATGAGAGTGACTTACCCGTCATCAAGCTACACTCCGACATTATCGCCTCCATAAATGGCAGGTTCTCATGGGTAGTCGATTCCAAGCCAGTAATCGACATCGAAAATTGGAACATACGGCGGCGAGCTTTCACCATGGTTCTAGGACCCGTGGGCTGCGGCAAGTCGACGCTTCTCAAGTCTCTACTCGGCGAACTGTCCTCTTTCAAAGGTACCATCTCCACCAACTTCTCTGGCGTCACGTATTGTGGCCAGACTGCGTGGATACCGAACGAAACCGTGCGGAACATCATCACTGGCCATGCCGCGTTCGATCCGTCCTGGTACTACACAATCATCAACGCGTGTGCTTTGGATCAAGACATCTCCAACTGGCCGAATGGAGATAATACCGTGGCTGGTACAAAGGGCATCTCCATAAGCGGTGGTCAGAAACATCGACTGGTGGGTTATCGAGCTATTTTGTGGTCAGGACCATTAGTAAAAGCTAACATCATGCTAGGCCATTTCCCGCGGCTTGTACGCAAGACAAGAGTTACTATTGCTTGACGATGTTTTCAGTGGTCTAGACTCTAGCACCGAAGACACCGTCTTCAACAATCTCTTCGGCTTTGATGGCTTACTACGTCACACGGATACGACTGTCATACTAGCATCTTCCGATTGTCAGTCTTACCTTGCTTTGCTCCTCGCATCTTCTCCTTGCCATGCTAACGGTCATTTGACAGCTCGCCGAGTTTCGTTTGCCGATGATGTTGTGCTTCTTAATGATGAAGGTCGTATGACAGATAACGAGGCGGCCATGAAAGTCGACCAGGTACAACACTCCCCGAAGGAAAACAACAGTACAAGTGAGCCCGAGACCACAGCGCTTCTGCCGATGACACCAAGCAGAGATAGACCGCCAGCCACGGTCCTCGGTCTGCTCGAAGACCAGGCAGATTCCGCCCGTCAGCTTGGCGACTGGGGGATGTATAGTTTCTATGCCAGAGCAGCTGGGTGGTTCAGCCTGTCGGCATTCACTAGTGCTATGATAGCCTTTGCCTTTTGCGACTCATTCCCCGGTAAACTTCCGAGGTCTCTACATATTCGATTATCAGAGACTAACAAGACCGGCGTCAGATATATGGCTCAAGTGGTGGGCAGAGTCCAACGAAAAGAGACCGAACCAAGACCTAGGCAAGTGGCTCGGTGTCTACGCGGCCCTTGGAGTGGGATCAGTGGCTTCAGTCCTCTTTGGAATGTGGTGAGTAGTAAACCGTAATAGTTTAGGAGAATCGTCTCTGACAATGTTTTCCAGGCAACTTTTTATCGTCATCATCAATAAGTCGGGAATTTACTTCCACGGTGTGCTACTAGACACCACGTCTCGGTAAGATAAGTGCACAATCTCTCTTCGATCTCACTATTGACAAAGTCAGTGCGCCCATGACATTTCACAGTTCCGTGGATAGCGGGATCACAGTCAACAGATTCAGCCAAGACCTCCAGCTCATCGACATGGAGCTCCCGGCCGCGGCGCTAGGCTTGGCCGTAGGTACGTAAAGCTCTTAACCTAGTATGATAGTGAAGCCCAGCTAAGATTTCACTGATTCAGGCGTCGCATTCGGCGTAGCTCGATTCATAGTGATGTCCGTCTCCTCACGTTACATGGCCGCCATCCTCCCTCTCCTCATCCCCACCTTCTACGCCATCCAGCACTTTTACCTGCGCACCTCCAGGCAGATGCGCCTACTCGATATAGAGCACAAGGCACCCATATACTCTCAGCTCATCGAAACACTGGAAGGCCTGGAGACGATCAGAGCTTTCCGCTGGGAAGATCACTTAGAAAAGGTCAATCTGCGCCGGCTCGACGACTCGCAGAGACCCAGTTACCTTCTCGCCTGTCTCCAGCGCTGGCTGACGTTTTCGGTCGACATGGTCATTACATTCATCGCCGTCGTCCTCATCGTTCTGGTCACGACGCTGCGCGAGCAGATTGGCCCGGGTTTCATCGGTGTTGCGTTGACCAACGTCTTAGCATTTAGCGCGACTGTCAAGGCCATCATCATGTCATGGGTCATGTTGGAGGTCTCACTCGGTGCCGTCGCGAGGGTGAGGAATTTTTCCTTGACCACAGCGTCTGAGGACGGCTCTCAGTTGCATCTTACCGAGCCAGAGGAAGAGTGGCCTAGTCGGGGAGCGGTTGAACTCCGCAAAGTGACGGCTTCCTATGCGTTAGTCCACAGAGATGCTTAGGCTTGTCCAGGGGCGAGGGTGCTAACACCTAATTCAGATCATCTGGTGCCGTACTGAAAGGGATAGATATTTCAATCGAACCAGGTCAGAAGGTTGCAATCTGCGGTCGGACAGGCAGGTAAGTCATTCTTCGCCCTACATGCTCCAGCGGAAGCATCTAAGACAACACCCAGCGGCAAAAGCTCCCTGATTCTCTGCCTCCTCCGCATGATGAACCTAGACTCGGGCACCATCACGATTGACGACGTTGACATCTCCACGCTGCCCCACGAATACGTCCGCTCCAAGATCGTCGCGGTCCCGCAAGAGTCCTACATCTTTGACGGCACCGTGCGCTTGAATCTCGATCCAGGCCAGACCGCGTCCGATTCTGAGATCACGGCGGTCTTGGAAAAGGTGCAGCTCTGGGGTAAAGTGGAGGAGCGCGGTGGTCTCGAAGCGGTCATTGACGATCGATTCTTTTCGCAGGGCGAGGCGCAGCTGTTGGTCTTTGCCAGGGCCGTGTTGAGAAAGGGGAGGGTGCTCATCTTGGATGAGATCACGAGCAGGTGAGTCGATTTTTGATTGTCTTGCCATATTGAGTGCAAGTGGTCTTGCTCGCAAGTCAAGCGACAGACGATGATCCTTCTGGGACAAGAGAAAAAGTTGCTCGCCAGATTCGAACCCGCAAGCTGCAGCCTAGGGAGAATATCGCTCTAGGATTGGGCGTGTGGCCATTCTATAATCCATCTTAAGCTTCTAGACCTATTTTCCCTTCTGCTACGTCCTTGAGATCGTAGGAGGGATAAACCCCTTATTCCTTAGCTAACCCAACCGGCGCCATGGCTGCTGTGGCTTCTTCCTGCGTTTGCACTTCACTTTGGGGGCAAGTGCCCATAAAGAAGATGCCTACCTTACTACCTTACCTAGAGTGGATCAAAGTAACTGACTTTGTTTGCGAATAGTTTGGACGATGAGTCGAGTAGGGTTATCGACGAGGTGCTGCGCTCATGGTTCAAAGATTGGACCGTCATCGCTATTGCACACAAGCTGGAGTCGATACTGGACTTTGATCGAGTTGCGGTCGTCGATTCAGGGGTGATTGTAGAGTACGGTGAGCCTCGTCAGCTTCTAAGGAGCGAGTCGTCGTTCAAGGCGTTGTATGGGCGGTCATCGGCGGTGATCCAATAAGAGGAGAATACCGAGGGACTGTAAGAAGGTAATTGTACATCTCGACTCAACACCTGTAATTGTAACGTATCAAGATACCCCCTACTTTCGTTGGAATCTAGCAGAGAGGATCCTTCTCAGGGCGAGGAAGCGAGTACGGACTGCCAAACTTGTGTTCATCATCATGACGACTGGTGTTACTGCTGAAGATCCCTTTGACTTCGAAGGCTTTCAATGTAGCTAAAGAGGGTACGCAGTCACGGGATTGATGAAAGTAGCCGGACAATGTTCAGTCCACCATTCTCCACTACCTACATTTTCACCCTCGGCAATGATCTCCCATCATCGGGCCAAGAAAAAAAAAGTAAGGCTGTAGGATCTAGATGGAAATTGCACCTCTTTTCTTGCTACATCAATAGTAGGGTCAGCAAAAACCGGCACTTGTCCTGTCGTTGCTTCCTTGGCGGCGAGTGACTGCATTATATTCTAGCCTTTTCTGCTTATATTGACGTTGTGTAACCAGATGGTGGTTGCCATCGCTTATCGGAACTCGCGGCGCCACCTCTCATTGGATTCTCAGTGCCTCATCCCCTACGAGCTCAAGGCGCAGTTTTGCTATGGCTCATGAGCAGGCGTAGGCTATCCATAACCAGGCTGAATCTGCAGAGCCGCCTTGACGCATTGCCTTATTAGACGCGACCCATGACTTTTATAAATCTGGTTGGACGCTCTCATTACAATTTTTACTTTCACCTGTCTCTTAAAACTCAGTCCAAGCATCTTGAAAAAATTCTTTCACCACAACAAACCTAGGATGGAGCTCCAACTCTGGGATGCTTTTCGAGAAACCTTGCCCCCCGCGGAGCACATGGACGAGATTCGTGGCAAGAACAAAGCTCTTCGACATCCAGGAACATGTAGCTGGGTCTTTGAAGATGAAGCATATCTTCGATGGGAAAATGAGACCAACACAACTCTTTTCTGCGTTGGTCCGCCGGGTGTGGGCAAGTCTGTTCTAGCTACCGCCGTGATTGATGAGTTGAAAAAGTCAGAGAGTCTGGTCCTCTTCTTGTTTTGCGAGAACGATACCCAGCAAATGGATTATCTCACAGGCTCTCTAATCCGGCAATTACTCGCGCAAGTTGATTCCGAGAAAGATCTGGGGTTACTCGACAACGTCGGACGCAACATTGGTCAGACAGTTCTGAGGACACTGCTGTGTCACCGCAGTACCAGCCGTAACCCCGGTAGAGCAAGTGTCTCGCTTGTCTTTGATGGACTTGACAGAATCGATCTCGAAGTGTCTCGAAGCCTTTTGGCTTTTTTCAGCAGCCTTCGGGATGAGATCGATATCAAGATCTTCGCTACCTCAACCTTTCCCGCCTCTCTGACAGCCGGAGAAGAGTCAGTCACGACCCTGCCAATGCTGGCTTCAAACGCAGACTTGACTGAATACATCACCTACCATGTAACCCCGCCGGGGTCGCTCTCTCGCCCAGAGCACACCAAGTTCTATGACGACATCGTAGAAGCAACGGAAGGGATGTAAGTAACAACTCACCACTCCTAACTAGTCGGAGCTGTGTCACTCAAAACCATAGATTTCATGTGGCGAGTCGTATCGTCGAGATTCTTTCGCCAATGCGTACGAAATTCGAGTTTCAACAATTCTTGAGACATTGGACCCAGGAGTATCGACACTTGGATCATGTTTTCAACGATCTGATCAAACCACGCACAAAGCGGCTTCAGTCAGGTCTCGCTCCCAATGTAATCAACTGGTTGACGTTCTCCCACCGTACACTTACAACACTGGAGCTTCGGCACGCTCTGGTAGCAGACATCTCAGAGTACTTGCGGGCTCCTCCGGAGCTCGATGAGATTACTCTTGCATTGCATGGAATCGTGATGATCGAGAATGAGCCGGGATGGCAGTCGATTCGATTCTTCCACAGTGCTCTTCACGCTTACTTCCGGCACAAAAGAGACAACGAGGCCTTCAAGATCCAAGACAAAATTGTTAGCTACTGTCTGAGACAGCTATCAAGAGTGTCTTCCAGTGATGGCTTCTGCGAGTCGGACGAAGACTTTGAAGAGAGATTGCGCCACAACCCCTTCTTCCTCTACGCCGCCTGTCACTGGGGGTATCATACCCAGGCATGTTCTGAGCCTGTTCCAGCCGCCCTAAGGTTTCTAGACAATCACGCCAGCGTTGAGATGTCAAGCCAGGCGATTTTCATTGAGAAAGCCTCATCAGACGCAGCTGGATACACGCGGCGGGTTCCTCGACACGTCACAGGGTTGCATCTAGCTGCGTACTTTGGAATGCATGGTGCTGCTGAAGAGCTCCTCAACGAAGGAGCGTCACTGAGCTCTGTTGACACACAAGGCCAAACCCCGCTTTGGTGGGCTGCTCGGTTCGGACAGGATAAGATTGTCAGACTGTTCTGCCGGAGTGATACAACCACCCTCTCGCTTCTAATGATGGCTAAAGAGACGAATCTGATCAGGATCTTGCTCCGTGCCAAATATAAAGTCAACACCCCTGATGCCTCACATGATACTCCATTGCATCATGCCGTACGACGGGGTCTCGTTGAGACTGTAGGCGATCTTTTATCCGCCGCGGCCAACACCAACATGCAAAACATGGGAGGTGAAACCCCCCTCGGCATAGCACTCAACAATAGCAACCAGGAAATCATTCACCTCCTCATTGGGAAAGGCGCGTATACCGATTTTGTGAATACTGCCAAGTTCCGCAAGGCATTTCATTGGCAAGATGACCAGACACTAGAGATCTTCCGAGATGACAGGACTACCGTTCTACGATTGAAGCCTTCCGAAAGACGCCACTTTGATGAATGGGGTCAATCAGAAAGGTTTTCGTTGTCAGTGTTTTCATTTCTTGGTTTCGCTGACTGTAACGCTTACTATTCCGACAGGCAGCAAAAGGTCCTCCGTGATATTCCATTTCCACCTCAGCTTCGTGAGTCGATAGACAACCTTCAGATTGAGGAATTGAATCTCGAGATCATCGAGTCAAGAGACAACGACAGCCACATAAACTACTACGTTGAAGCATTCATGTGGAACTCCCCAAGTAACGATGAACCTCTGCCTTGCGAACAGTTGGTGTTGTGCTGGGATGTCTACCAGGAAAAGCAAACCCAGCAATGGTATACCAAGGCCCACTTCACCACTATGCCACACATTTGGCTTCCAGATAATGGCGCGGTGTTCCTCAGGCATTTTCTCGTCCATGTCAAACACACCTGGCTTGCTTACTGCGAGGCCAATCTCGTGGATCTACATGTGCGTCTTGCCATATTTCATATGATTTGATTCCCGACCATTACTCTTACTCATCGCCACACAAAAGCTTCGCAAAAGAATCATTGGATCCAAAGGGGCCGACCCAGAGCTTTTGGACCATCTCCTGGAGAATGGTCAAAAGTGGCTCAGTCATCGGCATAAGCTCTCCAAGGTCGCTTTGAAGATCCGAAACTTTGCAAAGGCCTACTGCCTGAAGCACAACGAGACCGGCGACCTCGAAGAGCTCATAGAGGCGATTGATGAGCTCTCTGCTGCGGTCGGTAAGAAGCTCGGTGAGTTGGACGAGAACTCAAGAGATCTCATTCAGCTCGTAAGTAGTGTGGGCGCTGCTTAAGTCTTCAGAATGCAACTTACCAGATCATAGGAATGCAATCTCGTCTCTATCAAGGAAGCCCGTGAATCGGTCAATTCGTCGACAAGCATGAAGCGACTTAGCTGGATTACGGTGACCCTCCCCCAAATGCAACTAGTACACATAAGCTAAACCCTCGACTAGTTCATCTTCCTGCCACTCACATTCATAGGGGTAAGAGTCGGAAGCCAAATTGTATTTGATGTATACTGACGAAAAGCTTCTAGACCTTGTTTGGAATGAACATAGATATTCTAGACGAAACAAAGCCTGCTTGGTGGACTTACATCCCTTTCGCCGCCGTCACCTCGCTGATGACGTCTGTTGTGTGGCTTCTCTTCCAGTTCACCGAGGTTGGTAGTCTTACCATTTCCCTCTCAGTGTACACAGTAAGAGCTGACCATAAGCGATGATTAGCTTGAGACAAAGATTGAAACTAAAGCGAGGACATGGGTATCTCATATCAAAGACGCTGCCACCAGGCGAGAGCAGCAAGGAGTGACGAGCGGGTTCGATCTCTCGTCTGGGAACACCAACGTCTCTTCACATCTGCACTCTCGAGCATTGGAGAATGGTCAGGGGATAAGTAGACAATGATGTAACTTGCATGAGCACGGTTGTAGCCGAACTAGCAAGGGCTTTTCCGAGCTTGTAACTTCTTCATATTTTCTAAACCATTCACCTATCGCATTGCGATAGTCAAAATTTCAGCAGTAAAAGATAAAAGAAGTGGGCTTCCCTCTTTGCCTAGACAGTCTGATAGATCTTTGAGATTACGTACCTCTGCTGCCAGCTCTTCATTCAAGACTCTTGGTGATACCTTTCGTGATCCCACCACTATCAATCGCCGATTGATTGACGAGCCACTGGCTCAGAGGATCTATAGATTACATCCCCCCTTGATCTGGCAAAGGAAAACCATTCGCGCCCATCCTCTCCTTCACAATACCCTTCTGTAAGATGCCGGTGTTCTCCCCTCGCAGCATCATGGCCAATCAAGTTGAAATCATCCCAGTTCTTATTCAGCAATTGTCGCACCCATAATGCAGGCACCAGTCAGCAGAGACAAGGCTGCCTTATCACAGCAGGGCGGCTGAATAATTCAAGTACTCGCCACTACGACACGTATGTTTTCTCTCTTCACCCTTGAACATCTTCTTCATAGCTTCAGTTCTCGTGTACGAGGTCCATGGCTTCGATCGTTGTGCACGGAGGACATGGCACGCAGGCAGTGGAAAGTCGGTTTTAGCATCGGTCATTTGCGACAACCTTGGAAGAGAAAGCCACCTTGTTGTATGCTTGTTCGGAAGTTGCAGTATAGCAGCAGAAGAGCACCGTGTTGAGCATCTCCTCGCTCTGTTGATTCATCAGCTGGCGCTGGAAGTTGCACCCGAGGGCCAGTCGGAGATTCTATCCAGACTCATACCCTTCCGGGATTCATCAATCGATAGGACGTTGAGCCAGATCATGAATGACTTGACTACAGTCATGCGCTATGGATTTTCACACATATGCGAGCACTTCTATTTGGTTTTAGAAGGACTAGATCAGTACGGGACGGAAAACGCGCGTATTCTTCTGAATAAAATCCACAGCCTTGAGTCGGAAAATGAGACTATAAACTACCGTATTCGTTGCTCTCAGGTTTGCTCGAGAGTATTCAAATCGCTATAGTGCATCTTCAGAAGGCCATGATAGAAGTTGGGCACTGTCCCAGCTCGAGAATAAAATCAAAAATCTTTCGGACTAGATTGGTGGGAAACTCGAGCAGTCAGACAAAACTTCACTGTACCTAATTCAAATGGTGCGTTTTATGATATCACAAGCCCACAGAGTGTGCTTCGTTTTGTACTTACAGTAGATGGATGGGATTTCAATCGCGTATCAACTCGGGAGGCGTAAAGATTTGTCACAATGTCAGCTAGTAGGAAGCGATTGACTTGGATCACTGTTAGCCTTCTTGTCCTTCATACAGAGACTACCAATGACTACGACTGCTAATCGAAAGCCTGGTTTATCTTCCTCCCTCTTACAACCGTGGCGGTACGTCTAGGCTCGCACTTGATTCTCGATCCCGTCATCTTAGTATGCTGACTCTAGACTTTGTCAGACCTGATTTGGTATGAATGTCAACATCCTCGCATCTAATCCGAATTGGTGGCTTTACGTTCCTTTCGCCACAGGCACTGTCCTTCTTACCTCAACGGTTTGGATCATCTTCAAATACAGCAATGTCGGAACCATTTTCCAATGTTCTTCCTCAACCACTCGCATTGGTATTGACAAGACCATAGCTAGAGCAGGCCATCAAAATTTGGTGCGGTCGTTGTTTTCAAGAAGGAAGAAGGTTGCGAATATTCCCAAGTCACTAGTCTGAGAGTTTGAACAGTGAAAGGAGGATGAACTCGCCCCGTTTTCAACATGATTCGTCTAACAATCTAGGGACGAGTACGGATACGGATAGATCATTAGATGAAGTCGAAATCGGCCCTTTGCGAAAGGTAGTGTGGCTGGTCCCGGGACCTTGACTAACATGATAGTCAGGGAACGTCAATGACAGTCAGGAAAGCCCCCCCGCTCGGATGTTCCAGGTGAATTGATTGGTCAATTGCAATATTGGCTCTTATTTGCTGCGCGGACCTTGCCAAGATGCTCCCGAGGTTCGTGTGTCCCCGGCCGATGCGCCGGTTCGCACGCACCTCCCGACAATTCGGCATGGTGACCCGGCAGTCGTCGCGGAGCGCGTAGCACATGAACGCTTGGCACAATAGCCCATTAAGCGTCGCTTGTCACAAGGCAACGCAGCATCATGTTCCCTACTTGAATCATACGAGATCCCAACTGCTCTCGTGCAACCCAAGCCCACTTCTTTCCAGAGACTCAAAGGCAAAAGCAGCAGAGGAGGCTTTCTGATCATGCGATGTCCGTAAAATCACAACTCCGGCGCGCTGGTCGAAGTTGACTGCCCAGAGGTGGGGGAAGAACACTCTGCCGGGAGCAATTACCTTCCGCCTAATTACCGCCACATCTCCCGAGCAGCCCCTCCAAATTGCGCCGACCCCACACTCGAACTGTCAAAAAGCGGGTCCGTTTCTCCACGCACCGGGTGCTGCATGGCCCCTCGTCGTCGTCGTCCGGGGTTCAGAGACGAGGGGCACGACCAGCAGCTGTAAGGTACACCAACTTGCCTACCGTTTTTCCTTACATCTTTCGTCATCTCGGTTTCATTTCATCTTTTTTACAACCTTCCCTCCCCTTGACTTGATTCCGTTGCTACGTTTCTCGTAAAGAGTAGCTACCTTACCTGGCCATTGTGACGTTTTGCCAATCGGAGCTCGATATCCCTGGAGCTTCCTCTTTACCTCGGCGGAACTCATCCGACGTGCCATAAATCTTCGCTCCTAAATTCTCCGAACGTCGTGAGGATCCTTTTTTTCACTTTCTCTTCTCGTGAAGGCCTCCCCCTCCGTACCGCCTCTCCGGCCCATGCTCTCGCGATCTTCCCGCCTCCTCTCAGCCCTACAAGCCAGACGTTCCCCAGCCAGGTTCTTCTCAACGACGCCCAAGATGACCATCCACCACCTCATGATCGGGACCTGGACTCCGCCAGGCGCCATCTTCACCGTTGCCTTTGACGACGAGAAGCTCACCCTAGAGCTCGTAAAGCGCACCGAGATCCCCGAGGACCAGCCGATATCATGGATGACCTTCAGCGTAAGTTCGGATCAGCTTAGCAGAATTCGATTGTTCCCAAGAAAGTTGGCTCACACAAAATACACACACGACAGCACGACAAGAAGAACCTCTACGGAGCCGCCATGAAGAAATGGGCCAGCTTCGCAGTCAAGAGCCCCTCAGAAATTGTCCACGAAGCCTCTCACGACATGACCCATGACCGTGAGTCCATTCTCCTTGTAGCAAGCAGGCTATCTAGCCGGTCCATGTCCATATCACGCGATCTGGCGGCTCTCGCGACCCAATCCCAACTAACACACACATCCCCATCCAGCCAACGCCGCCCTCTCAACAACAAACACCCGCGCAATCTTCCTCCTCGCGGCCCAGAAGCCGCCCTACGCAGTCTACTGCAACCCTTTCTACAAGCACGCCTCCCACGGCAACATCTTCTCCGTCTCCCCCTCGGGGGCCCTCGAGACAAACGTCCAAAACTACCCTTACGACCCCAACACGGGCATCCACGGCATGGTCTTTGACCCGACAGAGACGTACCTCTACTCCGCCGACCTCACCGCAAACAAGCTCTGGGTCCACAAGAAGACCTTGTCCGAAAACCCCGAGCTCGAGCTCGTCGGCTCCGTCGACGCCCCGGACCCGGGAGACCACCCCCGCTGGGTCGCCATCCACCCGACGGGCCGCTACCTCTACGCCCTCATGGAGGCAGGCAACCGCCTGAGCGAATACGTTATCGACCCAGCCACCCGCCTCCCCATCTACACGCACCGCTCCTTTCCGCTGATCCCGCCGGGTATCCCCGGCGCAAAGACCAAAATGTACCGCTCCGACGTCTGCACCCTCTCCCACAGCGGCAAATACCTCTTCGCCACGGCCCGCTCAAACAGCTTCGACGTGACGGGCTACATCGCCGCCTTCAAGCTTGACGACAGCGGCCACATTGAGAGGCAGATCTGCCTCAACCCCACGCCCACGAGCGGCGGCCACAGCAACGCCGTCAGCCCGTGCGACTGGAGCGATGAGTGGCTCGCCCTCACGGACGACCAAGAGGGCTGGATCGAGATCTACCGGTGGCAGGACGAGTTCTTGGGCCGTGTTGCGAGATTGCGTATCCCCGAACCTGGATTCGGAATGAATGCTATTTGGTATGATTGAGATGGCGGAAAAAGATGTTAGGGGTGGTGGAATATAGGATAAATAAATACAGAGACATAGAACATAAAACATACAACAAGTCGACTTCCTCATCATGCCGTCAGAAGATTTCGTAGTTTAGGAACTTGACTTAAGAACAACGGTGGATAAACGGTTACGGTGAATCGCAACTGCTCAAATTACTATGTGATATCATACAGGGACAGCACGCCTACGCAAACCTACGACAATCCATTCTACGACTTGTTTTTCCTCTTCTTCCTCCTGTTCTTCTTCTTGCTTGCTTGTTGGCTGTTACTGGTGCTCTGAGCCGTGCTGGATGCACCATCGCCATTCTCGTGCTCCTCGCCATCTGAATCATGACTTGAAGACTGCTTGTTGCTCTGAATAGTGGCCCGCGAGCGGTGTCCGGAAGAGCCCTTAGATCCCCTGGATCCGACTTCATCAGAATCGGAGCTGGCGGCCTGGATAATGATCTTCCGCACTCCACTGCTAGTCTCGACCACGTTCTCGCTAATACTACCGCTTCGAACAAGAGGTCGGCGTTTGGGGGTGGAGGATCCTTCATCGATAACTTCAGTGACACTCGTCGCGCTGCTTGCCCGACCAGGTGAGACGATGATTGTCAAGTCCGTTCGTGCTGCTCCGGGGCTCGCACTCCGAGTGACCTTGGGACTGCCGTTTTCGGGAACGGTGGGGGGCAAGTTCACTCCGTCAGGGCCCTTGGTGTCCTCGGCATCGTGAGCGGCACTCGAGAGCCTACCCTGAGTCTCACTCATGCCCGCCCCGCCATAGCTCTTACGAATAGCATGGACGCCACCCTTTCCGGTCAGCTTGGGACGCATAAGCGGGGTGTGCTCGTCCGTATCATGCTCCAATCTCTCCTCGCTAATGTCTCCGGCAACAGAGGCAGGGCGAAGGTTCGGCGAAGGGCTATGAATCTGCGACAATGGTGCGCCGGTCTGGACAGGCTTGATTTTGACCGTTGTAGACTTGGTGTTCTTGGGGTTCGACGCGCGATTGGAGGGTCCGAGATGTTTAAGGTGTTGCTTAGCCTCGTCGAAGGTGGCTTTCACAGGAACAGCAGACGACGTCATACGCCCGTCAGGTCCGGCCGAGCTTCTCCTCATAAGGAATGTGGTTCTAGGAGCGCTGCTCGATAGGATTTCCGGAGCATCGCTGAGCGCACTGATGGAACCGTTGCGTTCGTAAGGGGGTTGGGGCTCGTCTCCAAATTCGATGAGATCACCGTTCTCGGGAATCGGTCGAGGGGACGGCTGGCCTGTCCTCTTAGTGATTCGGGCCTTGGGGGCGGGAGTCATGCGACGGATAGCCTTGTGAACGTCAATGTAGACGTCAGATTCATCAATAATTTCCCTGTTGTGGGTCAGTAGATATTCTCCGATGCAATTGTTAAAAAACTTACTCTCCGATAAGCTCCTCAATGACATCTTCAAGCGTGACAACACCAATGGCGCCGTAGTCGGCACCGGGGTACTCGGATACCAGGACCATATGCGACTTGCCCTCCTGGAAGAAGTTGACAATGTCCAAGCAGCTCGTCTCAGGACGGGTCTCGGGAAGCGTCGCCAAGGGGAAATCCTTGACCTGCAGACAATCTTCAGGGTCGTACGTGATGAGAATCTTGACAAGAAGCATTCCCACGAAGTCGGTTGGCTTTCCAGTGGCATGGATGGGAATACGGGAGTAGCCCTCGGACAGAATCTGGTCCATAGTCTTCTCGTCCAAAACTGTATCCTCGGCCATGACGAAAACGTCGTCCATGGGGGTCATGACATTTTCGACGGGTTTGTCCTTCAGGTCCAAAACAGCACTGATGATGGTAACCTCGTCCTGGTTCAAGCGTTCGCCAACCTCGCCGAGGGACTTATGCAGAGTGACCAGAGTCTTGAGGCCACTCTTCTTGTAAACGGTGCCGTGGTCCTCGCCCAGAGCCCAGTCGAGAAGCTTCGCAGTAGGCCAAGCCACGGGCGCCATAAGCCACATGAGCAAAAGCACAGGCTTGGACATGTAGCCACCGATTTGGAGACCGTATCGAACGCAGACGGATTGAGGTACGACTTCGCCGAAAATGACTGCCAGTATGTGAGTAAAGGTCTCCCGATCCTCAAGATCTGCTTCAACGTACCAATGAGGACAGTACTGCCAACGACGGCCTCAACACCTCCACCAAGACAGCGATCCAAAACAACGGGTAGCGATTCATTGACAATGACGTTGGAGAGAAGCAAAGTGACCAAAACCCAATGCTTGCCCTTCTTTAAAAGATCGTAGACGCGTTTGGCGTTTTTGGATTGCGATTCATCGGGGTCGCCGGCGACAACCTGGAGGTAGATGCTGTCCTGTCCCATCAGGCTACGTGCCAAGGTTAGCAAACAAACACGACTCGATGGTAGATGAGGGCATCACGGTGACTTACGCGATGGTCAGACCTGCAAATGCACCCCCCAGCAAAACCAGAGCAATGGAGGCGCCCATGAGGGGCCAAAAAGCTTCGCCGGCCTCAGGCTCTTCGTCGTGATGGCCTCTCGCGTGAATGGGCGCAGCGGCGACAGAGGAAACGCCCAGCGTCAAGGCTTTGGTAAGACCGAGAACGGCGGTGCGGAAGACGCCGAAGCCTCCGGCATTGTTGCCCCGTCGTGTCGGGACGACTCCCCTTGTGGCCATAATACTCGGCTCGTCAATTGAGAAATCGGATGTCGTGAGAGTGTCGTGGAGCGCGTGGAAAAGCAGCGAAGTCAAGAGCACATTTTATGCTGCGGACGCGGGAGACGGGCGAGAAACGGGGCAAAGTCAGGGTGGTAAGGTGGCTGCACTCCACTCTGTTTACCTGCAGCTACTTTATGTAGCCTGTGCGTACGGAAGTGCACAAGGCGAGCGGGCGAGCTCCACCAAACGAGCCAAGATCGGAAGACGAGTGGATGCTGGTGTGGGTAGCGATGGTTCGAGTGACGGCGTCTTGCAGATGGGTTTTGTAGCACTTTGTTCGAGATGCGAGGCGTTCTGTGATGGAGCTGTATAGAGTGTAGGAATGTTTGAGGGACGAGAGTTGCGAAGGTGAAAAATTAATGGAAAAACGCACAGATGGAGACTTGGAGCAAGAGCTGATGAAGTCGGAGAAAACATGAGTGTGCCGGGAGGTGAGATGTACCTCCACGGTGTGGAGGGCCGAGGGGCACCTGTGGCCGGAAGCTTTGCTTCTTTCTCTCTGTCTCGTTGGTGTGCTACTCAGACCAGCCAATCAGTTGCTCCGGTGGCGCACAAGCTTGGCGTCATCAACGGTCGAGGGGCGGGTCGTTACGATGCGAGCACTAGGAGAATCATCGATGCATCATTGCCGCAGAGACCTCAAGAACGTCCGCACTGGCATGCAAATTGTCTGGAGGTCCTTGAATTCGGCTATTCGGAATGGGCAAAAGTCTGTGTTGCGCATTTTCCCTCACAACCTCAGTCTCACCCGCCCCGCCTTTTGCCTTTTTTGCCGCGATACTTTGGTCGAGTCATTCCATGAGCCGGGATCGTGCAAAATCCGGGGTAAATCATATAAGGCGTAATGAGACTGACTGTATGAGTGCCTATGAGTGTCCATGAGTGTCCTCGAAGGGATATGCTCTCCTCGTAGATGGAGCTGAGTGAAGTCGCAAATGACCACCTGAGAGCTCCCTCTAAGTTGAAAGCTCCATGTCAGGGTCGACCCCAATGTCAAGGCCTGCCTATCCATCCGCACATGTCCAAAAACTCTGATGGGTGCAATTGGACTAGTTCCCTAGCCTGTTCCTTGTCTCCTCCTATCGAGGTTACCTTGCGTCTGGGCACGAACCACTGCGAGCACAGGACCATGTACCTCGCCTCAGTTTTTCCGTTTGACAATACAAGCTTGCTGCCCAATACCATCTGACACCAGCCAAAGCTCACATTGTGCAGAAATAAGGTAGCTTGAGGAACACCACGAATGTTACCGTGTCAGGATCTAGCAAAACTCGACACCGAAACACGTCAGTCGGTCCTTCTGCTCGACAATTTGTACACTCTGAATTGCTAGTGCCGAGATAGGATCTCAAGGTCGGCAATGGAACTTCAAGTTGGCGAGGGCGTGCCGCGTAACACGTGCCTTCGTCGCTTTCTCACAGACCTTGACGTGACATTGACCCGCTTTCGAGAATTTCCCCAAGTCAGATGTTGTGTGCAGTTACTGCGGAGGTTTGCATTAAACTTCAGATGTGCAGACAGATTGTCGCAAGAGTTGCGATAGTATGAGCAAATGGGTCCTTTTTTTTTCTGCCGGTACCCTAGCTCTTGCAACGCGTCGGTATCTTGCTGCGAGTGTGAAAATACGGCAAGAGATCTCGTGCCTCTCGTGACAAAATTGGCAAACCTTAATATTCCAGGTTGTCAATGATCTGGTTAGGCACTAAAATGCCCACCCGCTAGTGTTGCAATAGCAATAAGTTGTCCCCACCTCAATTACCTTACCTATTTCCCTCATGCCGCCTCCCCATTGAGCTCCGCAACTCGCCAATAAGATCACAAATGCTGCCAAGCTCCACGAACTCGTGGGGGTCTAGTGACCACCTTCGCTCCTGTCCACGTCTTGCATCCGTAGAGTCAACGACAAATAGCCCATGCAGAGTGGAATCCACTCGACTTTATATTCATCATCTACAGTTCGACCGGGAAACAAACCACCCCTCCTCACAACCGCACCAAGCTCACGTTCAAGATACCCTCTTCTCGCTGCAAATCATCCACCACGTTACCGCTTATCTCCCCCTTGACACCCAATATCATCAGCGCCTCGTTGCCTCCTTCCGCCTTCCTTTCCTCCCCGTCCAAGCTGGCCACCTGCATGAAGGTGATATTGATACCGTGCCGACCCAGCACCATTCCGACGCCACCAATCTTGCCCGGCTCGTCATAGTTGTGCAGAACCAACATCGTTCCATGCGGCTGGAAGGTTGCGCTGAATCGGTCCAGCTTCGAGATGTAGATGCTCTGCCCCGACACGTACCCCTCGATGACCTGCTCGCCATCCTCACCATGTGACCGGAGCGTCACCAAGCTGGCATACACTGCATTCTTCACCTCCCCACTGTGCGTCTCGCTGATGATGATGCCTTTCTCCTTGGCAGTCAGGCTGGCATTCACAATGTTCACGTCTCGTCCGCCCGAGTCGCTGATGGATGAGACGAGTCCCTTCACCAGCGCGGCATACAACGGTCGTGTGTTGGAGATGCCTGCCAGGTCGCCCTGATAGATGAGCTCGAACTTTCGGCCACCAACCATACCACCTCTACTACCAACAAAGTGCTGCGTGTATAGCCCGCCCATCGTCTCGATAAGACGTACAAACGGTTGCAACTTGCGATATTCCTCCGGCATAATCAATGGTGCATTGACAGCTGCCGTCGGCAATCCACCGCGGAGGATTTCGGCCACCTGTGTACAGACATCCATTGAAACATTCTCTTGAGCCTCGACAGTGGATGCCCCCAGGTGCGGGGTGGCAACCACCTTGGGGTGCCGGGTCAGCTGAGAGGCTGTCGACTCGGCCACGGGTGGCTCTGCCGTGAAGACGTCGAGACCAGCTCCGGCGATCCATCCCTCGTCCAAAGCACGAAGGAGTGCAGCTTCGTTATACACGCCCCCTCTCGCAACGTTCAGGACCCTGGCTGTCTTCTTCATTTGCTGGAACTCCTCCTCTTTGAGCAAGTCAAGTGTGCTCGCCATCAGCGGGGTGTGGATACTCAAGAAGTCTACAACGGGCAGAAGACCCTTGAGGTCAGGTACCAATTCGACGTTGGCCTGACCAGCAATCTCAGCGCTGGCGTATGGATCGACCGCTTTCACTTTCATTCCGAGGCCGATGGCCATTCGGGCAACCTTCATTCCCACCTTGCCGAGGCCGATGATACCAAGGGTCTTGCTGCCAACCTCAACTCCGACTAGTTTGCCTCTCTCCCACTTTCCATCCTTCATTGTGGTATCTGCGCGGCCAACATTGCGGGCCGTGGCGAGGAGGAGGGCAATGGTGTGCTCGGCAGCGGCAACGATGTTACCGGAAGGCGAATTGACGACAATGATACCATGATTTGTCGCTGCGTCGACATCAATGTTGTCCACGCCTACGCCGGCTCGTGCGACCACGCGGAGCTTTCTGCCGGCAGCAAGCACATTCGCGTTCACTTTTGTCTCAGATCGCACAATCAATGCGTGGTAGTTGGGGATCGCATCAATGAGCTCCTCTGGAGACAAACCGGCGCGGTTGTCAACATCATATTTGTCTTTCAATAGGGCGAGACCATCTGAAGAGACCTTTTCAGGGACAAGGATCCGGAGTCTGTCAGAAGAAAAGGACGACACAGTCGATGTGATCTTCTCGATTGCAGAGGGAACCATGACTGACGAATAATATTGGGTAAAGAATAGTTCAACTGGTCGCGAATTCGATGGGAAGAAGGGCAATGACCGACTTATCAGAAAGGCTGAGGTCGGATCGAGGAATTTCGAACACGCCAAACAAATTCACAAACACGGCAGCCGGCTAAGGTTAAGTACTAAATATCCCCCGCACTGCTGGCTACGTCCGATGTCAAAGTTGCCACGACGGATAGAAGGCTGCATGTTTGGGCCGGATCTCCAGGGACACACTCCGAAATAGACGGGAAGCGGTGTCGCGCCCCTCCATGAGCAGGACACATTGGCTCAGCTAATGGCATGTGCTAAGCTGGACGTCCGATGCGGGATATGACGCCGGAGGATGAACAGACGCGGACACGAGAGACGTCCTACCTATGACGAAGGGAGAAGCTATTGGAGAGGCCTCAAGATGCGACGGATTAAGGTGCAAGGTCGATTCGAGAACGCGCGACCCCTCACTTCCCCCACGTTCAGCTAATGCACCGGCGTCCCGCCCCCGCAACTTTTACTGGGCGGCTTACATGCTCCGACGTATATTGCTCCGCGGCACGTTTGCAGCCATCCATGCTGGCTGAGGCAAGCGCTGCCGACGTATGCTCAATTGGAGGAGCGCTGAGCATCCAGGCGGACTGCAACCCACACGACGCAAGGGGGGCGATCTTTGGTGCTGTTGCAGGTCCGAGGAGAGATCTGCTGGCGCTCTTGCCGTTGGATGGTCAATTACATCAAGGTGCCAATAGGATCATCGCACTCTCGCGAGAGATGACAGGGAAACACGGAGGCTCTGGAGATTGTCTACATGATGCTGGAGTGATGCCTTTCTGAGACAAATTTCTGTGACCAGGATAGTCTCTGCTGCACTCCTTTCATGGGAAATAGTCGACATTACAGGCTAACAATTAAGACAACCACAACTGGACAAGCTGCCGTATACTGACAGAACACTGACATGAGATTTCGCAGGCCAGGAGATTAAAGGTCGTGGGCAAGGCCTTCGCTAGATTTGTCTATAGTCGATTCTCCCACGCCAGAGTTCCAAGTACTGATCTTGCATTAAACCACACCAAATGAGTGTATATATGTACAATAACTAGTCCGGCAAAGACCGAATCGCTTCAACAGCCATCACAGTTACACTTTTGGTCATTCTATATGCAGGCAGCTACTCAATAGCGAGCGCGGCAGCGTTTGTTACTCGGCTGCCTAAGGCGGGTAGCCGGAGATCTACTTGATTCCGGCATATTGGAGGTCTTCGGCGTGTAAACCATCGAAAATCAGCAGAGCGCTATCGGTGTGCGAGTCTACCTTATTGTCAGACATCTTGTCTAATATTTTAGTTCTTCCGCGCATTATCTTGCTCTGTTCCAAACTCTCTTGACGCGGCCCTAGCGCAAGAATGCTGTAGGCCAATACCTCGCTACGTACATAAACCTTTTCTTTCAGTGTGAGAACGAGTAGTTACACTGGCTATATCTATAAATAAATGAAAGGAACTCGCAAAGAAAGGTGAATGTCAACGATGACCAATGGCAGGATCCGGGCCGTGGAGGATGCTTTGAATCAATTATAGCACGACTTAGACGCAACCAACTTGCCATTGTACGGGCACCTGTCAACCGACCGGAGGCAACTGCCAGAGCATGTCACCGCACTCCACGGCGAGGACCCCACCTCCACTGCCGTCATCACTGCCTTAGGCAGGGACGAATTCTACGGGTCTCGACCCCAGTTGCCCCTTACCTGGCCGGTATCAGCGCAGCGTGGAGTCAGTGGGCATTTCATAATATTAATCACAGGCCCACGACGTTCAAGGTCCAGCTTGTCAACTCTGCTGCGATCTTGCGCTGCTTGCCCCTTTCTACGATTACACCTGCCGCCACGACACAATAAATTAGTCGCCCTCCGAATCGCAACTTCTTTCCCGCTGCAGGCTATCTAGTCGTCCGTCCGTCTGTTACATATCAAGCAAAGGCCACCATGTCTAGAAGACCGCCTAATCCCGCCGCCGAGAGAGCGGCCCAAAACCAGCAGACCATCAAGAGTCTCTTGAAATTGGAGTGCAATAAAGTATGCTCCGACTGCAAAAAGAACAAGCGTACGTCTGAGGCAATTGATCGTTTCGATCTACCCTGGGTCTAGGGCTGACTGTGTCATAAATGTAGACCCGCGATGGGCCAGTTGGAACCTGGGCGTCTTTATCTGCATCCGGTGTTCGGGCATTCACCGCGGCATGGGTACGCACATCAGCAGAGTCAAGTCTGTTGATCTCGATTCCTGGACAGATGAACAACTTCGAAGCATCCTTAGCTGGGGCAATGCGCGCGCGAACAAATATTGGGAGGCTAAGCTGGCACCCGGCCACGTCCCCTCCGAATCGAAGATTGAGAACTTTATCCGCACCAAATACGAGCTCAAGAGATGGACGATGGACGGCCCCATTCCAGACCCCGCCAGCCTTGACGTAGACGGCGATGACGATGTGCCCTTGAGCCTAGTCAAGGAGAAGCAGAATGTCGAGCGCAGAGAATCAGTCCGCAAGAGTTCGGTCGGGAAGTCGGCGGCGCCCCCAAGAAATGTCGCTGCCCCGCAGCCGCAAATCGATCTTATCGGTGGCGATGATCCCATCCCCAGAGCAAGCACAGCCGGACCACAGCCCGGTAAGGTGCCCCCGAAATCCGATCCCGCTCCCCCCAAGGCCACGAGCACCAAGGATTCCCTCTTGGGCTTGGACTTCTTCGGCGAGCCCGCTGCTCCCCCTCGTCCCGCCAGCACCAGCAACACCGGTGGAATGGGAGGAACCTCAAGACCAGACCTCAAACAATCCATCTTGTCCCTTTACGCCTCCGCCCCGCGACCGCAACCCCACCAGCAGCAACAAGCGCCCCAGGCCCAAAGCGGCGCATTCGGCGGTATGCCCTCGCCTACCTTTGGGCATCAGCAGCAGCAGTCCTTTGGCGGCATGAACGACGCCTTCAGCAGCCTCAGCTTCTCCAACACCAGCAGCCCCAAGCCGGTCCAGGCAGACCCATTCGCAAGTCTGTCCAGCCCTGTCAGCAGCAGCAGATCACCACCGCCCGCATCATCATCAAGTGCTTTTGGCGGTCTCACCGGCGGAAGCTTCTTCGACTCCAAGCCCGCGGCGGCACCCGCGCCCGCTGCGCACCAGAAGCAGCCGTCCAACAGCGGCTTCGGTGGATTTGGCTGGTCCAGCTCCCCGGCGCCGGCCGCAGCTCAGCCTAAACCCGCTCAGCCGACGTCTTCCATGGGAGACCTGTTCGACCTGTCCGCTCCCTCTCAACCCGCCGCTGCCCCCAGCAAACCCTCTCCCGCTCCCGCGTCCAGCTCAGTTTTCAACCTCTCTCAACCCAAGGCACCTTCTCCCGCACCCACCCCTGCCGCCGCCGCCCCCAGCACAATCAGCTCAGGAAACTGGTCAGGCTCTGACGTCTGGGGCTCCAACGCCTGGAGCACGCCCGACACGAACACGACGGCTGCGGCGCCAGCCGCGCCCAAGCCTGCGGAAGCGCCGAAGCCTGCGCTCGGAGGCGCAGGTGACTTTGGCGGATGGGGCTCCTCCGGTTTGTCCACTGGGTCATTCGCTAATACACCGATTGTTCCCGGAGCGTCCGGCGGCTTCAGCGCCGCACCCAAGGTTGCGGCGGACGAGGAGTTTGGTGGATGGACAAGCAGCACCGAGCCGGCGGCTGGCTCCGGTTCAGCAAAGCCTGTTGGAGGCGGCAGTGAGGACCTCTTCTCAAATGTTTGGCAGTAAATTGCGAGCACACCAAAGGGAGCATAGGTCCCGAGGAGGTTGGACGTGGTTCTGCAACCCATATCAGCCGGCCCATCAATTACGTTGGGCACATAGACACTCGATGAAAACGTGACGACAAGCTGGGGGTAGAGAGGGTGAACGAGTCTCATGGCAAGTGTAATTCGATTGCAAAAGCGTCATAGATGGAGAATTAACCAGAAACTTTGAAGCAAAAGAAGAAACCAAGTTTTTGAAACATGAAACAATTAATTGTGCGCGCCTTGCTTAGTTGCTCCTGGGAAGTGTTGATACAATCAGTCAGTCAGTCGCCGCCGTGCTACCCCCCAAACTCCGAATCCATGCGCAGGGTATTTGAACATCCACGCCCGTGATACCTTATATCAGAATACTCCCGTTATGTTTGCTTCCCTTCATGTTGATGCTGAGGCCTGTTGTCGGGTTGGACCTCCCCTTTTACTCCGTTATTTGAATCCGAGAACATTCGGGACTCCATACTTGAAGTCGACGTGATTGTCCATCCATCGTAGATCTCCTCGTCTCGTCGTTTGCTTCTCCCATGCCTCGTCTGATTTTATGCACTTCGCCTGCCTGTAGCGAGACCAAGCCCGTTTTGAAATCGTCTTCTCACAAGAATAACTTGGCGATATAGTAGAGAACAATAAAGATGCCAATGATGATGCCCGACAGCTTGAGGATGGCGACCTTATTTCCGGAGGCAGCCATGCGGGTTAACCGGCCGGCGGAGCCTTTGAGCTGGGTCGACATGGAGGAGAAGGTCTCGGACTAGATGGCCACGATGTCTTGTCAGTGAACTATCCTCAGGCAAACTGCTGCGGTATCTGTGGATAGCATTTGGGCAGGATGTCAGGGGGGTCAGAGTTGCAACAAAGTGCTGGTTCTGTCGTCAAATAGCAGGTCTTGAGGCTGCCTCCGAAACACGGACCAATGTTCCTCATCATATTATACCAAAGAGTTCTACCAACGGAACGTTGAAAAAGGGGAGGAGAAGAGTAAAGGGGAGCCAAATAGAAGAAGATGACGAGGAAACATACCGTGCTGTCAATGACTTCGTGGGCGCGCGCATTGTCGTAAATGTCGACGGTAACACCTCTGAGGGCGGAAACCTTTGCCGAGAGCTCGTCCAGACGGGCGTTGTTTTGGCGTTCGCGCTCGTAGGCTTCTGACATTTTTGCAGGATTCTTTTGGTTCTTGGGGAAATAGGGGCGATTATTTTTCTTCGATGGGGGATTGACGAGAACCGGTGATGGCGACGCAAACCCGAAAACCCAAGCACTGCAAGTGATTCCCTTGTTTCGTTTCTCCCCGCTGAGGCTTATGTCGAGTGGCCGCGCGTGCGAGATCGCCGAGCTTCGCAGGTGTGTGATTGCAGTCGTTGGGAGTGAATTATGATTCGGCGCGGTAATGCTTTTTCTCTTTATCGTTATGAAGGGCAGTCTCCCAGGTGATATCTGCTTCGTTGGACTAGGAAAATTATCATAAAGCAGCGCGCGGTGGTTTATGTTTCGTAGCTCGTAGTTCGTGAGTTTTGCTGATGAGGATATAGATGGGGTTGATTCTGGCGGCGAAACCAATGACGACGGAGGTTTCGGGGGCCGATGCGTCTTTCTTCACAAAGGCGAGGCTGGAACTGCTCGGATGGAACTGGAGCCGGGTGGGCCGGTCCCGTCCCAGCCCAGCCAGTCCTTTCCTTCTAAACCGCTTTCCTTCCAATGAAAATAAAAGTGACATTGTCAGCAGGTGGTCACTGCGCGGCCGAGGCGCTGGACGCCATCCTTGCCGGTGGGGGGTTGCGCGTCAGTGGCCTGCGCCACATTGTCCCCGAACCCGAACAGCCAGAGTACCCCGCGGATTCCCTCAATCCGTCCGGGTTACGCCTCACCAGAGCCCAGTTTACACCAAGCTCCCCCGGTCCTTGGTCCGTTATTTATTTGCTCCAGCTATCCCAGCCCAGCAGATGGTAAAGGGGATGTCACCTGGCCCCATCATGAAATATCACTGATCGGAAGCTCCCGCCAGCTGAGATCACGCGCTTGAGTGGATTGTTGAGGAGTAATTGCGCTTCGTTTGGTTGATGAACCTGCGTCGTCCGATACGAGAGTTTGGCTGAACAAGCCATGAAAGCTTAGAAAGAAGCAAGAAGAAAATAATCGATGCCCATTCACCTTCTTCCTGGGACACTCTCTGGCGCTAACCAGTTTTATTAAGACGTGCCGAAGGAGATCGTTGTCAGAAGAAAGGCAAAGCAAGCTCAGTGCTCACACATCAACCGACGAGGAGACGAAGAGGCGCAGGCCTCTCAGCGCCTCTACTTGTCACCTATCGCCGCGCAACCCCACTAAATCGTTAATTTCGTGGAGGTGTGGGTGCACCCAGCTGCTGCGGGAACCGTGGACGAGGAAGGATCCTCAAGAAACGGTACCTACCTGACCTACCTAATCGCATCCCAATCTCCCAGGCACACGCTTCCACCTTTATGTGTCTCTCTTTCTTCTTTCCGTCTTCTCACCTCCAACCCTCGACCTCTCCTTCTCTACTTCCTCCTCTTCCTCCTCCCCGACCGATTCTCGAGGAAGCAAAGTCCGACTCATTCGTAATTCCTCGCCCTCGACCCCTCAATACACCGTCAGCATGGGCCTCCACAACCCGCTCCCGTCGTCTATGGCGTGTAAGTCCACTTGTTTTTCCTTGTGCCGGTGATCCCGCAGCAGCGCCGCACCCGTCATCCTGTTCAGTCGCTGCAGATGAGCTGACCAGTCCATGACAGCGGAATGCAAAAAGTGCGGCAAGATCCTGACCTCTTTTATCGATCCTCGGCAAGCCTTCAGTCCCGACAAGATCATTCCTCCCTCCGTACTCGCCAACGCAAAGGTGAGCCATATTTCCCACCCCTCGATCTGCCATCCCCCGCCTGCCTAGGCGCATTCTACACCCAGAGGCTTCCCAACCACTCACAAACCCCCCTTCACCCCCCCTTTAGCCGACACGATACTGACAGACAGTCCTTGTAATTAGGGTCTTGCGATTCTCACTGTCCTCAAGGCCGGTTTCCTTGGCTCCGGTCGCTTTGGCAGCGGTCTTGTCGTCTCACGACTTCCCGATGGATCATGGAGTGCGCCAAGCGCCATCGGTACAGCAGGTGCGGGATTCGGTGGACAGATTGGTTTCGAATTGACCGACTTCGTCTTTATTCTCAACGATGCGAGCGCCGTAAAGACGTTTGCGCAGGCTGGTTCGCTGACGCTCGGTGGAAACGTCTCCATTGCCGCCGGTCCCGTGGGCCGCAACGCCGAGGCTGCTGGTGCCGCTTCGCTGAAGAGCATTGCTGGTATCTTCTCCTACTCCAAGACTAAGGGACTGTTCGCTGGTGTTTCGCTGGAAGGTTCCGTTATTATCGAGCGCCGTGACGCCAACGAGAAGCTTTACGGCACCCGCTACACCGCCGCTCAGATCTTGACCGGCAGCGTCCGCCCCCCGCCCCAGGCTGCGCCCTTGATGAACATCCTCAACTCCCGTGCCTTCAATGCCGGCCGCACTGGCCAGGCTAACGACTCCATGTACAACGATATCCCCGTTCACGACCAGGGCCAGGACGATTGGAACGGCAACAACAGCCGAGAGTTTGGTAACAATAACCGTAGTAGTGTCTTCGGTGGCGGAGACAGTGGCGCGAGCGAATTTGGCGGACCCAAGAGATCCAGCACGTGGCAGGACGATGTCTACGATAGACCTGCTGGTGGTGGTTTTGGTGGAGTCTCGCGTTCCAACACCGGAGTGTCACGTTCCAACACATTTGCCTCAAGAGGCAATGACGACTACGTCTATAGAGACAACCCATCGCCCAACTTCGGGCTCAACGACCAAAAGACTGGTCCTCCTGGCAGGCCTGCTGCTCCGAAGCCGAATTTCGCTGGTAAGGCGGCCATGCTCAAGAAGAACGAGGCTGTTGCGCTCTTCACGTTTGATGCCGACCAGCCTGGTGATCTGGGATTCAAAAAGGGGGATGTTATCACGGTGCTGAAGAAGACTGAGAGCGAGACCGACTGGTGGTATGTAAAAGGATCTTTCTTTTTTTCACAGGAACAAAGCTGACATGACATTCTTACCAGGACTGGCATGATTGGAACGAGACACGGCATCTTCCCTAGCAACTACGTGAAAATGCGTGACTAAAGCTTTTCCAACTGCTTGAACGCAACCAAGTATAACGCCGAATACCCAAATGCTTGCAGTTTAAAGCATGGCCAATTCAGATTGCATACCTGATGCAGCAGATACGAAGGCGATGGTGGAGGAGACCAGACGTCAAAAGGTCTGTTGCTTAATCATGATACTCCGGATGGTCCCTTTCCATCCTGTTTTTTCCGACGACGTCTCTAATGATAACGACCAAACCTCGTTTTAACAGGTCTTAGCGTTTGGACCAAGGAGGCGGAGGAAGATACTTCTTCTCATTGATTTGTCTCACAGCATAAACGTCCATCATGGGCTTTGAGAAAACGAAAAGAACACTCCGTCCTATGACACTATGGCTTCCTGCGTAATTCAAATTGAGAAATCAATAATGTGATGAGGTGATGGCACAGACTGGGTTAGCGGCAGGATGCAAGTCCATATGCGGACTGGACCGACCGGCTCTGATCAAATCCGTGCTCTTCGGGAATCGTTCCTACCTATTCATGTTATTGTGGGATGAGCTGGGGCTCTCCACAAACACATTCGAAGACACAGAGCAACTGGTGGGTACCAGAGCCATGATGTCAGTAAGGATAGACGCTTGCCGCTTGCCGACGGGTAAGAAGCAGGGGCACTTGTTTCAGTGGCCCTTGGGACGATCTGGGGAAAGCTTGTCTATGCGGGTTGAAACGTTGTTTCTGGAGTTGTTTGCTGAGTCAGGAGGGGTGCCACAGAGCGACTTCATTCCTGCATATAAAGCATCAAGGACTTACCTAATTTGGCTGAGCTCTTGCAATACGAGCTCGTTGAAGTAAGCTAGCTGGCAGATATTGGAGGAAGGCCTTCCTACCAGGCTAGCCTTGTCCTGAACGTTCTGCTGGCTGCCCATTAGAGATCAAAGAGGCGTTCATATCGGTCTCACAACATGTCACATGAAAACTGTACAATCCCTAAATCCTTCATCGAGGACAACTCTTATCTCTGGATAAGGGTTCGAGTTTGCCTTACTCGACAAATGTGATCAGTCAGGCTCGGGGCTCACTGCCGGCTGATACGGTTTCCCGGATTCCTCGGTGGTGAGATTGATGATCCACTTCTTTGCGCCTATAAAATTTTGCTAAACCTTCTGGTTGTGATATTTAATCGGTCCTGAGGGGAGATTTCAATGTTAAGAACGCCACTGTACCAATCGTGGTACCGCTGACAATTGAATCTCAATCATTACTTGCTTAGTTAAGCATTGGAAATCAATGGAGCCTACTTCTTCTCTCACTCCCTACGGAGTCTGGGGTTTACTGTCTGTTGCATAGGTCTTCTCTGACCTGTAGAGGTGAACGAGTACATGCTTTCAATTTGTATCTAATTACTTCTCCATTCCTCAAACGACGAAACTCTCCCGATCCATAATTCATATAGCTCTATATCTGCTGTCATTACAAGCAATCCCATGATAAAATCGAAATAGACACTCAAAGTAAGAAAATGCATCGCGGTTAATCTAGTTGATGTGGCACCCAGAGAACCGCACCTGTTGACTCATCTACATGATACCAGCTCTCTGACTGTGAGCTCCAGCTCCAGTACCCATGTGCTGGGTCTGCCTCAAAGTCTCTCTGGCTGGGACCTTTGCCTGAGAATCCCCGAGACACTAGATCGTGTCCGGACGGCGCGGGATCAACCTTCTGCTCGCTTTGCCTTCCTCCTTCGTCATTCGATTTGTGCGCTCCATAAAGAGAGCGGCACCGCGCTGATTGGTGGGCCCGCCCTGGAGGTGAGCTCTCTGATGGTGTGCTGGTGATCAGAGAATCTATGGTCACGCGTGACTCTAAACTAGACAAACCATCACTTTGTGATGAATTTCCTCTTGAAGATCTGCTGCTACATAGTAGACTTGGGTCTGATTTTGACTCAGAAAGCCCCTTTTTTCTGCTCGATTGGCGAGTCTCATTGCAATTCATTTGGTCGTGAGCTTGGGGCGTAAGATTGATCGACTCAAAGGATATTGCCGCAAAATCATCTAAAACACAATCAACAGAAGCCTCTTTGATCATTTGGGTATTCATTGCTTACAGATTAAGTATTCGAGGTGCTACGTCAACGAAGGGTAATGAATGCCTACTTGTGGATGGATGTCTGCAAGGACGGACGCGACACACCACCAAATATAAAGAGAAGCGTCGACGCATCGTTGGGTATTAACAAGTTAATATATAGATAGAAAATTGCAACAGAGTCGGTCATGTTGTGCGATTCTGTATACATCACAAACACCACCACTTGGTCTAAGAATCGCAGCCACCTAAGCGCAAGCCTCAAGCAAGGCGACTAGTCACAGCAGGAGTCTAGAAGAATGAATTTGCGACAAGGACCACATCGGTAGGAAATAAGTACCACGCGCAGCAGAATTCATGGGAGTTCACATTTTAGATTAGCTTGGCGGGCCTTGTCGGGATTCATGGGTTGAGAAGCACGCAGTAAATGATGGATGGAAGAAACGCGCATGAGCGAGCGACATGCTGCAAATTTCGGGGCGTTCGAGCTTGGCAATGAATAAGTACGTTTTCGAAAGCAACCTATCGTTTTCGTACTTGACTGCGGGCATCCCAGTGAATCGTGTCAATCAGCCCATGGTCCGCCTTACGAAGCATCATGCAGAAGCTAATTGGGCATTGTTGAACCAGTGGCTATCGTCTCATTTTCAATCAAGGCTTTCAGTCAAGCACCCCATCCCCAAGGGTCCGCGATGCCCGTCCGCCTCGATTTAACCACCAGCCTGCATATTATCCCTCGTACTGACAATGATACCAGAGCGTATTGTAATTTCCATTCCGCATATCCAGAGTAGCCCAGGTTGATCCTTGATCTTATGGTAAGTCATGTACAAAAGTCGCTGGGTCTGCTGTGTGGTTTTGGAATTCTCCAGCGGGTGATGCCTGTCCGTAGCTTGTGGCACCGTACTCTAAGCTTCTGCGGCTCTAGATCAAACGCATGATGAATTTTCAAAAAGCTTATTTGAGTGAAAGCCCCAGTAGTTGCCAAGGAATTGCAAGCGCATATGTTTGTCTGCAAGCTATGAAGGAGGACGGAGGTGGTCTATGGTACCGTCGGGCAGCAAGCAACGGGTTGCCTCTTTTGCGGACCATCGCCTTCTCTAACAGTTCGTCATGTGGTAGATTATTCTTATACTATATCTAAGCCTCGTTATGTTTGGGCGAAGCCTGATCGTCTCTGCCCTCCCTGAGTGTACCGCCGCTGTTCTTCCAACGGTGCATTTTGCGCCGCCGCCCTCTGCTTTAGACACTACTTCCCTCGTCTTTTGCTTCGAATATTCTTCCGGCCGTGTGTTTCATATTTTAATGATTGTCACTGAAGTTTCCAACTAGATATTCGCATCAGATTAGGTCACCACCATAGCAAAGTCATCCGGGACTACGATTCATTCTCGGTGACGAAGAAAAGGCATATTTCGCTATCCTGCCTCATTATACCGAACAGATGTATTACTGAATTTCTGCGGCGCATATTCTTACCACGAAAGCCACCCTGTTTGGGCAATCCACCCCCCACAACCAGCCGAAATCCACCATGCCGTTACAATTCATACCCATTGAAACCTGTCATTCCAACCCATCAGCCTCTCCTGAATACGGCAATCGAGAGACCAAACAGACGGTATCAATAGAACCAGCGGGGGCTTCTGAATCGTCGTCAGCGATTGAGAGTCATTCTTCCATCAATGACGAAACAGGCAGAAGTCAAGACGAGGTTGTTGAATCTTTCGAACGACCACCCCATGGCATTACTGAGTCTGAACAGCCCATGACTGTGGAAGTGGCAGTTGCAGGCGACGAAAACAACTTCAAACCCATCTTCGCTATTTTTACCCTTCTAGAGCACTCATACATCACTTCTACAGCTGTGATCAGCATGGGTCTACGGCGCAAGCCCCTAGCTACATCGCACCAGGCAGTATCTTATTGGACACCTTTCGGCTTATTTGCACCCACGCATTTTGTCGCTATGCTCATCCGAGGAACTGAACCTGGGAACCCTCGTTTCACCGTCAACGTTGCCGTTCTCGATGTCATGATTCAGTGGCAGAAGGTTGGCATTTTCATTGGCGAGGGACTTCGTAGCAAAGCGCAGGCGGCTATCATCGAAGCACGCGACCTGCGTCGGCTCATCAATGTGAGCCAGCCATTGCCCCGAATAATAAAAGGCATCGAAGTGGACAAGAATTCCGCAACGACCTATCCTGAGATTGGACGCGATGAAGGATCACCGTTGGATCATAGTTCATCTAATCTGTACTATGTGGGGCCGGGCGACGCCAACCGGCTGTGCCCACCCAGTCCGGCATCGGCGCTATCCCGATCCCCGAGCCGGATCGAGGCCGCCGGCTCGCCTGATACTCCCATGAAAGCTCGTCTATCATCTGCGCCCACATCTTTTGAATTGGACGAGTTGTCTCGGTGCTCAAGAGAGGCTCAAGGACATGGGGGATTGGCGCGCTTGTCACACGACGGTCACGAAGCACTTCGCGACAAGGTACACGCCAAAGGCGACATGGACTCTCCCGAATCTCACATCTGGCAATGAATGCCCGTATTCTCTTGGGATTGTGGGCACAACTATGTATTTTCGTCAGGGTTACAAAAAGAACAGGCGGCAAACTTTGCAGGTTTAGAGAAACCACAGCGACTCAGGTACTTAATATATTGCACTCGGTGTTTGCCAAATCAGAAAAATTTGATGTATTGAGACTAGAGGGTTTGTGAAGCCGCAAAGGAGATGTACCAGCGTATTTGCCCCTCAAGGATCTCGAGCTTCAATCATTGGCTCCACATCGAAAGGCCTTCAAGCGACATTAGGGTGCCGTGACGTCCAGATAGATCATGCATGTCTTCCTCTGTGGTGAAAAGTGCTGAAAAATTGCAGTGGGAAAGGACGGAAATTACACTAGCCATCGGGAGTCTATCCCTTGCATATCCTCTATCATTGAGTCGACCCAAATCACCCGCCTATGCAATCCACCTCATCAAAGTATTGTAGTCACCGGTTAACGCATCTGACTCAACAGTATGATACATCATGATGTTGCTGTAATTGATAGGGACTGTGAAGCTAATCCAGCGTGCTAGGGCATGAAAAGACGAGCCCTTGTTCATCTATATGGCACCACTGCTGTGCATCTGCATCCCATGTCCAGTACTGGTGTGCTGGGTCCTTTTTGAATGCTTCGAAGGCCGAAATCTTCTCCCACTCAGCGTCTTCAGTTTTTGTGGGTGTTGTACTCGAACTCAGTAAAGGTGTTGAAAATTGAGACCGTTCCTGATGCTGGCTGAGTTGAGTAGGAATGACACTAGTATGAACCCCTCTCATGTCGACATCCTGATGAAGGATATGTTCTCCGGGGGGGATTTCTCTGCGAGCTTGCATTTGTTGGTCGCAAAGCGCGTCGCTCTCGCAGGCGTGCTGTCCATCATCCTCGGAACATGCTCCATGGTCAGAGTAGGAAGACGGAACAGTCTCACTTGTCCGCAAGCAGCCATCGTCGCCCTTGACTTCCTCTGAAAACACAGTCTCTTTGTAACTCAAACTCACAGAGGACACCGATGGCTTCTTCCGTGATAATTTTGTGTGTCTCTGTTGTCGTGAGGTCTGACGCGTGTTGTATCTAGGAATATGGATGTTCGTCCTAGACGGCCGACTAGGTTTTCGACCGATCGACGGGGAAGTGGATCTTTGAGCGTGACGCTGTTGAACTTGTGGTACTTTTGGTATAGTTCCTTTCGTCAAAGCTAGAGGAACTGTACCTGTGGTCATGCTGGTGGTGCGTTACCCGTATTGGAGTCTTCGCGCGTGCGATTGGTGGAAGGCGAGTCTTGAACAGACCGTCGTCTTCATATGTGGATACGGAGTTGACAGATTGAATAAACCAGACATTTGCTCCAGTGCATCGGAGGCACTCAAGAGCAGCCTAATGGGGTGTCTGGGAGAGTGTAGATCCTGAATTTGTAGATGTGCCCCTTATAGCTCTCTTGGGATGCTCTTCTCTGGTAGACAATAGTAGTTGAAAAGTTCTAGACGAAATCCCTGTTTTGAAGTAAGGCGGTCTGATAAGAAACAAGGATAAATCTTACGTGTTTGAGACTGAAGTCGCTGCTTCGCCGTCAAAATCCAGCTCTCACCGGCTAGAAATTGTGATTAGACTCACCAATGAAGAGCAAGATTTCAGGGCAATGAACTTACAATCACTAATTGGAATTGTATCAATCTGCAGATTATGGCAGACAAATTTACAATGGCGGCCAGTGGCACTTGTTCGCGCCCAATTACTCCTGCATCAGCTCTCCCATGATGTGAGAGCAGGAGGGGTTTTGGGCGGTAATCCGTCAGACAGGGGTTGAAGTAGAGCCTGCTTGAGCTTCGCTCGGCGTCAATAATGAGGCGTGCCAACACACAGGTTTATCCTGAAAGAACGAGTGTGGGTGGAGTACTATGTATGTTGAGTACTTTTCCTGAGCAATGAGAGACATCTTGATTGTGAGAGGGGAGAACGCCTCCGAAGTTGCAGTTTTCACCGCTACATGCAGTCTTCAGCTCTCCTGTTCAAGCCAAATCTTGCAAAAGTCATAAGAAGTGAGGCACCCTAGTGAGGCTGCCTTCATGACTGCCTGACTGAGATTCTCTCAAGATAGGCACCTACAATTCACAAGCTTAAGCAGGACTGCCTCCCCTCCCTATCGCGCCTTCCCGGGGCGAACCTCCTTCTTCTCAGAGACCGGTGATCAGCCCCATCCTGATTCGAGTATCTGATGTTGTACCTTGATATTGCATTGGTGTCAGAAGTCTGGTCTGCTGCGGACTGGGCTTTCAAGACTGTCAGTGTTGTTCTACCCAACTGCCCGCTCAAAGCGCTCGCTGACTGGGTATCTCCACATCGGGGGGGGGGGGGGGGGGGGGGGGGGGCCCCCCCCCGCGGCCCCCCCCCCCGCGTGCGGGGGCGTCGGGTTTTTTTGATGTCGGGTGGGTACGTCTGCAGATTGTTGTCATCCGCCCCTCGGCCCAGGGGGGGGGGGGGGGGGGGGGGGGGGGGCGCGGCCACCCACTCAGCGTCCTCAAGCACCAGTATGGCCCCGTGTTGTATGTAATTCTCGATTGGAATTGTAGCCAAATTTCGAATTTCACCAGTCCCTATAGATTGAAAGAAGGTTTGATGTGTTGGCCGCAAACCTGCTTGAGTCGAATGCTGGCGCACCTCTCGGCTGGCTTTCTCTTCTTAGACCCAAGCTTCCCCCATCTAGATCTCGGTCATGACTATAGCTTGACACTTGATAGCTCAGCCTGATATATCTGGGCGCACTTCCATTCACTCTTCGGCTTTGCCCCTTCGGCTTTGCCCACCTTTGCCTTGCAATCTTAGGCTTTCTTCATATCCCATCCTTTGCAGTTTCACACGGGTTGCAACCCCTCCTCAACTGGATTATAGGACTCCTCTGTGTGGCTGCTTTCTTCAGGATACACTCGAAGTGTGCAACTTATTTCCCCGAACTGACCGAAAGGCTTCCTGTGGTCTCGTTCAACAGTATGAAGCTGTGTCTGCTCTACCATCCTTCCGAGCAGCCCCTTTCCAAATAGGAGCTATGCGCGGAAACCTTTTGAAATCTGGAGCTTCTGATAAGCTGTTTCAAGGAAGACGACGCCCTCTTACCAGAGCTGAATCTCCTCCGATTCTACCACGAACACTCTTCAAACGTACCGCCGTTATCCCAAGCATCTACAACCTCAACCCACCAAACCCACCAACGAACCGTAAGAGATCACGCCCAAGCCAAGAATCTACACTGGGCCTACCCCACCCCAAACACCGAACAGGAAATATTGATTGCAGGTCAGCGGGACACCCAATTTCGACTGGACCGAGTCAAGCCAACGGCGGAAGGTCTTCAGCCCAGGCCTCGCTTGTACAGGAAACTCGACTCGAGTCTACAACCAGCACCAATCTGAGAAACACCGACCCTTCAACTGCCGACAACTTTGATAAATTCAGCTTCGAGATCAGACCTCAAGGGGTCACTTCCGGAGGAACACTTCTCAAGACAGCATATGATTCCTTTTGCCCGGGAACCCTTCTCGCCTCTTCGACGGCACAGAAGCTCAATCTAAGGAGAATTCCAGGGCAGCCAGGAAAGCCGTATGCAGCGTGGACTCCCGCTGGCTACATCGAGATAGAAGAATTTGTCCGGGTTCATGCCGAGGTTCCAGGTTTGGACATCAAGCTCGGCGACTACAACTTTGGTATCGTCCCAGACAATGTATTGCAACATTGGGGTAGTGAAATACTAGTCGGCAGTAAGCCATTTGAGAGGCTTGTGACGGATGATGGTTTGTCGACGGAGATTCACAACGCCCTTCAGCACATCGTCAATCGACAACGACCGTTGATAGCTGTCGAATCAGCATTGTCTGTGACCAACTATGGTGAGTGTCCATACCCTGATGAATTTGAGCAAAAGCTAAGAATTACAGAAGGGTCTCTAGCTCACTCAAGAGATCTTAGCTGTGCAAGAGGATCGTTTGAACTTCCGCTCCACAGTTACAATCGGCAGACAAATTCCCTCACAAACCACCAACAGAGTAACCTCACGTCTTTTCCTTCAGCAAGTGGTGAGCCACTGCAGTCTACGCCAGAGACTTCTATATCGTCCGCCTATATACCATCGATTAACGATTTTTGGAACCAAAACGTCTGTGACCCGAGTTCGTTTTTTTTTCAAGAGCAAGGCAGTCAACTCGGCGACGCGGCCCCTGGATCCGGCATAGAAGACTTTGGTGGAAACTCTTCATTCCATCCCACATCCAGTGAGGACAACGCGTCTGAGTTCTCGACACGTCTGACGTACCCGTCTTCTGGACCACCGCTTCTAGGACACTTGAATCTATTGGACTCATCGACAAGTAACGCCTTTGAGACAATGGCAACAACAACTCAAGGCCAAACGCCCTTCGGGTATAGAGAGACATCCAACATGGCGGCGTGGACGCCTAATGAGTTCTATACTTGGCCAACTTCTGACGTTCCATCCAGACTACACGAGCTCCAACTACCGCACTTTATGGGGCAGGTACCTTTGGAGGAAACTGCAAACTCGAATGTTTATCAGGACCCTCACTGTGGCAGTGAGGGCTGATATGCCCGTCCAGACGGGCTGTCAATACGTTCCGCGACTATTTAAAGCTGACACATCTAAGAATTGTATCAGCAACATTGAAGCGGAAGACCTCGTTAAAGGTTTCTGGCCATGCATACGATTCATGGCCTATATTGCTTTTGCGTTGGGGTTTTTTTTGTCGAGGTCGAAGGAAGCATGGACACACGCAAGGCCGCGATGTACGACAGACCGTCACAGTGATTTGTTGGTTGGTACTCTGGACCTTCTTTTTTCGAAGCACATTGATAGGATCTCTTCCTTTCTGAGGGTAGAATCCATCTTACCCTCCTCTCACTCTTTGGTTTAACTGTTGTCTGCGTTGATTATGCCCCTGATATTCTACATAATTATCTCATTCGCTTGGACACTTGAGTCTTCCGATTTCGTGAGGAAATCATGCTGCAACAACCCCAGTAGTAATGGAACTATTAGCCTCCAACAAGCTTACGGTCCACTTGAAAGAATGTTGACAAGCCGTCCTGCCTGCATGCGACGACAAGTATGCGTCGACGATCGAAGCGATTAAATGCTCTTTGAACCTTGCAGACGAGTAGCCTTAATGTGCCGAGGAAGCAATTTTAAGCCCTAGGTCTTGCTACCCGTCTCGACCGAGGACATCTTCGGATGTGGTCTGATTCATGCGATCGATACATTTCTATTGATCTGCCTCATCTCATATGTTACCTGCTTGATCGCTTAGAGCAGGATAATTTCAATTGCTAATTTTGGTGTCGGCAAGCCAGTATGTGCTCCAGTGGAAGACCATCGTGGAAGCAACTGCAGGTCCGGCACACTATCGAGCTTGCGGTCACAAATCTACCTTAGACTCGGCTCAAGATCAGAGCCTTGGCTGTGATTTAGCCAGTCAGGTTGTTGCTTTCCCTGGACTGCAATCGTAGTACCGCGGTTGAAGTTAAGCCTCATTTCATGTCTAGGACGGCAAGGTAGCTCGTTTCTCTTTTCCATTTTCATACACAGTCTCGTTGAAAAACTATTTCTCTGTTTGGTGAAAGCAGGTTCCTCATCCATCTTTCCGTCGGTCAAACTTGCCACAATTCATCATCTCTTCCCACATAGTCGTCTTGTAGACCAGGGAGAAGATAGAGACCGCAGCAGAGCCAACGATAAGTCAAAATGCTATACACACATCGATTACCTCGGTCAACAAGGAAATCCCATCGTCTCAACGTCGATCCTCCTCCTCACCTTCACACCCACACAATCGTCGTGGATTGATGCGAATCTCAATGCACTCAGGTTTTTTTCCGGCATACAGCTTCACGATCCTGAGGGGATACATGCACGCAACAGCTCCCGAGGTTTAGCGCACAATCTCGGACTCTGAGCTGGGTTTCGATGACTCACCCGAGGCCGCGCCCAAGCAGCGCGGTCCAGGCTGGCCATCGAACCAGACCACCACGCTGGCTCTGCCAAGACTTGTTGTAGAACCCCTTGCTCACATCTTGAAGCTTCGCTGTTTTCAGTACATCCTCTCTCGGAACGAGTTATTTGCCGACGATTGTGGATGTATGCAGGGAAAAGTTACCGCCGTTTCCTCAGCTTGATAGAGGACCCTGAAGCATCACACCTAACTGATGAAAGGAAGATGATTCTCCAGTCCAGCTAAGCAAAGGCTGGACTTTGGCTACAGTGTCTGTTTAGTGGAATCGTCAGGGGAAGAACAGACCGCGAAGGCTCGCAAGAAATGTATACTAGACGCACAGGGAGGAATAGGTGCACTCGCCATTACAAAAACCATGCTTCAAAGAATCTGATAGGTCCCATCCACGATCATGATGAACTTGCAAATTCATAGTGTGCCCAAGTTTCTTGGAGTCTCCTGAGATTTCCAGCTAGATCTGACTTTCATGCCTCCATGACGCTCCCTCTACTTAGACCTTGTAGAAGCAGAAAGCAGTGTAAAAGCTCGCCGCCTCCAACTCTTCTTGCGAAACGAGGAGCCGTCCACCACCGCGTTCCCGAACCCCCATTCTCTCGCTCAAAGGACCCAAGGTCTCGTCGTCTTTCTCCGCTTCCCAAATCTCCATGAAGGTCTTGTGATACTGCAACTCGAGGTTGTAATCTTCGGCGAGGGCTCTGAGAACTTCCCACGGCACAACGTACTCGGGAACCTCTTCGACAGCTTCGTCGAGGAAGAAGTTGTACTTCCAACCGAATGCGGGCCGGAAGACACCGTCTGCAGGTGTCTTGCCCGGGAATCGAACTCGGTAGATAGAATTGCCCCATTCCGCCGACTGGTCTGCTTCGCCATCTTCCAACTCGCCCTCTTCTGCTTCTTGCGGAGGTTCCTCTGCGGCCTTCTTCTTTTTCTCTTCCTGCCGTTCATTGAACTTCCGAACGTGATCACCAAGGACGTCAGAGTTGGGAATGCATCCAATCAATCGACCTCCCTTCTTCAATGAGCCTGCTACGTTGCGCAGCATGGTCCGAGCCTTTTGCTCCGTCTCGAATGCATAGTGCATACAGAACATCATGCTCACGACGTCGAAACCTCGTCGGCTGAGAGGGCTGGTGTCGAATCCGACTTGTCTGATGATTTCGATATCCTCAATTTGTTCGCCGTAGCAATCCTTGACCTGGAAGCGGGCCTCGAAAAGTCGTGGAGGTGGTCGTCTATATCCTCCTCTTCCACCTCTGCCACCGCCCCCTCGGCTACCCATCTGGCGGTAACGCTCCCGAGCCTGGTCAATGCTGATATCTGCTGGATCGAGACCAACGTAGAGCTCGACTGATTGCGGTGCTTGCTGCCATTTGCCAAGATCGCCTCCCTTTCCACAACCAATGTCGAGCACGAGCAACTCCTTTGCGCCCGGCTCCTGAGGGCCTGGGGTGTAATCTTCATCTGGCGAAAACTTCTGGATGATGCAACTCTTTATCCAATTGTTGAATGCGCGCAGGCCCTTGATCTTGCTGTCTGTTCGTCTCCAGTCCCTGCCGCGCTCTGGTACACTGTTGTAGTGCTGCGTAACAACATCGTTGTTGGTACCGCGCTGGCGCTCAGCAGCAGCTTGGGCCGCAGCTTCCAATTCCTTCTCTCTTTCGAGTGCTCTCTGGCGGATAGCTTCTCTTTCGGACTCAGAGATCCGAGCTCGGGCACCCGGTCGCTTCTGCTTGCGAGGTTGTTCGGAGGGAGAGAGGGCTCGGCGCTTAGCGGGCTGGAGCTCCTTCGCGTTATAGGGCTGGGGAAGTTCATCGGTTCCATCCTCGCGCTTGTCGCCTCTTCGCGAGGAATCGCCTTTTCTTGAGGGCGATTGTGATCTCTTGCGTTTCTTCGCGTCGTATGAATGAGACTGTCGCTCGTACGAATCGTCGTCGTCGTAACCAGCCATTGTCACCGAGTCAGAGGTGACAATGCTCTGAAAGGTCAAAGAATCTCGTCTCTAGTGGAGACTTTAGTGTATTGTTTGTTTGGAAGACTTGGATAAGGTATGGCAGGATGGATGAGAGATGGTTGGAAAGTCCTTCGAATCGCGTGAGAGGAAAAGAAGATGCTGAACGTCGCAAGCATGTATGGGGTCTGTGCCAAGGCACCTGCTGAAAGAGAAGGTAAAGCCCACCTACCCACCTACAGATATTGCTAACAATACGGCAGGCGTGGGGTTAGGCCTCAGTGCTCCAGGTTCTTTCTGATTCTGGATTTAGATGAATTTTTTTCCTTATGAGAATGTGACTTGATGTCTTCCATATTAAATGGCTGTGTATTCGATGGATTAAAATACCACGGTTCAATTTTGCAGAAGCCAGTTGATCATCTTTGGAAGGCAGGGTAGGTATGCGGAGTATGGGTGGTTGTCTCTTGGTGCACTGGGTGGTAGGCAGGTCCCGTACGTGTCACACTGCAGCCTTGCCGGCTTGACTAAGCTCACCCCCAGCAGCAGACCAATCACGCCAGAGTTTGGCCGGACGCTTGCGGGTTGCAGGGGGCCTTTCCAAAGCTCAAGCTCCAAACACCACCATACAACGACATCACTCTCTTGCTCACACAGTAACCCATCGCGCAGTCTCAATCTCTTTTATTTCCCCTCCCCTCGTAATCGACAACGACCCTTCCCAGACGCCTTCGTATAAATCAACCGCCAAGATGGGCTCAGATCCCCAGTACGCAAAGTACCCTCTCCTCCCCCTCGCCCAGCATGTCTTCGCCCTCACAAATGCCTACGCCTCCCGGCCATCTCAACAATCTGCCGCAAAAGCTCTCAACGATGCCATCACCGAGCACAAGATGGCACCGCTCTACCGTTACCTCGCACACCCTCTCGAGGGCATCCTGAACCAAGTTGGTGAGGGTGGCAGTCAGATTCCCGGCAAGCCGTTGAGTCGGAAGTCGAGTCTGGCAGGCATGATTGCCACCAAAACCACCCCCACCGCCGTCAACCTGCCCTGGGACGAGGGCAGATACCAAGAGCTGAAGGCCGACAACGACAAGGAGCTGGAGGAGTTCCAAAAGGAAGAGGACGAGGCCGTCGAGAAGGCTGGCGAGACGGAGATTCAGGCCGCGCGGGGCAAGCGGGCAGAGTTCTGGGCCAGAGTCGGTGACAAGGTGCGTTTGGGAAGACTATCAACACATGAATGAAATACTGACCTCCCTGGTAGGACCGGGCGATCGCCGCATACGAAGACGTGTTCGAGAAGACCGGCATTTTGGGCACCAAGATCGATTTGGTTCTCGCAATAATCCGAATGGGTCTCTTCTACGGCGACAAGCTTCTTGTCAAGAAGCACGTCGAGCGCGCAAAGACCCTGGTCGAGTCCGGTGGTGACTGGGACCGTCGCAACCGTCTCAAGGCATATGAGGGTATCTACCTCCTGACCGTCCGGTCATACAACTTGGCCGCCCCGCTGCTGCTCGACAGCTTGTCCACCTTCACCAGCTACGAACTTTGCACCTACTCCTCCCTCGTCGTCTACTCCGTTCTCGCCGGATCCGTTTCCCTGAAGCGTGTCGACTTCAAGAGTAAAGTTGTCGACGCCCCTGAGATCAAGGCCATTCTGGGTGATGGAGAGGACAAGCTCCTGGCTCTGTCCGGTGCTCTCAGCGCCGGCCCTGGTGCCGACGACGCCATGCACGACGCACCGCCCGCCGCTGCCAAGACCGCCGTGAACCTGACGACTCTCGGCACAAGCACCGATCAGCCCGAGGCTGAGATGGCCATTGACTTCTCGCCTCTGGCCCAGCTCGTCTCCAGCCTGTACAACGGCCAGTACAAGTACTTCTTCCAGGCTCTCGCCCAGGTCGAGGAATCTTTCCTGACCCAGGACCGCTACCTTCACGAGCACAAGAACTGGTTCATCCGTGAGATGCGCCTGCGCGCTTATCAGCAGCTTCTCCAGAGCTACCGCGTGGTTGGCCTGGAGACAATGGCGACCGACTTTGGTGTCACCGTTGACTTCCTGGACCGGTATGATTCCATTCCTGCCTTCAGCCGCGTTGGCCGGACCAGACAACTAATTCGTTCTCCAGTGACCTCGCCAAGTTCATTGCAGCCGGCCGTATTCCCTGCACAATCGATCGTGTCAGCGGCAAGGGCGTCATCGAGACCAACCGTCCCGACGACAAGAACAAGCAGTACCAGGACGTCGTACGCCAGGGCGATCAGCTCATCACCAAGCTTCAGAAGTATGGTCAAGCCGTGCGTTTGAGAGGAAGCGAGCGGGCATAATCAGCCAAAGAGCAAGGTGACGGGGAAATGACGGGGAGCTTTTACCACATGTTTTTACAATCGTGTGTCCCTTGGCCAGGCTGAGAACGTCGGGCTCGGGACTACAAAAGGCGCGAGGTAGAAACGGCAGGCGGCGAATAGAAACCGGGGTTGGGGCAAGCAAATGTGTGCTACTACAATAACTCTTTGTATGATACCTACGGATTAGACAAGCCAATATGAGAAATCTTGGCTTGACCTTGGCCCACGTGGTATGGCTATGTGTGTGCCTGACTCCGTGAACTATCAAAGTGATAATCGCGCAGCAGAATTGAGTACTCATGGGAGCGGAATCGTTCTATTCTCGCAAGCTATGCTCAAAAAGCGTCGTCAATATGCCAAATCCCAGAGACTTGCTAAACAACAAGAAGATATCTACTTTGCGCCTCGTGCGTGCTAATTTTCCGGTTTGGTATTTGCTTTGATCCACACTGGATATGTGCTTCCGGAAGAAACAACGCCCAAATTTCTTCGCTTCACACCTATCCCAGCCGTGCTTGCTACTACGCAAGCTTACGCCATCAAAAGCGGCTGGCCTCCTTGCACCTCTGCGATCCCCGTACACACAAAGATCGAAACTACACCAACAGCTTCTTTACCGGTACTTCTCAATAAACTCCTTGTGGAAGTTGATGATGCGGCCAACCCAGTCAGTGCCGGGCGCGAGGAAAGTGGTGCGGAAGTGCAGGGTGCCCTCCTTCTGACCGAATCCGCTGCCGGCAACGACGCAGACACCGGTGGCCTCGAGCATGCGCATGCAGTAGAACTCGTCGGCCGTGCGGCCCTCCTTCTTGGCGGCCTCGATGGCCTTTGCGGGAAGCTTGATGGTGGGGAAGAGGTACATGGAACCCTGCGGCGCGCCGCACTCGACGCCCTCCATCTGGTCAAAGGCCTTGTGGAGAGCAGTGGCGCGCTCCTTGAGGCCGTTGAAAATACCGTCGTACTCCTTCTTGTACAGCTCGTAGCTCGGCTCGCCCTCCTTGGGGGGGTTGACCATGAGCTCGACGATGCACTGGCCGATGACGGGGGCGCAGAGGGTGATGGAGACGAACTTGTAAATGTTGGCCTCAACCTCGGAGTCGAAGTTGACGAGCTCGAAGTAGCCGCCGCGGTGACCGCACTCGCCGACCATACCCTTGGAGATGGAGTGCAGAGAGGCGAGTTCAACGCCGTCGTACTTGCCGGGGGTTTCCTTTTGCAGCTTGCGCAGAACGCTCTTGAAGGAGTGGAACTTGCCAACAAAGACGTTGGTCTGGTAGACTTCATCGGCCATCACCACGAGCTGTTTCTCCGCCGCGTAGTCGTAGACGGCGCGGATGTCATCCTCGGACAGGGAGGCGCCGGTAGGATTACCGGGGTTGATGATAACAATAGCGCGCACATCGGTGCCTTCGGAGGTGGCCTTCTCGTAGGCAGCCTTGATGGTGTTCAGATCGGTGCCCCAGCCTGAGGCCTCGTCGAGGTAGTAAGGAACGCAAGTGGCGTTGAGGACCGACAGGGTTGCAGTGTAGAGTGGGTACTGAGGAATGGGCACAAGAACACCGCTTTGAGCATTCTGAGCAATTATGTGCAGAAGCGTGTTGACTCCGGAAGAGGCACCGCCAGAGAGGTAAATGTGGGCGGGATCGGCGGGGAATCCGTCTCGGCCTGCAGAGATCTTTGTCAGTTGTCACACTCGGCGCAAGTTCAACAGTGATAACAACTTACGCTCAATGAAATTGGCAATGCTCTCCTTGATAGCGGGGACACCAGCGCTGGCACTATAGGCGCCAACGGAGCCGACCTGGCTCAAAAGAAATTTGGCGCGAGCGATAGCATCGCTCTTGTACCCAAGCTGGTTCTGCAAGACATCCTCGTGCTCAAGAAGCAGGGGGTTCTCGAGGAGACTGACGACCTGTCGGAAGAAGGTAATCGGCTTCTGGTCGAGTTGCTGAGGATTGCCGATGTTGGCCGAGATGACGGCTTCAAAGGGGAGGTCCTTGTCACCCTTGGCCAGCTTTGCCCGGTATTCCTCCGACTTTACGGCCAGCTCGCCGCGAACGGCGTACTCGGCAGCAACAACATGCTGGTTGATGTTGTGCACATTAAGCCGACGACTCGGTGTGGTAGACATGGTTCGATGGTGGGGTGACAAACGGCTGTTGCTGCTGCTGAAGAAAAGTTGCCTTTGAGATGGCGGGGTATTGGAGAGCAAGATCTTAGGGGACCGCGGGGTATCTGTGCAAGAGTCATATAAAAGTTAGTCAAAGGGCTTCTGCCGCGCAACAGTGGAGATCAAAGTAGAAAAACACCTTTGCTCGGGTCGATAACACCGGAAAGAGCCGAGCAAAAAAATGCAAAAGTTGGGAATGGTTAGAGGAAGAGTAGGAGAGTGAGTCTCAAGAAAATCTGAAAACGTACGCAGCCAACTCAACCGCTATTTATTCAGCTCTTCGTCAACGAAGAGCAGTGGGCAACCAGTTTTGGACGCGGGGGGGACCGCTACAACAGTGCGCGATGTTTAACAGACGGATTCAACGGACAGAGGGAAGAAGAGACGGCAAAGTTGACAAGAAATCGGCGCATACTCTTCTCCTCATTGTCCGATACAGATGCTCTTATTCAATAACTCTGACAGACGCAGCCTACTTAGGCTGGTACTGTGACCTCGAGGGCACGAGACATGACCCTGCGTGGCATCGTTTCTGTGTTGCGGCGGGATGGCTTCCATGACGGGCTGTGTTTGCCCCCCTTCCAGAGCGGGACACCAGCCGAGCACTCGCTGGTGAGTCGCAGGCGAAGACGTGGATCAGACCCGGCCGTGTTTGGCGCGGATTTGCTTCAAAGGCCTGTGTCCGAAACCGGTGATGGACAGACAAGGGGTAAGGCGGTCGGCGCGCCTAGAGGCTAGAGCTTCTGCGGATTCTTCCGCCAGGGTATTTCCGAATTTCGGCGTCTTGGGGAAAACTAATGGTTCCTCATCCTCCTGCAAAAGAAGAATGGAAAGTGCGGGGGTCCACGTGGGATTCATGGGCACTCGAACGGGCTTGAGAAAATGATCAAATGCCTTGTCTGTTTGTTCGGTGAGGGACGGCAAAGAAAAGGAAAACAGGTGGGGGGAGAAAACGCAGCTGGGAGGGAGCTGTAGCTGTCCCGTTTGAGCGGTGTCGGGCAGGTGAGCTTAGATAGCTTCGAGCTGCGCCAACCCCCAGCTTTCATGGATAATAGAAATAGCACTCGGTTTGGGGCCAGGGCTGGGCAACAAACAACGACTTGAAGCAAACACACCGCTCTCAACAGTGGAAATAGAATGGTTCAGCATTGCGACGTACCATTTGTTCTTTGACTGCCGTTGCTTCCGCCGCTCATCAATCGCGCTTGGCTCGCGGCGGCGTGCCTCCTCGGTGCTCCCAGCGACCTGGCCGCGGTGCAAGCCACTCTCTTCGCCGCCATCGTCGAATTTATCGTGCTTGTCGGAATTTAAAATGCGCCCCGGACGGGTCGGTTTGTTGAATTTGGTGATTCGTGGAGAGGTTCGCCGTTTCCAACTTCGGTGTATTCGCTCTGTCGTTTACTACGCTCCGTAGATGGAAATGTAAGACTCGAAAAGTGTCCAAGAGAGAAAACCAGGACGAAACGTCGTCTGCTCTCGGCGGTCTGAGGTGTTCTGCTGGATCGCCAAGGACCTACATACACGATACAGCTGAGATGCGAAAAGGAAGGAAGGCAAGAAAGACGACAAAAGTGCACGCCTTCCTGAATTACCCCCTCCATGGAAGCAGGCAAGACAAGAACAGGACATCCGTTCCTCTTTATTTGCCCATCCGCCCATTGTCTGCTCCCGCCAATTGTGCCCACCCTCCCTCCTCATCATCCTGCTGCTGCTCCCCGGCCACGGCCCTGCCCATCTGTTGAGAAAAGCGACCCGACCTGCGAGATAACCACGCCCACCCCTTCAAAGCCTGGCCGGCGGGCGACCACTCGGGGGTCGGGGCTATTCGCGATAGACTACCTTGACTGCGGGCTCGAGTCCAAATGGGCCGCGTGCAGGGAAGGGCGCGCAACAAAAATTGGCACAAAATTTCCACCCAGCTCCAGCAACCAACCCCAGAATGTCGTAGGCCATCACCATCCGAACACGGGAAAAGCATCGATGGCGGTGACGCTTCATGCCAGGTCCCTGCAAGCTCTAAAAACGCTGCTGGGTCTAACGGGGGGGACCAGAGCTATTGACCGAATAAGACCAGGAAAGATCCACCAACCAACAGCTCCGTTGCTCGGATTACCATCTCGTAGACTTCTGACCGCGCAGCTTGACCGCTGTAGACTGGCATAACCTGAACTACGATTCTATACTTCTCACGTCGCAAGATGCCACTATCCCCCAATCGACGATATCCCCTGAACCCCTCTTTGCTTGGCCCCTCGGGCCTTTTCCAATTCGTATCACTGGGCTTACATGAGTGAAACTGTCTTACACATCGCCATGTGAGCATTTCATACCCTGCCAGCTGGTGCCACTTGTATCAGGTTGTACTACCTACGGGGCGCAATCCTCACACCGAAGCCTTACCGAAGCCGGCACCTCGGTGAACGGCCCTTTTCCCGCCGACAGACCTCTCTCCACCGCAAAATTCCAGTCTCCATACTGCGAAGCTATCCCGTCCCCCGTGGTCCCAGATCGTGTCCAAGCCTCAGCTATCCAACGCGTGCGGCGCAAACTCCCCCAAGATGGCCAAAAAAGGTATGCGAATCCCTCTTAGCTCTTCTTAATCCAACAGCCTCTCCCCAATTGGATCGATCACCCAGCTAACCAACCCCGTTCAATAGCGAAGTCTCGCGTCATGATCGTCCGGCTCTTGTCCATGGCCGCGACTGGTTACTTCTACACCGTCAAGCGTCTCCGAACCGCAACACCCATGAGTTTGCTGAAATACGACCCAATCAGTATGAAACCTTCACTTTTCTCAAGTCAATAATTATGGCGCCCTTCTCAATCGACGAGCGCCATCCTACACACGCCATGAGATGGAGATGTTAATGACGGGGCTAACGAGACCACAGTTCGGCGAAAGGTGCTGTTCTTGGAGCAGAAGAAGAAGGGAAAATGAACTCGCGTGTTCTCGATTGACCAACACCATATGTAACAACACTGATATAACCATAAACGGCGTTCACGGCGGCATACACTTGGGGCTCGAAGACCACATGGATGAACTGTACATCATCAACTTGCAGCCCCCCAGACCTATCGTCAGGGGCAAGGCATTGACACGTCGGAATATGCGCCTGAGGTGGAACGAAAGCAAAGGCTTCGATGGCCATGACCTAGTTGTATATTCTACAAAGAAATAACAAACCTTGCATAAATGCATGAATCCTCCGCATGATTCCACCACACACCAATCTGTCGCACACGTCCAAGAAACCGCATCCCCATTTTGATAATCGAGAAGCTGCAAACCTTGTTCGAGCACAATTCGTGTCCCGGAGCAACTCAGAGGTAAGAATCACAGCGCGACAGCTGCTGTCAGAGCTTAGCGCTCTGTCACTTTCCTCCGCGTTCTGCGCTCTCGTTCGGTTTGGAAGCGCTTGGGAGGAAGTGGTATGAAATCTGGTCATCATCCTGGAGCGCCTTCTTGCCATCTTTCTTGCTGTGCTCTGACGACTCATTTTGACGGCGGTCTCCCATATTGCTTCCCGTAAATTGTGAGGTTTCAACGTTGTCTTCGTTCTCAGTGAAGCATGGTTTCGACCGTTTCGGGCCTCGAGACCACGACTGAGATTTGCTAGTTCTTTTGATTCCTCGCTGCTCGGCAAAGCTCGTTGGTCCTTCCAGTCTCTCCCATTCGTTACGGCCAATCAGATCAGTGAGGTTTGCTTTGCGGTTACCCACAAAGTTGTCCTTGACATCCAAGACAGCCTCCTGGCTGGATTTGAGAGCACTTTGAACAGGTCGATTGTACGAAGAGTGTCCGGCGTGGCGTGCTACCATAGCGTCGTTCCTTGCCTTTGATGTTCTTGTAGTGGGCGTCCTCTGTGGACGAAGAATCGACTTTAAGCGGGACCCCTGAGTGGTTACCTCCGTTCGCTGGTACTTCTCCTGTTCAATCGATGGCGCGGGCGTTTCGTCTTCCAATTCTTCGACAGGACTCCGGAAAACCGTCCGCTTGCTTATTTGCATCAGTGGGATGTCAGAGGAGCTCGGCTGAAAGTCATTCAGCGGATCGTATACATCTTGTGGCGGCAACAAGGGAAACTCCGATTCCGGTACCACCAGACTGTCAGGGACCAGGATATCGTCGCTTCCTGTGGCATCTTGTCTGCTGAGAATTTGTGCGAGGTCTTTGCTGACCGCCGCGTATGCGTTGCCATTTGACCTGAGCTGTTTGACTTCTCCCTTCAGTGTTTGAAGGTAGGCAAGCTGTTCAGCTACCTGATCAGCAATGTTGGTAGTAGCAGCCGGAACCTGCGTCTCGCGGAGCTTAAGTGTGAGATTGGTGACTCTTTGACGAGCATTTTCCAATTCCTTTTCGAGTTTTGACGCTTTGGAGACACTTTCCAAGGCCCTGAGACGTTCAACCTCCGCCTCGACCATGGATAACTGCTGTTGAGCCTGGTGCAAAGATTTTCCTGAACTTCTCAGCCGAGTTTCCATTGTCGTGTGATCATCCTTCGAATTTTTTGCGAGATTTTTCCCGGACTCTTCGGCAAGTTGGCGTTGTCGATCGACGTCTTCCTCGACAATTCGGAGTTTCTCCTGAAGCTCTCGGACCTTTATTTCATGACCCTCACGCTGAAGTTGAAGCTCAGCCTGGGCTTCTGTGACCTGGCAGTCCTTACTAGACAGATTTTGCTGTAACGCTTGAAGCTCTGCCTCCGTGGTTGTCGCCTTAGTTGATGCCGACTCTGCGGAGTTTCTCGCTTCTTGTAACTTCCGACTGAGCTCAGAAACAGCGTTTGTCATATTTGCGACTTCCGCATCCTTTGACTGGAGAATCTGGGCGAGTTTTTTGCTTTCCTCTTTCCTCTCTGAGAGCTGCATCAGCAATCGCTCTTGCTGGTCTTTCCGCTCCGCCTGGATCGACAGTGACTGATTCTGGAAGATCTTCTGGAGACCTTGAAGTTTCTCCTCGATGGACTGGCCAGTCACCATAATTTTCAACTCTTCAAGAAATCTGGGTTCATGTCAATTGAGATATCATGATGCACCAGCGGAAACCTACCGTGGCATCATATCCTCTTGGAAGGTTTTCAGAGCTTGCCGAACCTCATCTTCAATGTTCACCCGAGGGGCAGATTGCACATGGTCCGCAATTTCGTTCAGCCTATAGCAATCAGCCACATCCAGATGGAACAATGACGATTTAAGAAGATACCTTTGTGTAACCTCGGCCGGAATGGCGGCTTTTTGGGCTGAGTTTACTTGCACGTCGTCCATCTTCTCGGAGATTCGAGCCACCTTTCCGTCGACCAGGAGCAACAGACCTTCTAGGTCTCTCCCCTCAAGAAGCTTAACCTCCAACTCTCTGGCTCTTTGAGCCTCGAAATCGAAATCTCTTTCAAGATTGTTCAGGGCCGACGTCAAGTCTTTGATTTTGGATGCCGCTTCTTAGTGTTAGGACCAATATCTTCGATCTTCGGATCGGATCTGCTTACCCGTAGCCACCTCCCCCTGGAGAAGTACTTGTCTGTCTTTGGAAATGCCGTTCAGCTTGTCTTGGGCAGCTGTTTTTTCTGCCATGATCGAATTGAACTTCTCTTCCACCTCGTGATGCTCCGTTCTCATGTTATCGATGGTTTTTTGAGCGATCTCTCTGGATTGCTGCCAGAGTTGCTGATGTTCTGCAATGGCCTTGTTGAGGTGATCCTTGTATCCGCGGCTTCTCTCTTGCAATTTGTCGAGCTTAAAATGTGTGGCTTCCAGCTCATTGTTTAATTTGGCTGCCTCGGCGTCTTGTAATTCTCTCTCAGCTTGCAGATTGGCGACTTCCTGTTCCAGCTCTTGCGTTCGACCATCGCGTTGATCTAGATCTCGAGAAATCTCATCCTTCTGCTTTCGTAATAGAGAAAACTCAGACTTAAACTGTATGCGGCGGTTTTGATCTTTCTGGTGCCGCGTGTGATACTGCCCTAAGCGAGTCTCCAGCTCTTCGATCTCCCGCTTCTGGCCCATGATACGACTGTTTAACTTGTGTTCAACTTCTTTTGAGTAATTAAGAACCTTATTGTAGTGAGCTGACATACTTTCAAGTGCTTCGTAATGACTCTCGGATGCAACCTGCTGGCGCCGACCGCAGGTTTCTAAGCTTGGAGCGGCCATTTCGTAACTAGGCTCTGTTGGTTGTGGTTGATTGGGAGAGTGCCTCCGACGCCGGGAGGTATTTGAAAGACGCGATGTTGTACGTTGTGGAACATCTCCAGAATTTTTCTCGCGCCTGATGCGTCGATTTGGCTGCTCTCGTCGGGGAGAAGAATGTTGCCGATGAGACTTGCCAGCAGAACTGGGAGTTTGTTTCTGAGGCATTTCCAGGTCGCCAACTGGGGTAGACGAGCGGAACCCAACTGCTCCATTGTGCCTCCTCTGAATTCGAGACACCTGAAGAGGTAGCATACGATTGTCTTTGATAGTTTTGCTAGCTTCGGACAGGTGGGGTTCTATGTCATTTGTGAGACCTTCCATTCGACCTGAATCCACACGTTGCTGCTGTCCGCCTTCATCTTCTCTCCGAGAGCTAGGCCTTGAAAGATCACTCTTCTTCGTAGCCGTCACGCGTTCAAGTGCAGGTTGCAAAGTCTCTCGTTGGTCGTAGGGAAGAATGGCATCGGCGTCAGCGAAGGGTCGAATACTGAGGTCCTTTTTGGCAGAACCCTTGTGTTTTTGCTCTACCCCAACGGCTGGGTGTCCTGGAGTCTGATTGTCAGCTGGATCAGCTAGATGAATCCCAGGGGTGGAAGTCATCTGATCCGAGAGATTTGGGACTAGTAGCTGAACGTGGTTACTCAATTGCTGCGGGTTGGCTTCTGCAGTCTTCAAGCGCTGTGCCCGAATAACTGTTCGAGTTTGGTCAATCCCAGAGCCAGCGGCCATTACATTGTTTGTCTGGACGTCAACGCCGTGGTAGTGAGGACTATGACTGTCTATCAAAGCTGGTCGTTTCCGGGGCTGGGTTGGTTGAACAGTGCCGGAATCTGTGTCCCCTCTAGGTACCGCATCTTGTCGTTCACTGAGAGCACTGAAGTCGATTGAGCGATGCTTCTGGTGTCCACAGAACTGATTCGGCTTGAACTTGGGCTGTGGTGCGAAGACAAATGAATTTGCCGACCCAGAAAGCTCCAGGTCTTCTTCTGAATGGCGTGGAAACTTGTGCCCGTGCCCGTGTGTCTGAGATATGTGGCACTGTCCATTCTCATCATCTTGTACAACGTGGTTGATGTTTGGCTGTGACTCTCTCTGCTGGCTGAGCAACGAAGGCTGCGATTCCGCACTGGAAGGTGAGTCTTGGACCTGAGAGTCCCGCTCAGGAGAATGTTCCGGGCTAGATCCATCTGCATGGGACTTGGCTCTGTGTTCAGTGTATCGGTGCGTGCTTCCGTCTGTTGAAAGAGAGTCAGGGCTGGATGTATCGACCATGGTATAAACGTGGCCAGGGGCCGGGGTGTTACTGCTGCACCAAGCTGTGGTCTACACCTAGAGTCTCTGATACAATGTAGCAAAGTTCAACAGAGAGTCAATCCGGACAAAGAAACGAGACGGCAAAGGAGAGGACAAGCAGAGTCAAGAAACAAAGCCAATGGCTTTCGTCCAACAAATTGGGGTTGTAGGAGATTGAAGAGGATCAACACACCGTGACCTGTTGGGATGGAAGCCCCCAAGCCGGGAAGCATCTCTCGGATTGCCTGCAGCGGTAAAGATCTTGAAGGTTCTTGGGAAATCGCAAGGCGTGGGCTTCCAGCTTCTCAGGTTGAGCTGCAGAAAGAGCTTTCGTGAGTTGAGATCAGGAAAGTGATGGACAGAAGGACATGGTAATGGCTTTCCTCTTCCACCGGGCGGAAGGAAAGATGCTCTCAGGGCAATGCGCTGACTACCTGCCTTCATTTGACTCTGCCTTCCCTTTCAATGCATATTTCCTTATCATCCAGGATGGTACCTTAACTTGATGACAGTCTTTCAATCCCCATCAGGACATCCAGCTTTGTGTCAGTCCCTGTTGTTCAGCGCAGCTCGAAAGTTTCATAGGGACTCGGCTCTTTCCCTTCAGCACTATTCCTAGAGCTGGATGTCCAAGCAGCCACCCACGTCCTACAATTCCTTGAAACAATTTGCATACGTGGAGAACCCTTTGCCACATCATTCTCTTACGGATATGGTTTCAACATACGCAATGTACGTTGGTGGAAGTGGAAAACATGCCCAACTGGCATGCGAAACCAAATGCCGAGTACTGGCCATGGAAGGAGAAGTGAGCCTATTTGATGAGGATTACTCGCCAAGGTGATCACTAGAGTCAGCTACCTTATTTCATCGCCCCCTCTTCCCGTCGCAATCCTTTCTTTTCTTCAGTCTTGGGATCAATCTACCAGCACTTTTGCAGCGAGGTGAATGGCGACATGACCTTGTTACAAGAAGCAAACGAAGAACATCATCTGTCTCACGAAGAATCCCCCCTCGGCACTTGCCAATTTCAGGAGAATTTCTTGCCGACAGGGTTGAATTTTCAATGTCAATAATGCTAGAGTCTGGAACGACCATTGGCAGCGGCTTCTCTTTGCGTTGAACTTCGCGAGAGAAGACCGCTTACTCTCCAGCCGTAAGACCTTCCTCTAATTCGACTTGCTAACTGGCCTCGCCAGCTCCAGCGACGAAACCCATCGACGAGGAGAGATGCGCAGCGTCGGAAAAACCAGGCCAAGCCCGCTGCCCAAATATAGAACTTCCCAAGGAAAAGCCAAGCAATGCCAAAAGCCCACTGAAGAAATGAATTAAGCGGGAAGGGGGAGCAGGCGGTAAGTGACACCTCAAAGGCATCATCGACGGAACCGAAGTGATACGCGCTTGATCGAGGAAGACAAAGATGGCTGTACCACTCGGCTCTTCCGCGCTTTGGTCGAATTTTCTCTCTTTTCAGCAAGGAGAAAAAGGTGACAGTGACGGGACGTGCAGGTGCCATCACAGATAGAGCAGCCACAGGAAAGAGTCTCTCCGGATGAGAGCCATTCAGAACAGCTCCAGATGCTCGTCATCACACCGCAGGATCGTCAAGTCGACGGAAACGCGAGGACCCTTCCCCATCACACAATTACGGTCGTCGATATCGCATCTCCTGCCGGTGACAGTCAGCCTCTTTCAAAAATCGTCCGATTGATTAAGTCGGCCGCGTATACGGAGACATGCAGTGCAGATGTAAAATGCAGGTGGAAAGATATACAACAGTATAGGATTGTGATGGGACTCAGTCCCACCCCCTGCGCCTCCAAAATTTGTCCGAGCAGCCCATCCCAGGCCCGTCCCGCTGATTGGCCATCACATCCCAGCCCCGATGTGAAAGCGCCGTGTGCCGGCGCTTCGAGGCTGCTCAACGCCAATGGAAGCGCCGCGAGCCTATTTCGACCATCGTGGGCCCAGACGAAGTTCTCTTGCGTCTTGGGTCCCCACGGTCAACAAGGTACCTCGACACGGTTCCTGCGCACCAGACGTGGGTCCCCCCGGCGACGTGCTCGCAAGTGCCGTGTGAAAGCTATGCACTTGCACGAGGGGAGGCCCTTCGCTTCGTTGCCTTCGTCACATTGCTGTAAGTGGTTGATTCCTCTGTATGGCTGCTTGTAGAGGAAGGGGGACGGGGAGGGTAAAACGATTGGCACTGGGCTCCATGTGGGAAATATGCTTGGGCGCTTGAACAACGTAAATAGTGAGTTGGGCCACATTCGTGGCGCCGGGTATCCTTTCGATTTTGTTCAGCTTCTTTATTCTACTAGTACCTTACTCATACGATTCCCACGCCGTCTTTTTTTTCGTTCGGTTGTCTTCCCACCGGCTTGGCTGTGCCTCTAGACTTTTCAATCCTCCAAAGCCACAGTCATCATCATTGCCCTCCGTGAAAGTCAACTCAACCTACACGAAGATGGCGACCACAACCTCCAACTTCTTTCCCCTGGCGACCGAAACCTATTACCCGGACTCTCCTGGTGATGGCAGTTCATCTGGGAATGGTGTCGACACTGAGGCAGGGGCGTCTGGTGACAGCCCTGGGGCTGTCAACCTATCCCGCGAAGCCATGATAGCCATCATCGTCGTCGTCTCTGTTGTCGGTGCCCTCGGAAGTATGTTAAAAACAACACCAACTCCTTGCAACACCTTTTCGCTAACCCGCCCTTACTCGTACAGTTGGCATGGCCGTTCTGTTCTACGTTGCCAAGAAGCGTGAATGGAAGATCAGAGAGACCATGCGCAGGTCCGCTAGAAAGGTCGTCACCGCTCTCACCCCGCGGAGGACCGAGTTTCCCAGATCAGTCAAGGAGTCCTCATCTCCGCCACGCAGCCACCGTGGGCGCGCGAGGCTTGCCGATGACGTTCCGCCTACGCCTAGACTCCGCCCAGAAGATCTTGAAAAGGGCCTCAAAGAGGCAGAGTCGAAGCGCAAGTTGATGAGGTGGGGCCGGAAGTAGGGAAGGGTTAGAAGAGAGTGAGACTTTGAGATTAACGACCGCCAACTGGCTTGGTGCTGGCATAATGGTTCATTTGCCGAGGCGGTTGAGACTGAATGATTGATGAACTTGGACCTGCGGAGCGTTGAGAGTCCTCTTTCTTGTACCATTATTATGCCCCTTGAGAATACGTAGCGCTTATTTCTAAAGTCTTCGGAATGTGTTTGAGCTGGCACTTCTTCTTGCGTTGTTCTTGTGATCGCGCGGCCGGGAGTCGTCATGAGTGTCCGGTTGGCCGCCGTTTTTCTTCTTCCCTTGCGGAACGAAGGTGACTGCCTTCTCGCCGTAGGCATTCCCACGGTGCGTTTTGCTGATGCGGCCAGACTTTTGCACCCTGGCGCCCAGAGCTGTGTCCCGCTCCTGTCCGCCCTTCTGGTTGGAAGACGAGATCTTCATTTGGTATTCCTGGGTAGCCTTCTTACCCAGACCCTTGGGACCCTGGTCCACAACAGGCCTGGCAGCAGAACTGACACCAACCTCGTGAGTATCTTTCGCGGCGACCTTGGTGCTGGGATTAAGAGCGCGGAACTCATAGGTGGACTCGTCGACGGCGAAGGCATCGTCTTCGAACATCTTGGCGAAACGATCGTCGCCGAGCAGGCCGGCCTTTTCGTCGACAACCTCTCTGTTCTCCTGCTTCTTGAGGAGTTTGTCGGCGAGCTTCTGGTTGACCTTGACCTTCTTGTTGCCTCTGATTCTGCTGGCACGCTCCTTCTCGACCTTCTCCTTGATGCGTTTCGTCCTCTCTTCCTCCCAAACGTATGGGTTGGCGATAAGACGGGCCTGTTCGTAGAGTTTCGACGCAACGAAGTAACCGTGCATGTACGGACGGAGTAGATTTGTCTTTCCAATGAGATGCTCCATGCTCAACTGCTTGAGTTCGGGCAGCGTCAAGAACTTATAGTTGTCGTATGTCTCTGTGCGAACCTCCTCTGCCATCTCTTCGACCATGTTGTCGAGGAAAGAGCACCATCTTGGTGCCGGCCCGAGGCTGGGAATAAAAAAGGAGTGTTGAGACTTGCCCTCGTTGGCAGTCAGAAGCATGCCGGTGTCTTTGCACCAAGCGCTAGTTACTGATCAGTGGAAATTCAAAGCAGGATTGCTGTCTCGAAACTTACACATCGTTCAGGTCGACGATGGGCTCGACTGAAGTCCATGGTGTGCCGTCGGTCTCGTCCCAGATCTTGATGATCCTCTTATCAGCAGACAAAATCTTCTTTTCTTGGGAAGCCGTCGTCATGTGAATCAGCTTCTTGATCGGGAAGCCGTATCCCTGGTCCTTGGTCAAGAGAGGAACTGGGCGACGGAGATCGAACAGCTGAACCATGCCCGTCTCGGAACCAGTGGCAATAGACAGCCCTGAAGTGCTGAAGTCCAAGGCAGTGATGCCGCCCTCTTGACAGCCCAGACGCGCTACTCTTGACTTCGATCTTGGGTCCCAGAATTCCACCGTACCGATAGAGGTTCCAAATGCGGCAAGACCATGGGAGTTCTCGGCTAACGCTGCTGCGTTGACACTTCCGGCTTCGATACCTCCTTGAAGTCCAGCCCCCTCCTCATCGCCGCCGACATCGATCTGGAAGGATTTCATGAATCTCCCGATCTCCAGATTCAAGCGGAAGACTTCACCCAAGCCGTCCTTGTCCACTCCTACGGCTGGTACAAGTGCTTCCGTTGACTGCCGATCGTAGAGTAAGTCTCTGCCGTAACGTGGTATGCGGATCGTGTAGTGGCAACCCATTGGGGTGTGGAACTCGAGTCGTCGGTCATCCTGAAGGAGCAGAGTCTTCGAGTAGTCGGATGAGAGGATTGTCAACTTCTCAGTCAGAGAATTTGTGTGACGCGCGAATGAGAGAGACAGTTGCGGGAGGTTGTGAACATGAATCTGAGGTTTGTATGTTCCTGCACTGACGGCCCAATCGCCATCTTCACTGACGCGTATGCAGGTACTGGCCTCCTCGAATTCGAAATCTTGGAGAAGCTCGACTCGGCTCTGGTACTCGGGATCGTTCTTCAGCGATCGCTTTCTTCGTCTTGCCAGCCAATCTGGCAAAGGCCTGGCAGTCGATGCACCGGAGACGGTGTAAACCGGAACAGTTCCTGGGTTCGTCAACTTCATCGTGTTTGTCGGAGTCCGCTGGTAAAAATTATACGGGCGGGTGCTTCCATAGGTTCGCGACGTTGCGACTAGGAGCAGAGGAATTGCGGCCGAGTGGACTTTTTTTTTCTTGCCCAAAGTTCCGATTAGATAAGAGTCACTGGCTACCTTACCTAGGTATCTAGGTAGTGGGGGGCCTCACCTCGGTGAGGCTATGGACGATTAGCTAATTCCATTCTGGCTTCCAGACTGCCCCACTACATTGCGTTAGCTGCTCAGTGACTTGAGCTGATTTAATTGGTTGACCCACCCCCCGCTGGCGTTGAACAGGACGCTATTAGTGCATTCAGCCGCGTGCATCTGCTCTGCTTGCCAAAGACAGTGTTCAACTTCTGGCGCTTTACCGATCTAACCAACCTGAACAAGGTCAAAGTAGACAAAACAACCTTTGACGACGAGTCCGACAACTATCGAGCCCAAACGACACTCAGGTGTCCATTATCGTACAAAGAATCGACAAGTTTCCTCATTCCAAAAACGCTTGATAATCCCGTTACTGTCGTGGTCTCGGTTACTGCCGAGAAGCCGGTCCCTTGGTCGCGCCTTCGACCTATGGAGATGGAGTCGATGAACTCGCGAATTCAACCAAATTTCCGTACTCAAATCTCTCCCAGTCACATAACGAATTCCAACCGATGCCGTAACGAAACATTTCTTTTATGACTACAAGCCTCCAGCTTTGAACCGGCTCCTGCGGTCCCTGGGAGCTTCAGCGACTGAGAGTTGATGTTGCGACACGGAACACGTCCCGCCGTCGCGAGACTCGACCGTCGATATGGACACGAGCGAATACGATACTAATACTCTATTGAATGTTCGTATTGTTTGCTGGAATGCGTAGATTGCGATTACTGACGGACCGCTGCCAGAATAACATCTCTACCATCATTTACCGAGTTTACGAACCCTCTCCTGAACAGGCGTCGAGCTTTCCTTCAGCCGCCGCCGATGTCGAGTCCGAATTGAGGACCCTTGGCCGCATTGTATACTACGATGCAAACCGACGGGTTTTGTGGTATTTCCACGTTCCAAGCAAAGATGCGGAGTCTGCCGACAACACCCATGGGGTTTTGGACAGCAATGTCAGTGTCGCGGGCGCCACATTGCTGATGGTTGACGAAGGTTCCTTTGAACCAATCAGTCTCTTTAAAGGTCGCGCCCAAGGCCAGCAAGCCGCGAATACACCAACGAGCTCGTCGTCAAGCAATTCGGCTCTGGACCTATCGCTACGGAACCCGCAGATGGGCAACTCCGGACCACCAAGCTCTTCCGACCCCGATTCCAAACCCCCGTCCGCCGGTGCACTCGACTCCAAAGGCGCAGGCTCTGTTCCCATAAAGGAAGCATACGAGCAATTCATTACGGCTGTTCTGTCGACAACGTCGGCATCATTTTGCAACCGCGTGTCGGCAATCCCCTTGAACCATCGAACCGTTCTACTACCTTCCAAAGTCACCCGGGATGGTCAGACCGAGAGAGCTCAGGACACAGAGTCCGCAGTTGTTGGAACATTCCGGATCTATCTCACCACAACGGGCGCACTTGTCATGAGTTTATGTTTGTCCTGTTGTGAGGGTCTTCTGTCTGTGAACGAACCATCTAGTCCAAGCCAACTTGCACTAGGCTCTCAGATACTGGCCGCCCCGTTCGGCGTTCTAGCAAATTACCAAGGATTTGTGGGTGGAGGCTTGTCGTATCCCGAACTTGGCTTGGGACAGACGCCGGATGCCCAATTTTGGAGGAGCGCGGACGCTAGATCTTCACAATGGAGAGACACCTGCGTCAAAATCCTTCAATCCCGTGGGCTGTCTCCTGCGTTGCTACAATCTTGTCCTTGGATCGCATTGCAGATGCTCCGCCGAAAACCTGGCGATACTAAGATGGAAGGGAAGTTGACGCCATTACCATCCGCTGTGGCTACGATATCATGGCCGGCAGTCCTTTGTTTTCGCAAGAAGTCTGTCATGCTTGCGCGAAGTAACGGCTTGGGAGATTCTGTACTGCTAGCCCAAGACGAAACTTCTGATTTCCTTAATGACGCCAGAACCTGGTTTCAACTAGGCGGTGATAGAGACGACAGAGTTGCCAAGAGGAAGAAAGAGAGGGAAGCTGCGGCAAAACAAGAAGCATCGGCAGCGGCCCCGACACAGCAACCAAACGGAAATTCACCACTAGGGCTAAGACGAGCAAGCAATGCTGCAGCTGCGGGTGCGATGTATCCGACACCGCCGGACGGAGTTCAGAATCCGCTGGGTATCACACCCTCGATGGACGGAACGACCTCTAGCCCAGGTGCCCCTGGAATCACTATGGCAGTTGTCGACATAGATACTACTATGACCGATGCTACCGCACACGACCCAACGACGATGAATAGCACTCAGCACCACGATTCCTACAGTGACGCCTGGCATTCGAACGAGCATACAAACGAGCACACGAATGAACATTCCAATGAGAATGGGAAAAATCGAACTGACGCTTTTCTTGGAGGAGACAACGATAATTTATTTGGCGACATGGGCCCGGACATATTTGGAGATGCCGACATTACTGACGCCGATTTCAACTTTTTCGACGAAGGGGGCGATGATAACCTCGACCTATCCGGCCTGCCTGATTTGGGCATGTCCGATGTACCATCGATGCCTGCTGTCCTCCCAGTCTCCATGCCTGAGCCGGCAAAGCAGGTGATACCTGCGGTGGAGGACACTAAGCCCGAACCAAGCCCCCCAATATTCGCCAAGCCGGAACTGAAACATGCACGGAGCACACTGATGGAAGAGGGAAAGCAGCGATCGAACGCAGATAGGGCTGGCGGTCTCAAGAGAGAGTCGAGTCCTTTCGATCCGGACACTGTCTATAAAAGAGTTCGGGCTTCTCTTGCAGATGTCCACTCTACTCCCCATCGAACCCCTGCACGGAAAGGCAGCATTTTCGACAGCGTGGACTTCGACCCGATTTTGCCTCTTGTGAATAAGAAGTATGAGCAAGGGGGCCGATTCGATTGCAAGCCGACACACCACGGCCTGCCTCAAGAATCCAACAAACAGTCTCCTCATCAGGGGCCACCTACAACCGACTATCTACGACGACATGGGAAAGGGAGGAAAACACTGAAACAACCAGAGCACACGAATGCACTGATCCGAACTATCACGGGCAACCTTGAGAATAGTTCACTCATCACAAGCCCCGATAAAGGAGATGACCTAGCATCTGACGCCGATGACATCAGCCTAGTATCAGACCAAGACGACTCGAGCACGTCAGAAGATGAGCCGACATCACCCTTTAAATCAAGTATTCGAAGACTGAATTTGGATGACGATGTCGCGTCTCACGTCACTTCCTTGAGAGACATTGAGTCTGTTGAGGATTCCGATCCGACGTTAGCTTTGGACCTTCCAAAGCTAGCCAAGGCCGAAGCCTCAGAAATACTGATAACGAGATATTTTGAAGATGCAGAGTCACTACCTATTCATCTTTCGCTCCCAGACGAGGATACAGTCACCACCGCTCAGATCGTCACTGAGCAGGCCGTGACTGGCAACCTGAGAATACGCGATGCACATGCGAATACGTTGAACACGGCAATCATACCGGAAACGCGGCGCCAATTATCCTCGCTGGGCCGGACCGCTCTGCAAGCTTTGCGCGAGGTTATTCCCGCCTGTCTGGGGGAGTTCAACACATGCAACTTCAGAAGTGTCGTCGAGATCCCCGATGTTCCTTTGCTTGGGCCACCCAACAGGCTCCATCCGAGGCCGGTCAACCCACGGGATAATGCAGAACCGCCGAAGCCGAATAACCTCTTTCAGATCCCAGCTCCCCACATGGAACTCCGGCGTGCAGAAGCTAGACTATCGGTTTTGCCGGCGAGTGTTCAGTTCTGGGAAAGTTTGGGTTTGGGTCCTGCTCAAGGTACAAAGGATGTCAACGTTGTTTGTGTCTTCCCCCATTGGGATGGAATGTCAGATGTTGCCGCCGCCTTTCTGGACCGTATGCGGAATGTCTACGAGCTCCTCAAGCTGGGCTCCTTCGAACGCCTTGCGACCAGTTCTAATGTCACTGACGGTCTGGTGCCCTTCGAAGCAGACAAGATCGCTACTTCTCCGGGAAATGTTAGTCCCCACATCGTAGCCGGCTTGGGTGACCGCATGGAGGCACTCAACCAGGGGCTCATTTCGGCAAACGCTTCGGAAAAGAACTTTGTGGTATACTTTGTATATCCTCCAGACCATCCCGGGTCTATCGTCGAGGCCTGCACTGCCTTCCAACAACTTTTCGAGATGCACAGGAGGTCTTTGACGGAGAAGCGACAGACCCCGGTCAACGAACTGGTCTTGCAACTCGTGCCTCTGGACTTTTTGACTTCTTCAACGGGCATAGTGGAGCCGACCCCTAGCGATGCGATCAAACTGGCGATAGAAACGTATGACCGCTGCACGCTGTTTGGCGGACCGATGCCATCACCGGCCATAATGCTTGAGCAGTCACTACCTAGAGGCATCGACTTCAAACTTTCTAATGCGTCTTCGTCGTCGCTCATGCATGAAAACACTTGCATTCATATCGCTTACGCTCAAAGCATCGACGAGAGGTGGATAACCGCGGCTTGGACTGACAACCGGGGATGCCAACAGATGACTGCATCTTACAACCTTGGTCGCAGGGGCAAGGCGTTGTCTACATCGCTCAATGAAGTCTGCCACGTTATATGGGAGACCACTCATGACTTGATTTCCAAATGGAAAGTCCACTGGCGGGTCATTATCTCCAAGTGCGGTTTCATGGATGCGCAAGAGGTTGGGTTCTGGCAGGGTCTTGCTCAAACAGAGTCGGTGGCAACAGTCAGCTTGACCTTGATTTCGGTCGATACAAACCCGTCCATGCAGCTAGTTCCGCCGGCCATCAAGGTCCCAGCAACAACGTCCTCGGCCTTCTACACGACGCCCGTGTCCACTCCTCAAGCGTCAATAGTGTCACCAGAGCAGAGTGGCACTCCGGTGACGCCCATGAAAGAAAACCCAACAAGCGCGGCGACTCCAGGTGGAACACCTGGCGATGGCAATGCTGACCCGGCCGAGGGAGATGCTATTCTCCTCGACGTTACAGACCAAACATGGGGTGCTGTGCTAGCACATCGACTGAGCAACTCCTCCACTTTGGGGGAGCTGAACCCCGCCCTCATCAGCGGCTACCTCGTCAAACGCGGAGGGACGAAGCTCGAAGACCCGCCTGTCGTTTTGGAGGTCAACATTGTGCATGCGGATAACAACCCGCGCATGTACGAGCCTCTCATGCGGGAGATGCTTACCTACTTCAGGGGTCTTGGAACCCTAGCTCGCGCGAGGGGTATTGTAGATAAAGGGACGGATATACGGCCTTGGCACATCGCGGCGGCGGAGAAGGGCGTCCGGGCATTATACCTTTTGATGTGATTTGGTACACGATGGTTTGTAGGGTAGACTCATTTTGCTTGAGGTTTTTAGAACCGGCGTTTCGAGGCGTTGGACCAAGTGAGAGGACAGTGGTAGCACAGAGGAGATTGCATGAGACCAAATTCAATGGCCACAGCGTCGACGTCATTGGTATCGTACTTTTCATTTTGCACAGGATTGTATCCCAGCGACCATCATTCCCTAGCGTCCTGAACAGTTGATGCCCAGGCAAAAGTCTATCCCCGCCATTTTCACTGTTACTTCTACATATACTCACGCTCATATTCCTGCACGTATACCGATCGATCTTCATGCCTGGTACTGAAACCCTCTCCGAATTAACTAGGCGAAAAAAAAGCACAATTTCTGAAGAAATATACGACCCTAGTTCCAGAAACCAGGGAACAAGAACTCGACGTTCTTCATCGCCTCGGGGCTGCGACCCTCGGTCTTGGTCATGAACTTGACGGCACCCTGGGAGGCACCCTCCCACTGCTTAGCGAGGACGAGGTCGCCGCTCTCCTGCTTGGACAGCTCGTCGAGAACGCCACCGACGAGACGCTTGGCGTTCTCGCTGTTGGCGGCCATGTACTTCATGACCATGGCGACGTCGACGTCCTCGAACGAGTGCCAGCAGTCGTAGTCGGTCGCCATGCAGATCATTTGGTAGGCCATCTCCGCCTCGCGGGCAAGCTTGGCCTCGGGCAGGGCCGACATGTTGATGACGCTGCCGCCCCAGGAGCGGTACATGTGCGACTCGGCGCGGCTCGAAAATTGAGGGCCCTCTGGAGTTCGGTTTTGTTAGCATTGTCTTCTACTCTACAGTCTTCTAGGAGAGTTGGCAGAGGAGGAGGAGGAGGAGGAGGAGGAGGAGTAACTCGCCCATGCAGATAATGGTTCCCTTCTCGTGTAAGACGACGCCCTCGCCCTGCAATTGCGCCGCGCATCTCTTGACGACCTCAGCAAGCCCCTGATCAAATGGGTCCGCGAAGCCAACGTGGCCCACAACACCGCCCTCGAAAAAGGTAAAAGGCCGCACGCCCTTGGTGCGGTCAATGACCTGATCCGGGACGACAAAGTCCATGGGCTTGATCTCCTCGCGCAGGGAGCCAACGGCGGAGAAGGCGATGACGCAGCGGACGCCGATGGAGCGCAGGGCGGCGATGTTTGCGCGGGCGGGAACCTCGTGGGGCGCGAACTGGTGGTGCAGGCCGTGGCGGGCGAGGAAGGCGATGGGCACGCCGTTGTGCTCGAGGATGCTGATAGGCGACGAGGGCTTGCCCCAGGGCGTCGTCGGGGTCAGGGAGGCGACGGGCGTGTACCCTTCGAGCTTTCCGAGGCCGGTGCCGCCGATGACAGCGATGTGGACGGGACCTGGAGGGGTAGAGGCCGGATGTCAGCTGTGACGTTCATGATCTTGCGCATTTCGCTCGCACTGGGCCGAGCAGGGATGGGGGAAGCGGATAAAGCTCACGGTCGAAAGTGGTGGGGAGGTCGGCCATTGTGTCGTTTCTATCGGTTTGCTCAGGGAAATAGGGGGTATCTCAGTCAAAGCAGAAAGATATAAACAAAACTACAGAAATGAAAATGTCTAGAGGTGTAGATGGGTGCAGAAGCTAGAGTAGATTTGGTAGGCGTCGGAGTCTGACATCTTTTTTCGACCCCGCCGAAATTACCCCGCCATCCAGCATCCTCGAGTGCTGTGTTTCTTCAGTGCTCCGGGGCCGCCATGGCGTCGTCCCGGGCATCCCGCCTCCTGGAATCCCCACCACATCTTCTCACCGTCCTCACCACGTGTCGATCACGCTCCAAGGTACAACACAGTCCCGGTCATTTCATCGCCGGGCTATTGGTGCGGGATCCCGGTCGCGTTCGCCCAGGGACGAGCAAAAGGCTAGGGGCAAAATGCACAGCTTGATTAATGGCCAATAAGTAAAAACAAAAGGTGAGAAGAAATGGACCGACCAAGGGTCGAATGATCGGAACCTTGATTTAGAACCAAACCTTCATGGTCTAGTTAAGGAATCAGGACCTTGGGGCCCCTCGACGATCTGGACCAGTACTTTTGTTTGAGAAAATAAGGACATAAAGCTGCGCATGACGGGCCGCAGGAGCTTAAGGTCAGGGGACGGCTCTCTTTCAAATGCTTTTTTTCATCTGAGGTATCTAGCTCTCTCTAGACTTTCTTTTTTTGGCGGTCTTCATCCGAACTCCAACCCATAGTAGCACGTACAGATAAAAAACGCTTTCTTATGCCAGAAACAAAATCACTGGCCCTCGGCCGGGCGCACAGGAAGCTCCGTCTCCTTGGCAGCTCCGTCCTGTGCGGGACCCTTGCCGCCGCCGGGGTAGCGAGAGCCCTTGTCTTTGGGCTGCTTCTTCTTCTTCTTCTTATCGTCCTCGACCGGGGGATAGGCCTTCTCCGTAACCTCCTTCCACTCCTTGGAGACCTGGAACGCCTCCTGGATGGGTGCCAGAAGCTCGTTCAGGGCCTTCGTCACGGCGGGCTTCAGCAGCTGGGGCGTCAACTGCGTGCAATGTCAGCTTGTTTCGAATATCGCTTCTCTTCCTTTACGCTACTAACCACGTCGTTCTTGTAGTCCTCGTGCATTTGTGTGATGCCGGTGTAGACCAGGGTCTCGAGACCATCGCGCTCGCGCTCAACGCGGAACTCCTTCTTGCCCTTCAGCGCCGCGGCCGGGAGCAGGACATACTCGACGAAGGACAGAACACCATTGCCCTCGGCAACCTTGGGCACGCACTCGGCCTTGCGAAGCTTCTTCTGCACAACCTCAGGGGCATCGAGAAGATCGATCTTGCTGTCTGTAAAACTTAGCTTAGTATCTGATCTAGAAGCTTGGCGGCAACAATCTTACCAGGGTCACTTGAGCTCATCTTTCCGCCATTCAACCCCGGAACCATGGGGTTCAGCAAATGCGCGCGCACTTGGTATCCAACCTTGGGTAGCCATTCGGTGGCGGCAGCGAACAACTTTCTTTGATCCATGCCTGCAGAAGGTCAGTCAGAGAACGTGTTCGAGCCATGGGAATAGAAAGATACCTCCGAACTGAGCATCAACGCCAAGGTGCTCCTCGTCGCAGACCTGAAGCACCGGATACAGCAGACCACTCATGGGGGCGTTCTGTCACCATGTCAGCCCCAGTCCAAGCACTCAAACCTAAGGTATCCTCACGTCAGACTGCTTCACGACTTCGGCGCCAGCCTTCTTCGCATCCCTCTCGCTAATGAGCGAGCTCATCTTGTAGACATCCATGATGTACTCGGGGCTCTTCTGGTAGGAGCTGCCAAGGACGAACTTGAGCTTCTCCGTGGAGACGCCGACAGCTTTGAGGATGTTTGTGATGGCGAACTTGTAGAACTTGGCGCGCTGCTCGACGAGCTCGATAGGGGCCTTGAGGTTGTCGAGGAAGCCGTGGATATCGGCGAGGAGGACAGTCATTTCGCAGCCGGCGGCGAGGAACTGTGCCAGCTTGATCGCCGGGACAAAGTAGCCGCAGTGCGGTCTGCCCGTTGTCGCGGTTCCTGCAGGAAGACAATAGTGAGCCAATGCGACGACTAGGAGCATCATCAGTGTAATTGAAGTGTTACTTACCCCAGTAGATCTTCGGGTTGCGTCCCTCGGCCAAGATCTTCTCGATGATTTCGGGGTTCATGATCTCGGCCAAGTTCTCCTGGATGAGGGCGAACCTCTCCTGCGCCTTCGTGCCTTCCGCCATCTTGAGTACGGTACAAAGTTTTTGATACTTAAATCGAGATAGATATACAATGGTATTCGGGGAAGCGAGGTTGTGAAAGCTTCACGGCGTCGGAGCAGGTACGGAAAGGTCGTGGGACGATGATGGTATTCCGAGTGAGTCAAGCCGTGGCTCGTCGCACAAGTGGCCCAAATTCGCGTCGAACAGCAGTCACAGCAGCGAAATTACCCCGCCGAGGGGCGGACGTCGGGGGCCAAGTTGGACACGGCCGATAGAGGGGTCTATGGTGTTTACACCCTTGCCATTGGCCGATTTAGGGGGTTCTGACGGAGGGGTCCAAGGTACCCCGATACCATATGGGGAATTTCACAGGGCTCTCGACCCAGAACACCTGCAGTATTCCGACTCATAGTATGGGATGTTTTACACAGGATACGATTATCTCTGCTATCAAGTCAAGAGGTCATTGATTCCATGACTTGTTCTAGAATATAGCCTCTGCATTATTATCATATTAGATCGAATGCGAGGTGATGGTGTATGTAATTCATGATCACAAGAGCACCCATACTTGGTATGAGAATATCTCAAAATGGCAGTCGGTCTGTGTGTATCTGCTTACCAATTTGTAGTGCAGAGATACTTTTCGGTGCGGACGGCGGAAATTTTCCACAGTGACAGTCCAACATCCTGGCGCCGCCACCTTGAAGGGACTCCATCTCCGAACTCTTCATGAGAATATTCTAACAGGTACATACATTTTCAGTGTTTTTCACCCACGGCCTTTTTCCCACTCATTACTAGCAGATACCCCTTCAGTCCAGGCGCATAGCCTCACCGGTCTTTACCTTTGTCCTTCAAGTTTGCGCACCCGATCATCAAAGTCACAGTTGCCCTTCATCACTCATCAAACTACAACACGATGGCGGCCGACACACCGCCGCCGTCTCTGCCGGACCTCGACCTCGAAGATGGTACGCCAGGCTATGAGACCATCGAGGAGCGCTGCTTCTCTGCCGCCCTCATATGTCTAGAGGGTCACTATACTATCCCACCCATGGGCCCTCAGACCGCCGCTCGGGTCTCATCCATGATCGCCAAAACGCTCGAGAAGACTCACACCTTCAAGCATGTTAGGTAGGCGCCCTCACCGTGTATCTTTTTTTGGTTTCGTACCTTCTCATTTTCCTAACAAGAACCAGAGAAACACTGTCAAGGAACGTCGAGATATGGATTTGGTTGACCAAGATCTTTGGCGCCGCCATCCCCAGTCTCACCACACGCTCGGTGGGCCCGCTGTCGAGCCTCAACGATCCCGAGAAGGGCGTCACCCCTCAGGAGAGCACTGCTCTCATCGTCAAAAACCACCACAGTCTCAAGGACGACCTCTCCATCTTGAACAAGCTCATGCACATCGCGAGAAACCTGCTGGTAACATCGGAACCAGAGGTGCCCCAGGATATTTGCGCCGCCGTTCACTTTGACCAGATGGTTTATCAGACCATCATTCTCTGTGTCAATGTCACCAGCAAAGGTTACGATGGTGAGATCTTGGACGAGACGTCAAGGGCTAAGCTGAATGAGATCACCGATTTGTGTAAGTCCTCAAGGTTCACCAGATGAGACCGCCGCTCACGCTTCACAGACAAAAAGCTCCTGGTCACATCCCTTCAACAAGCCCACAACTGGACCGCCAAAAATGACCGCAACAAGATGTCATTCTGGTACGACGTACTATTTGACGAGGACGCGCAGCTCGATGACCCGCAAGAGGGCATGGGCGACGGTTCCGGGTTCCGCGTCGACATTGCCAAAACGGAGATCCAGCACTGGCTGGAGCGCAACTCGAGAATGTGCGAGACAGCCCGTAAACTGCTCACAGACTACTCCCAGAACAAGTCCCACAACCCCCCGGGCGTTCTCGCACCCATCGCGCCGCTGGCGTGGAATTGGTTCCCCGAGGGTCAGGTCAAGGTTCGCGCCGACAACTACGAGGAGGGCGAGAAGGTGAACCCGAAGTGGGACCCCGACATCGAGGACAAGTTCGAGCAGGACCGTGCCTACTGCCGCGTGTCTCGAGAGATTGACACCTGGTGGATACGTGCGCGCGACGTGAACTATGACGGCTGGACGGTAGCCATGCCCAACGTAGAGTTCGCCAAGACGCGAACGGAACACTGCAAGAGCAACCTCCTCAACCGCTACACGCCTGTCATACGCACGGAAGAGCACGAGGTCGTCGAGGTCGACGAGTCCGAACAGGACCTCGGACCCGAAGAGGGCTCCGCCGAAGAGTACGCCGAGGGCTACGACGACATGATGGACGACGAGGATATTGACGACGACGAGTCGTACGGCGAGGGCCCCCTGACAGGCCTCCTGACCGAGATCCCCAACATACTCGACCCAAAACAGATTGAGGCCCTCCATATGATTGTCAAATCCTGCATCCTCGACTCCGCCGGCACCGGTCTCACCCGCGCGGGCGAGAACCTCCAAAAGACACGTTGCCGCATGTTCCTCGCCCTCGACTGCGGCAAGTCCCTCATCCGTGAGATGCTCGTCTTCATCGCCGTCTGGGAAAAGGACGAGCAGTCGCTCATCTTCCAAATCACCTCGCAGCTCATCGAGGCCCTCCACCACTCGGCCCTGGTCCCCTACGCCTGGAACTCCCTCCGCATACCCAAGGACATCATCTCCCCCGCGCAAACCGTGCTCCTGCGCCTCGTCAACCATATCTTCCGCAGCCGCATAAGCAACCCCCCGCAGGACAAGAAGGACCAGGAGCGCGATGTCAAGCTCGTCATGTTCTTCTTCAGCTTCTTCCGCAGCCGCATCGTACCCGAATGCGTCGCCCTCATGCACCTCCAAGCCCAGATCCGCGAGGACAACGTCGACCCGGCCGAGTTCCCCGTCGACACCTGGGATATGGAGCGCGCCAAGGACGGCCTGGCCCAGTACCTCGACTTCCTGACGACCGCCTCCGAGATCGCCGAGTCCAGGAAGAAGCTCATCGAGTGGGAGGCCGTCTACGACCTCATCACTCTCCTCAATGGCCTCGAGGCCGGCGTCCCCAAGAAGCCCCTCGTCGACGCCGTCCCCTCCCGCAGCCGACCCTCCGCGCCCTCCTCGGACCAGCAATCGCAGTCCTCGCAGCAGGCCGCCACTACGACCCCCATCATCGAACGCCCTTACTCGACGAGCGACTCCCTGCCGCCTTCCCCTCCTCCGCCCTCCCTCTCCGACCCGGCTCACAAGTACCCCTGGTCCGGCATCAAGGGCCAGATCTTCACCATCCTCGCCACCCTCCTGCAGCCACCGCCGGGCCACTCGACCCCGGGCAACCCGGACGTGCAGACCCAGATGGTGAACCACAACGGCATCGTGCCCCTGCTCAACTGCTGCGCCTACGACGACCACAACCCCTTCGCAAAGGAGCGCGTCACGATCTGCCTAAAGTGGCTCCTCGACGGCTGCGAGGCCGCCAACAACTTCTTCCGCGAGCTCGTCAACCTCGCCCCCGCGCCCAACCTGCGCCCACCTCCCGGTGGCACCACCGTCTCCACTATCCGTGTGGACGGCATTCAGGGCGAGGTCAAGGTCCAGGTTCGCTCCAACTCGGCCCCCGCCGGCGACGGAGAGGCGCAAGAAGGCGGCGGAAAGCAGCATATCCACGACCCGTACGGTTTGGCAGAGGGCGCCGCCAAGATGAATCTCAAGTCCAACCAAAGCAGCGAGCCATTTAGCGAGGACGATTTCATGTAAATAAGGATGATTGTGATGAGTTGGATTTATTCAGCAAAAAGTCTTTTGCTGTCCAAAAGAAAAGTAATATCTGAACGGCTTGTATGCCATCTTGTATGCCATCGTTGGATAGATGATGAGGCTTATTCACGTCTTCTTGTTTCATTTCTATTTTCCGTCACATAGTATGAACGAGCGAGTAGAGCATCAAGACGGCAGGCAAGGGGAATACAATACTACAATATTCTACTACATCGATTGCCCAGGCGCACTAATTCCAAAAGCAAAATAAAATCAAGAGAAAATGGAAAGGGGGCCAAGGGGAAAGAAAAAGGTGTTTTGTCAAGATTTTGTGTCCTGTGATCCATCAAAACCGCAAATTCGACCCATTTCCACCAAGACCAGCTTTCGGAATCTTCCCCCCCCTATTCCCGCGCGCGAAATCTTTTTTGCGTGATAATGTTGTGTAAGGTACTTTAGCCTAGGTAAACGAAAAAGCCAATCCACCAGTTTCCTCTGTTTTTTCGTTTTCTCGTACGGACAGAAAGGGATATTCACAAAGCATTCAAAAACAATCCAAGTCGAAAACAAGAACCAAAAAGAGAAGGAAAAGGCGGGGGGGGGGAGGGGGGGCAACAAACAAAACACAGGGCTGGGGCAAGTAGGTAGCTTCTTCATCTTACAGTCCTGACCGACGAAATCCGCAGTGTATAGCGTCATGATACGGAAGGGACTCCCGTCGCTCCGGTCTCACCGGACGCTGCGGAGCAGGTGCCGGAGCCAACATCCGCCTCGGCAGTACCCGAGGAGCTGCACCCTGTTGCTGCCTATGGTAGTGCTGGTGCTGCTGCTGGTGCTGTTGCTGGTGCTGCTGGTGCTGGTGGTGGTACTGCTCGGGATGAATCACCGCCGTCGAGTACGTCTGCGGACGAGGAGTATGCGAGGCCTGCGCAGCGGACAAGGCCTCCGCTGTCCCGGACATCTGAAAGAACGAGTCACCACCACCCAGATCCGCAGGAGGGCTGGGGAGGGCAGCTTGGTCCCACGGCGAGCTCATGCTCCGTGGCACCTGGTTGTCCCATGACGGACGCTGCCGGTGGTGCTGCTCCAGCTGCTGATGTTGGTGCTGGTGGGTGTACTGTTGATGCACGACGGTTTGGTTCTGGTTCTGGCTCTGGCTCTGGCTCTGGCTCTGGCTCTGGCTCTGGCCCGCGTACGTGTAGTGATGGCCCCCATAAGACTGGCTGACATCCACATCGTCAACCCTGCCACTGCCACTGCCACTGTCCATTTCGGACTCTGGGCTCATGCTGTCGCTGCCGCTACCGCTGCTTCTGCTGCTGTAGCTCTGCGGACTCATTGGATAACTCTCCTGGACGACGACCACGGCGGCGGCGGCAGCTCCTGTGGTGGGGGTATACTGCTGCTGCAGTCCGGGGTACTGCTGGTAGTCACGGCTCTGACGGCGGGCTGTACGCTTCTTGCAGTTGTACTTTGACAAGTCCCACTGGTCAAAGTGCTGGCGGTACGATCTTGTCCTGGGAGGCCGATTAGATGTGTTAGCTGTTGTTGCATCTGATATGTTCTTTCTTTTGGATGTGCCTGGATGGTGCGTTGGATAAGGCAGTGGGCGGGCATCTTCCCCATCCCCAGATGGGTAAAACCATTGGGAAAAGGTCTCGACAACCAAGAAGGGAAGGCGAGATGGTCATCGTATCAAACTCAAAGGCCCTCCCGTGTATTGCTTCGCCAAAGGGGGTTTGGGTGGGATCCAAAGAAAGGTCCAAGATGCGTCCAGACGTGTGAAAGAAGAGGAGAAAAAGGAAACTGGTGGAGACTGACGAAGCCTTGAAGTTGTATTCACGTTGCATAATATCCCGGACCTCTTCCAGGGTGCGATTCTCCTTGATGTAGAGCCTTGCGATAACGTCCTTGTGCTCTTTCCAAGCTTTCGTCATTGTCGTTCGTCAATCGCGACTGGCGAGGAGGAGGAGCGGGATGGGAGTTCTTATGCTAGAAAGGGCGCGCTACCACGGAGTCATTGGAGGAGGGAGATCAGGGCTGGAGAGACCGTGATGAGGATGAGAGGCCAAGTGGTGAGCTTCATTGAACGATGATAGGACGGATACTGATTAAAGGTTGGTTTTTATCAAACTGGTTATGGGTTCTCCCGGGAAGACAGCTGTACAAGCTGTATATAGAGTGGTCACGATAGGCAAGGCTGTCAGTACCGCCTACGTAGGATACTATAATCGCAGTGCAACACATCAGTCGGTTTGGTTTCCAGGGCTGACGGAGTATGCACCAGAAGTCTTGTTCCTCTCACTCGTCTCTGCCTTGAAGAAAATAGACAAATCTTCCGGTTCCTAGGACTTTTGCACCTTGTGGATGCGTCAAAGGTGCAGTGTGCCCGTCGGCGAGTATTCATCCCCCCTGGCAAGGAAGACAACGCATTCTGTGGCCGATAACATGTACAAGCCGTGGAGATCATGATGACGGGACGGGGCGAAAAGTCTGCCTTTCTCAAATCGGCGGGCAGCTCCAAGGGAGTAGGGAATGGAGGGGGAGAAGGCTAGGCCCGCACGTAAGGGGTGTCTCGTCTTGTGCCACACCATTCCACGAGCAACCTTCACCGAAGTTCAGCGAAGGTGTGCGACTTTTGCCTACACTCCGCAGATCCCCCCCTTGCGCGAAAGTGCAAAGAGTTTTGGTTTCTGACAGGTCGGTGGCTGGACTGTAGTGAGCGCTTTTTCTTCAGATGCGCCATTGACTCAATACGCTGCCCGCATTCCTCGGCAGACGACATCAACGTGGCGTGCGCCAGATTCTGGATCAAACATGTCGCTGGTGTCAACAAAGACGGGGGAGTGTTCTGCACTTATAAATAGGGCTCCGCGATGAGATGCAGACGCCCACGCGGCATAGATGGTAGTAGGGGCGCCTTGTCTCGGAGTGTGGGAGGGTGGTGAGGCACAGCCTGCGCCGAGGCAGATATCCTGCTGGTCGGCTCTTGGTACGGATTTCTGTCATTGTGGTTAACACCGAGGAATTCAAACTCTATGAATTTGCTTAGAAACCATCTCGAAATTGGACAAAATTCAATGATCAGAAGCGTTCGTTGATTGATTAGGGCTTGCTATATTATATAACCATAAATCAGAATGGTATCCCTCAAAACACGTGTGCAGATAAAGGCGGCAGGAAATCAAAGGTGATGGAAGGCTGTGACGTTGCGCAGAAGTCATGTAACCAATCAGGTGTAGTGAGTGGTGTGGTGTGGTGAGGTCGAAGTCATCTGCGTTCCTCCGCCTCCCAAGGCTAGACAACAAGGCAACCAGAGGTGCACAAATCGGTAGGTCGCCTCAGAAGTCGCCTTAGAAGTCGCCTCACTTTTTTTCTTCTTGGACAAACAGGGCGGTCGGAGGGATTCTGCTCTGGATATCAGGCTAGGCCTGCGAGTGGAGGCTTCGCGAAAGTTGAGGGTGTCATGCGAATCCTTAGACCTTCTTCTCGTCAACAGGCGCCTTTGCAGCTGGAGCAACCACAGGTGCAGCAGCGGCGCTGGAGGATGGGCCGTCGACCGGGCTCAGGATCTCTGGGCTCGCGGTCGGGGAGTGACCGGTAACACCGGCCTCTTGTACCGAGTGTCCGGAATGCGTGGTCGCGGCTGGAGCAATGGTCGGCATTTTCTCGTCCTGGGCAACGACGGGCGAGGTGGGTGTGGAATTAGGCTCCGCAGGTCCGGTAGCTCCCGCAACGTTTTTGATAATCTCAAACCACTTTTGCGCATCATCGGGCGTATGCGCCTGGAAAGCCAGCTCCGACGATCCAGTGAGCTTGGAGCTGATGGATTTACTCTTGTCCTTGCCCTTTACGTTGAACTTGTTTCCGTTGGGAAGACCAATGACAGCGTCTGGCAGGTAGATGGAAAGCTCTGGCTTGGGATCAGCACGAGCATTGTCAGAGTCCTTGAACTCGTGCAAGAACTTGGCTGGAGTGACAACGTAGTAACCGGTAGAGTAGCCCCAGGAAAGCTTGTTACGCGACTTGCGCTCCAAAGAGCCCTCAATGAGAGGCTTGACGGCGGTGTGGTCCATGTTGGGGAAGTTGATGGACTCAACGGAACGTGGAGGGTCATTGGGGTTGACCAGGCGATCACCGCTGCGGCTGACAAAGCCTTTCCACTCGAGATCAGCCGGCACTCTCTGGATCGCACCCAGCATGTCGGAGTAGAGAGCGCGAGTCTTCTCAGCCTGGCCGCCAGTGAGCTGGATAAAGGCCTCCATGGCTTGCTGGACAACTTCGATAACGTGTGCCTCGAAAGCCTGAAAGTTGTTTTGAACAGCAATCAGGTCGTTGCGGTTGTTGTTCTCCTCGAGGACCTGCTTGTGCAGTCTATGCAAGACACCTCGGTGGACAACATAAGGGTCGTCGGTTCCGTGCATCTTCCCGCCGGCAGACTCGAAGGAGGCAGTCTGCTGACCAAGAAGCTCAATGTGCTTCTGGGTGGTGTTGCGGGCCTTTTCAACCTCCTTGGCACCCTTCTGGGCACCATGGGCCAGCTCCTTGCCCTTGTGCTTGATCTCCTTGTGCAGGCGTTCGAGGACTGGGAGGACGGACCCCTTGATGCTTTTCTCCGTCTCAAGGTTGGTGTTGATAATCGCCTGAGTGTTGGAGCGCATGTTTTCAAAGTAGCCTGCAATACCACCAAGACTCTGGTCGAAGTGGTGGCCCTCCTTCAAGGGATGGGAAATTGCCTTGAGAGCCTTCTCGTATTCCTTGGACTGAGCTTTGTGGATCTTCTCGACGACCTCCATGTAGTCCTCAAGATATCCCACGGCGTGCTTCCAAGCTTGGAGTCGCTCTGCGAGAAGGCCAGCGGTCTTCATTTAGGTTGTTAGTCACTATTCAGTGCGTAGGGTAGTAGAATGAGGTAGCTCAGAAGTGTTTGTTGGGCGCAGGGCGGGGTTAAATCGTCAATGCTACGCCTCTTCTCTTTGACGCCGACAATGTGATTCACTTACGCTGGTAGGGTCAACATCGGGGACAGCATCGTCGCTAAGGACAGAGTTGTTGGTCATAATGGTCCCCGACCTCTGGGGGAGGTCCTTGGTGTCGGCCATGGTCGCGATGCGCAAAATCGAGTTGTGCTCGACGAGGTGTTCGTGAATCTAGGGTCGCGATATGCGGATGTGTGTCGAAGGTGTTCGTGTGTTATAATTGGAACGTTCGTCCAAGCCTGATTCCAGCCGTTTGTTCGGTTGAAAGATGGAAGCGATTGAAACGAAAGGGCAGTGGAAATGAGGTTATATCGCCAGCCCGGACATTACATGTGTCCCGCCCCCTCGAGCCCCCCGCCAGTGACAGCTGGTAATTAAACCGCCCAAGCTCCTACACCAAGACAAGTCGAATGACGTTCTCCACCAAGCGCCAGCGCAATCTTCCTGGTCCTAGCGCCCCTGGCTCCTGCACCGAGAGTGCTTGTACGCACAGCACGACCCTCCAAATGGCCTGTCCAGAGTGGGGTTGGTCTGGAACACCCCCTGTGACGATCTCTCTCTTTTTTTTTCCTCTTCCTTTTTTCCCCAAGGGACGCAGCCCGTGACGGACCGCAAATCTGATCCTGGAAGCAGGTCACTCTTTGGCTCTTGCCGACAACTGAGTTGTTGAGCTGGCACGGCTGGGTGCCACTGATTCACTTTGTCAATCCTACCTGGCCAGCTTGCCTCGCTGACATCCCCTTCTCAGCTGGTCTAGGGGTGCCTCTCGCTCTTCTCCGTCTTGCATCGTCACATCGTCGGTCGGCTACCTCGCGCTGAACGGCGCTAAGCCGGAGGCCCATGATTGATTTGGGGGGCTTCATGACGTCAATAAGTCCCTTAGTTTCCCAACGGACGATGCCGCTAATTGAGATGAGACGATACCTCTGTCTCATGCATTTGGCCCACGTTAGCAGATACGCCCATAAAAACATACAAGATCTAACAGAGATGTTGACTTGGCAGCATCCTCGACTGTTAACCATCAGGATATATCCCTTTCTAGGTTCAATAAGCTTTTTGTCCGTCCGGCAACGTTTGCTGCCGCAGGTGACGGCTGCGATGACAGAAAAACAGGGCTCCAACCTGGCACCCGACAGGTTGGCATTGGGCAGACGTCAAAGGCCCGAACCATGGCAATGATTGGTTCAGCCATCTGAGTACGTCGGGGTCCAGATTCCAGAGAATGTCTTCGGAGTCCATTCCTCCTGCCGTGTTACCAGCCTCTTACGTAGTGTCTACTCTGCTTTGATCCTAATACTGGACGTTCAACTGAAAAACTCACCACGTGCCGGACTCGTGATGCTTCAAAAGAGCCAAGAGCCACAGTATGGCAAATGCTACATGACGTTGCAGAAAACGGCTGTGTCTGAGAAGGTTTCCCATAAAACGTGCCGATACGTCACGCCATTTGATGCGAAAATCCTTATGGAAGCTCGCAGTCCATCCTGATTGCAAAGGATAATGTGTAGCTCACTGGCAGCTGAAGAATCCATCGTGCTAAGCTTCGCTCGCTGCGCGGCTTTCGATTACTTCATGTTCTCATTCCTCCAACTGTCATGGACACTACTATCATACGACAACTCGTCGCCATCGCATCTACCTACGGTTCAGAATACTGCCCTTGAAGCTCCCTTTACAATTAAACGACAGATCCAGAGCACACTAGATGCCAAAAATGTCATACAAGCCACGAAAGGCGACTTATGGTTCTGCAATCCCCTAGATATGGTATGTAAAGCAGTGAAGCGCGCCAGCTAGCTGCAGCTAGCTGGATAGACGCCGGACGTGTTTTTGGAAAGACGACATCACGATCAAAGACGGCCCTCCCTCGACATAATGCAACGATTCGAATCATCCCCTCTCGTTCAGCCCCTTCTGAGGATGGATGCCATCTAGTGTTTGTCCCACCCGGTCAGACCGGGCCACAACCACCTTTTTAGGTTTTCGTCACCCAAAATGACTAGTCAAACCCAAAGGCCAGGAAATACCGAAAACCGCACACCATATACGAACAACGTGACACCCGGTGACCACTCGGCATATCGGTTTAGGCTAAGTAGGTTGATAGGTCAGATTGAGAGGTAGGCTGTAACTCCTCCATTTCAAATCCGCTCTTGTCGGGGCGTCCGACATCGGCCGACCAGAGCCGCCGTACCGGAGGAGTGGAACCCCATCGCAACGCCGAAGCCGCCGCCACCCACTCGGCATGACGAGCGAAAGGCGTTCGTGTGTTGAATCCAGTCTAAGCGACGAACGTCCAGGTACCAATACTGCCAAGATGTGTTCGGCATAAACATTTGACTGGCTCGTACTCTAAACTAGGACTGCACAAGATATTGGAAATCGATTATTGACTTTTTTTTTGTCATCTGTGATATCTAGCAATCGACATGCCGCGCTCCACGCGTTGGGTATATCGTACAGCCTTATTTGCCTTTCCCAGTGTCGCCCTAGTAGTAGATCCCATAAACTAGTATATCAATCCGTATACTTTGTATGTCCGAGCTGCCGTTGAGTCCTGATGCCTCCAAGGCGCAAATCTATATCCTGTAAAACCTCTCAAATGACCCATCCCAAGGGATAACGTCCCTTTCCGATCCTCAACGCCGATGCCATGCCCGAAATAGTGCTTGCCGCCCTCTATAGCCATAAAAATAATCAAACGAAAGGGGTAAATGAGTCGCGACTCCTTAAAAGAACCTAGTACACTCTCTCCCGTCCTTGAATGAGGTGAAGTCGACGGTCTTCACCACCGCCCTGCACTGCCTGAAGCAGGTTGCTCATGCTCTGGGGGCGATGCCATGAGCGGTGCGAGCCGCCCGGGGTGGTGGGCTCACTGCCAGCACCAGTGTGCTCGGGAATCATGCCAAGCGGATCTGCAACAGGAACTTCGCTCGCCGGCGGCGTGTTCGGAGCGCTCATTGCAGAGAAGTAATCTGGAAGCGCATCGCTACTCGGGCCCCGGCGAAGAGGAGTCTTGACGGCCGTAGTATAACTAGGCACCTTGCTCAAGGTAGCCATGTCAGAGAAGTCGAGGTGCTCGGGCGAGTTGCGTCCTGAGGAGTGCGAATTGAGGTGTTCTTCGGCGCTGTTGTGGCGGGTCAAAGCTCTCGAGTGTGATTGAGAATTTTCTCCGGTAGGAACGGATGTCGGGACTGCAACGTCCTCCGTGATGGCGTTCAAGGAGTTGAAAGAAGTGTTGCGGTTCGTGGGGTCGAGAGAGACGTTCTGGAGGCGGTGTGAGAGTGCGGCTGGAGCGACGCCGTGGCCGTTCATCATGGCGAGGGAAGCGAGGTTCTCTGATGAGCCGGCGCGAGATTGGGCGTAGAAAGGACTGCTGAAGCCAGACTGGATAGCTGGGGTCTGGAAACCGCTCATGTCGACGTCTTCGTAGAGTTGGTCGAGAACATGCTCGCCGTAGCCAGGTGGTGCAATGCGGGTGACTTCGGCCGTGGCGGGCGCGCCAGGGGCCTGGTCAACGAGAACTCCATGCTCGTCAAGGGGCATGTTTGGAGAAATGAAGATGGAAATGGGAAGAGTGGCTCGGAGCTATGGTTTGTCAGTTTTGCGGATTCGTCAATAAGCAGAGTTGCAACGACTCACCTCTGAAATATGACCGTCGGGGTTCTTGAGGGCAACAACAAGCTTGAGCTTGTGTCGCACCTTAATACCGTTGTGGTTGAGATCCTGAACACATTGGCGCAGTCTCTTGGGAAGGTTCAGCTTCTTCTCAACCATCCACCCCTCCTGGCCAGTGTCCTCGATCGTATCGTGCCAGTGCTCATCGCGTTCGACGTCAAACTTCCAATTGGAGACTTCTCTTTCCGTCCTGTGTTCCTTGAAAACGTTGCCCGTGGGCCCCTGTAGCGTGCACTCTCGGATTTCCAACATCTTGACTGAGATCTCCCCCATTTCGAGGCCCTTCAGAAGGGGTGTAAATCTCATCTGTAATGGTACGGTGGCACCGAAGACGACAGCCTTTTGCGGAATGATGATGGAGTAATCGACTTTGTTCGGCCAGATGTTCTCGACGCTCATAGCGTGGAGGAACTCGAGTGCGGCGGGTTCAAGAGTGCGAATAATGCGTAGCGCCTTATAGGCATGCAGATCGTAGGCGAGCTTGCCGCGGGCGACGGTAGCCTTGAGCTTGTAGGTGATGCTCGCTTCGGGGATGCCTTCGACGCTCTCGGCGGTGTTGCCAGGCAGGGTGTACTCAAAGGGCCACTCATAATTGCCGGCCGGCAAGATGGTGTTCTTGCCGCCAGTGCCGCCAACAAACGGAGCCCAGCGGTGTTGGAGTAGGGTGGTTGTTTTGTCGACTTTTTGGCTGGAGACGCCAGAAGCGGCGATCTTGGAGTAATCCCACCTATTGAAAGCGCAAGTCAGTTGACTGATCTGCACGAAATCGAAACCGAAATAAGGAGGCACTCATACGTTAAGCGGTGGGTGCCAGTCAGTCGCAGGTGGACATCTTCGATCTTCAGCGGCGTGGGCAAACAGAGAACCACGACGCCCTTGAGGATCTGACCGGCAGACTCGTCCTCTCCTCCGCGAAATACAATAAAATCATTATCTAGTCTGTATAGTGTCAGATGTCAGCGGGAGGCTCCTCAAACACGAGACGAACAAAGAGTCACGGTGGGAAAAGAGAACGCGGAGAGGAGAGAAATGGCGAAACTTGGGAACGTGGGGCAAGAGCGCATACCTGATCTCGAAAAGCGAAGCGGCGTGCTTGCCCGTAACGGTCGAGAATGGATTGAATGACGGCATCTTCAAAGGTTGGGTGTGACATGAACCAAGCGGTATGCCTGGACAAGAAGAAACAGCCTAAACATCGAAGAATGGGAGGTCTGGAGATGGGCTTGTATTTATCGACGGAGCGTCCTTCCTGGGTACGAGGTACATTCGTCAGATCAAAGGCGGGCGTGGGCAAGCGACCAAAAGACCAAGCGCAAGCAAAAAGCTCGCGCTTTCACCTCACAAACGGGCAGCCCACCCACGTCCATTTTCATAGCGTGGGAAGTGGACGCCGAAAATCGAAGGCCCACGCCGCCACGCCCATGACGGCCACGCCCCTGCTC